CATCAGTTGGCACTGGATCGTACGTCTATTTACGGCAGTGTCTCGCGTGTCACTAAACCATCGCATCCTCACCCCGGGCTTTATCAATAGAGTAGAGCATTACATGCAAAACAGAGAATCCTCCGGGTACTCTATATCTGAATGAACGGGTCGAGATAAGGGTGGCAGACGCGTAGAGATTCGTCCTGTTTGTTCATCGCGTGTAGATCTGACAAGTTGGATGAGATCATTCCCACCCCCCCCCCCCCCCCCCCCCCCCCCCCGGTCCCTCAGAGGTTTTGATAGGCAGGGTCCTTGGGCTCTTTTGGTTTTTTGTTGAACGCCGAGTACAAGACATGGGACGGCGGACTATATCCATCCATGTGATTCGCCGCAGGGGAAGGAAGATGGCGATGCGGTTGTGGTTGTGTGGTATTCGTAGGCGATTGATTACTGCGTAAGTTTGCGAGTTCACGTTGTATAGAGCTTCGAAGGCGGAAATCACGAGCTTTTCGAATGCGGAGGTACGTACCTGCATAGCTCTCTATCCGATCCATCCATCTATCCATCCATCCACCCGTCTAGGCTTCGCTGCGCTGCTGCGGTGAAGGGGCAGGGGCAGGGCTGGGCCGACGCATGCACGTCGTGATGGCCGCGTAGCTACCACGCTACCTAGGTAGGTACGATACATTGAGCCTTTCGTTCTTTCTTTCTTTCTCTCTCTTCTCTTCTCTCTCCTTCCTCTCCTGCCCTCCCCATGTACAATGTAGGTAGGTACCTACCTAGGTATCCCCGAAACAGGAAGCTTGTGCCTGCACCGCATGTCATTTGCTGCGATGTCAGTCGGTCCATCCATAAACACGCAAGTCCCCCCAACGCGGAACGTCTCCACTCTATATGCCTGACCCCGGCCACCTTTTTACCCCTAAAAAACAAAAAGAATAAAATAAAATAAAAATACCAGATGGCACGGCCTTGATTGTGATGCGAACTCAATAAGGCCCGTCCCAAGTCTGCCTTCTACTCTTTTGCCCCTCTCTTGCGCAAGCAGTTGAAGCCGAACGCCTCTTCTTATTCCTCACATATCTGCCCTTTCTTTTTAAGAGGAGCTTTGATCCCACCCTCCCTCCCCTCTTCCCCCTCCATCCGCCCGCCCCTCCCCACCGCCCTTGTCAGAAAAATATATCCCACTCTTGCTTCTGACCTTATTCCAACCCCTTCCCTGCCGTCGTCGTCATTCCAGACTTGTTTTGTCCCCGTCGCACCTCCTCAAATATGGGCGCCGCGACTTCAGACAGTGAGTGAACCCCCTCCATCCATCCTCCCCTCCGCCGCTCCGGCGAGAGCCCGGCCACCTAGATGCAATTGACGTTGCCGTCGCGAACACGCGCGTCGCAACATGATGCGCCTGCGTCTAGCTAGGAGCTCCCTTTGGAAGCCACGGCGGACTCTTTGACGCCATACGATAGCTAACAACCACTCGAATAGGAACGGCCGCCGCCGAATGCATCTCGGACGATGCCCTCATCCACCTAAAGTCCTACAAATACTCGGCTGTCGACAAGTCGCCCATCTCCAACTACATCCTCCGACCATACGTGCGTAGCCCCTCCGACAATCCTCCTCTTCCTCCTCCCACTCCCTCTCGCTGCTGCCCCGCGCCCGCCGTCTGAGCGGCCTTGAGCTCAACTCAGCTCAGCTTAGCTCGGTTGAGCTTAGCGCTTCCCCTCCGACGACTCTACTAACCAGACTTCGCAGTGGAATGCCGCTGTTGAGCTCCTGCCGCTCTGGTTGGCCCCGAACATGGTCACCCTCCTGGGCTTCTTCTTCATCCTCGGAAACATTGGTCTTCTGGTCATCTTCATGCCCGACTTGGTCGGACCGGTACGTTGAACCGCGAGCTCTCGACCGAGACGCGCAATTACGTCATGAAAGAATATCTGGCTGATGCTGTTCTTAGGGCCCCTCATGGCTGTACTTTAGCTTCGCTTTCGGCCTGTTCATGTACCAGACGATGGACAACCTCGACGGCAAGCAGGCGCGACGCACCGGCACATCGAGCGGACTCGGCGAGCTCTTCGACCACGGCATCGACTCCCTGAACTGCACCCTGGCCAGTCTTCTCGAGACCGCCGCCATGGGTCTCGGCACTTCCAAGTCTGGCGTCTTCACCGCCCTCGTGCCCTGCCTGCCCATGTTCTTCTCGACCTGGGAGACGTACCACACCCACACCCTGTACCTCGGCAGGATCAACGGCCCTACCGAGGGCATCCTGATCGCCTGCACCTTCATGGCCGTCTCCGGCATCTACGGCCCCGGCATCTGGACCGAGCCCATCATCAACATCCTCGGCGACAAGGCCGAGCAGCACCTCTACGGCTTCCACTACCTGCTGGGCGACTATTCGATCCGTGACATCTGGATCGCCATGCTTGTCTTCTCCCTCTTCGCCACCCACATCCCCTTTTGCGTCCTCCACGTCATCCAGGCCCGTCGCGCCCGCGGCGAGCCCGTCGCCCCCGTCTTCTTGGAGTGGACGCCCATGACCGTCTTCACCCTCGCTATCGGCGCCTGGGTCTACTCGCCCTACTCGGCCATCCGCAGCGACAACCACCTCGTGCTGTTCTGCTTCATCATGGCCTTCGTCTTCGGTCGCTTGACCACCAAGATGATCCTCGCCCACCTGACGAAGCAGCCTTTCCCCTACTGGACCGTCATGCTCGCGCCCCTCGTCGGTGGTGCTGTGCTCGCCAACCTCCCCCACCTCGGCTTCCCTGCCGTCAGCGCCCAATTAGAGCTGTACTACCTCTACGCTTACCTCGTCTTCTCCGGTGTTGTCTACTTCCGCTGGGCCTACCTGGTCATCACCAGCATCTGCAACTTCCTGGGCATCAATGCTCTCACCATTCCCAAGGAGAAGCAGCTGGCAAACAAGCAGGCAATTGACGCTGCCAAGGCACCGCCTTTGACCAATGGCCTCCTGAACGGGATGAAGAAGGACTAAATCTGCGGTCCGCAGAAGCCGAGTCTCGAGCCTTTTTTTGGTCCGACTGAGGACTTTGACCCCCCCCCCCCCCCCCCCCCCGCGCTGAAACGGGATCGTGGGGTACAGCGGGGTGATGATTTCGAAAAGACTTGTCGCAACGATTTCTTCAATGGAATGAATGACTTATAGCAAGCCTGCGGGATAATGTCTGCTTCGAAAGGGAAACGGTTGCGCTTTATTTATTTTTTTGCATGGATGTCGGCGTTGCTGGAGGCTTATCCCACTTTCAACATGGCATGCACTTGACGATGGCGCTTTATTTTGGTTGAGCCCAAGCCATGCGATATCGGCACGGCTGGATTGAGTTACAGATACACCATCACCACCACCACCACCACCACTGCTACTACTACTACTACTACTACTATTACTATTCGCAAGGACGAAAGCAGTTCTTTGCATAATATTCAAACTCAACTATCTGGCATGCTTGGAATTTGCAATGTTACTGTACTGTGTCTTGATTTCCCTGGAGACTTGGCAAGTGACAAGACGTGAATTTTGGGAACTGCTAGTAGGGGAGACAGTTACACAGCGTACCTTAAGTCATTTGATCTACCGGTACAAAGAGGTTGTCGAGCAACCTTCAGATCCATTCCAAAATCTCGAGGAGCGAGAAATCAGCAATTCTGGAGTGGAACCAACATGTTGATTGTGCGAGGAACGGGGCGAGACCACTCAAGCCCGTAAACGTCTTGCGACCCTCTTACAGTCCCAACTCTCCTGTGCCTGACTATCTAGTTTTATCAGGCAGGTGAGATTGGGATTCTCGAGCGGCTACATATGCCGGAGAGCCAGCGAACCTAGGGGGATCAATTCTCGTTCATCTTGTACAGCTCAGCAAATCTGGTCTTGCCGGAAATCAAACTAGCCGGTTCGTCGAACTCCAATAGCTCCCCGTCCCCGAGCAACGCGACCCTGTAGTAGCGAGAGACGTGCTTGAGTCGATGCATGACGGCCAGCACCGTGCAGTCGCGGAACTCGGTGTCGACGATTTCCTGCATGAGAGACTCCGTCTCAATGTCGACGCTGCGGGTGTGTCAGCGAGAGTGTTGATCCGGAGGGGGGGATTGGGGAAGCGAAATCACCATGGAAGACTCACCTGCCCATCGCTTCGTCCAATACCAACAGCTTGGACCGCCGCACCATGGCCCTGGCCAAGCAGAGAAGCTGCTTCTGGGCGGCCGACCAGGATTCGGCATCCGTGTCCCCGTCCAAGCCGCCCTGGGCCCGGACGAGACCCCAGAGGCCGACCCTCTCCAGGGCCCGGGTGATCTCTGCGTCGTCCGAGCAAGCGCCGAAGGGGTCGATGTTGGCGCGGACGGTCCCGGGGATCAGGAAGGGGTCCTGGGAGACGACGTTAATCCGCGAGCGGAGCTCGCCTGGCGCCAGCGTCGACACGTCGACCCCGTCCAGCTCGATCTTGCCCTCTCTCACGTCCATCATCTGCAGCAAGCCCAGGACGAGCGACGTCTTGCCGCTGCCTGAGCGGCCGGCCACGGCGACGTGGTGGCCGGCGTCAATAGCCAGGGTGACGCCCTTAAGCACCGGGTCCGTGTCGGAGCTGTTAAGACATTTTTGGCCGGTTAGTTCAAACGTCCCCGGGCGATTCCCTGGCCATCCTGGCAAAAGTGGCGACTCGCCTGTACGACGCGACCACATTGGAAAATCTGAGCGCCTCGGCCGACGGCCACGACGCGGGCGGAGGCGGCGGCTTCCGGGCCTCGGCCTCGGTCTCCGTCTCCGTCGCGAAGCGCCGGACCCTGGCGACGGCGCCGACGCTGGATTCGAGCTCGGTCCAGGTCTGGATCAGACGGGCCAGGACCTCGCTGAAGCCGACGACCATGACGAGGCTCACGCCGGCGGCGCCGGCGGCGGACTCGGAGAAGTGCGCGTAGAGGGGCGCCTTGGCCTCGATCTCGAGCAGGCGCACCTGCCGCGACGTCCGGAGGTAGAAGCGCTGGAGGGCGTAGAGGACGAGGCCGAGGAGCGGCAGCGCCGCGCCGAGGTACTGGGAGAAGACGGCCAGGACCGCGAGCTTGGCCAGGACGGACACGGCGGCTTGGACGTGTGCTGTTAGCGTGTTGCATCCGGGGCAGTTTTTTAGGGGGGGTTGTTTCTCTCTCTCTCTCTTTCTCTCTGTCTTTCTTGGCTACATCCTGTAACGTAACAGTGGTGGAAATGGGCGATAAGGAATCACTGACTGGAAGTATAGTTCACCATGTTGACAGGCAAGTCATGTCGAGAAGCTGCATGTCTTCGCTGAATCTGGATAGAAGCCGGGTCGTCAGTACACTGTTGCCTTCGCATTCGGGGGTAGGGGGGGTCGCTCACCGGTTGAGGAGCTCTCCGCTGTCCGTCTTAGCCAGGAATCGGAAAGGGGCGCTGCAGGAGACGTTAGATTCAACTTCAGCTTCCGAGGGGGGGGGGGGGAGGGGGGATCTTGGCCCCGGCAAACGTGCGGTGGAAGACGTACGCGAGCACCGTCCTGAGAAGATCGGCGTGGAGCTTGAGGGCCGTGTTGGATACAACATCGAGAAAGGCGAACCAGGCAGCCAGAGAGGCGGCCAGAGTGCCGAGGACGCCGAAGAGGGCGTAGACGCCCATGTAGTACCCGATATTCTTATTAGCCGCGGCGGTGTTCGCCTCGGACCACCACTTGACCCAGACGGCTGAGGGAGTATCCATATATCAGCTCTCCAATTCGGCATCTGTGTGGGCGAAGACGACTTACTCGAGAACTCGGAGAAGAAGATCCAGGCCACGACGGAGATGCCGTACAGTGCCACAGCTTTCCACCCTGCGTTACGGAGATAGTACGCGTAAACTGCCGGCTCCCCGTTCTTGCGTCGGACATCGGTATGGAGGATCTCGTCTTCTTCGCTCCTGTCCGACAGCTCGACTGGCGGCTGGTCGATCGGAGCTTCGGGCGCATCGGCGCCCGCCTTATCCTCGGCCACACCATCACAGGGCAACAACTTCAGACCAAGCTTGCTGACATATCCCTGGCGACGGGCGAGGATTTCAGGGCTGCCGACTTCCTGGATTCTGCCGCCCTCGATGGTGACGATGTTGTCTGCAAGAGCCATGACATTGTCTGTCATAGCACCATGAGTAAGGTGTTCCAGAAACGTGGGTGGGGGGGGGGGAGGGTAGAAACGAGACTGTCGACGTACGATGATGTGTTGCAACAACGACCGAGGTGCGCTGTTTCTTGAAAATACCATCGGGCCCAAGCAGGCGGTTCGAAACATGATGGGCCGTTCTGGCGTCCATTCCAGCGAAAACATCGTCGAGAACCACCACTTTATGCCTGGAGTAGACGGCTCGTGCAAGCGCCTAGATGCGAAAGATGGAAAATGTCAGCGGAACGATGCCGGGGCCACAGCCGAGGGAGGGGGTAGATTGCCTAGAATCGCGCTCAAGAAGCTCGACTTGCCGCTCCCGACCGGACCGACGACAACAGTCACGGCGCCTCGCTGAATGTCAATGGTGAGGTCATGAAGTGTAGTCTTGTCTTTGTGCCACCCGAAACTCTGCCCTTTCCAGGAGACGATGTGGTTCTCTGGCGAGAGTGAGGGCCTTTTTGTACCCTCAGAGGTCAGCGACCCCAGCCTAGGATCTGCTCTCGGCCGGCCATGGTGACGGCTAGGGCTGCGAGGGCGCTGATCGTGGGCCTGGGCGTTGTGGCTATAGTTGCAGAAGGCTTGGATCCGGTCAAAGCAGGCGGACGACTGCACAACCATGGGCAGAAGCTGGATGAAACTGACGACGGGCGCGGCGAGCAGCGATATGAGGGCAATCGACGTGAATGCTTGCGCCGGTAGCAGCGTTCCGCTCTTCCAAAAGACGGAAATGAGGGCATACACGCCAAAGGTGACGACGGGGGCGAGATTGATCGGGGTGAGTGCTGGGTTCGTCTCCTGATTTAGCATTTGGAGCAGTCGGGGTTCGGTATTGTCTGAAAGACTTACAGAGCACCAACGTGGCCACGAGGAGCTTTCTGAAGGATCTGGAAGTGTTAATCTCATCTTCCCTGAGATGCCGGATTTTGTTCGACATGACCTCGCCCAGCCCGAGCATCTTCACGGCTTTCATCTCGCCAAGCATGGCGGAGGTCGTGCGGAGCCGCTCCTGGATCTTTTCGATCCACCGCATCTGGGCCGTCTTGGTTGCCACGGATATTTTTGACATGGCAGATATGAAGACTGGGAAATGTAGGTCAGAGCTCATGCCTGCGGCACCGTACGCGCGCGTCTTACTCACTTAAAACAAGAATAATGGGAGCCAGGCAGGCAAGCGAGAGCTGGAGCCCAAGCAGCCAACTGGCGACAGCGATGTCCAGCAGGGAGGCCCAGACCGAATGGAACATGGACATTGGTCCAGTTATACGTTCCACGTCGGTTCCCATGAGAGCAACCGCCGTGATTTCCCCAGCGTCGGCTTCCCTGGTATGTATTGCGTGTTGATAGATGAGTGCAATCAACCCTCCGCGAAGCCTGGTCTTGAAACGAAGGCTGTGGTACCGAAAGACCGAGTTGCTCACTGCGATGCCCAAGTACACCAGAGCCCAGGCGCCGATCAACCCCCCCTACCATAGTTTGAATCGGCATCTTTTTGTCCCACGAAGCTGACAGTCGTGTTGATGAGGAACGGCCGCGTGAAAGTAAAGACAGTGAGGCACAGCCGGGGAAGGACCGGTGACAGAAAGGAGACCAGATAGCTCCGTAAACAAGCTCTCAGTAGACTGTGGTGACTCTGGTGGTCGTCTGTTGGGAAGTCAGGATAAGTGAGGGCCCCCCTTGTCGCATCTAGTCAAAGATGAGAGACTCACATTTATCCCAAGCAGCAACCAGGTCCTCGTGTAGGGTACGGCTTTCGAGGCTAGGGTCGAGACCAGGCAGATCTCCGGGAGAAATGACTCTAGAATACCCCAAGTAGTACGTCCGCGCAAGCCAGGTGAAGAAGGTCCTCGTCCAAAAGCCGCTGCTCTGCTCCGGTGTTGCCTGTTTGCTGTCCGACAGGCTCTCGTCACGGGGCACGCCCTTCTTCGATCCGACAGACTCGAGAAGAAGCGCCGCCGCGGTTGAAACGAGCGCGAGCGTCAACGCAGTCGTCGACGCCAACACGCCGCTCCCGATAAGCCATGACGTGCGGACGCGGGCGATCCCCAGAATGGCTGCCGCGGAGAGATACAGGCTGAGCAGTGTTGACGGCCGCTGCGATGGTTGATGGCTCAGAGCCGATAGCAGACAAACTGTGATCGTGGCGGCGAGCGCCAGAGTATCCGCTGCGACTGATGCCGAAGTCTGGAACGGCCTGGCCCGCGTGCGTAGTACCAGGAAAGCTATCTGGAAGGCAAGCAACACAGCCAATGCGACCTAGGGACATGACACTTAATCAGGCACTCGAGTACTCCGTACTTTATCACATACGGCTTCTTGAGAAAGAAAAGAAAAAGAAAAACCACAGACGTACTAGTTTACCGCATAGAAGCCGGGATCTGACCGAGAAAGCAGGGGGCAGGCGTAAGAGGGTAAGGATCCGTGACGGCTCGAGGAGAAGGAACAGAACGGATGGCAAACACGCCAAAAAGACATCCTCAAAGTACAGCGTGAAGTCGAATGACCTGCAGCCGGGATAGACTCGTGGCCCAAAGGACCGGTCGTTAGGAAGATGTGCGCAGGACATGGCGAATGCTCCAAGTTCGGTATCACGAGCCTGGAGACTGGTCAAAGCATTGCCAGAAAGTGCGAATTGGTAGTTGGAGGAACTTTACATGCTCAATTGCTACAGACTGTTGGTTTAAAGGACCTTTTTTGTTTTTGTTTTTTTTGGTCCGGGGTGTGTATAGGTGATAAGACGCGCGCGTTGGTGCCTGTTGGTTATGAGTATCCGTATACGGATGAGTCTACAGACAAGCTGACAATGTCCCCCCCTTGTCAACCCGAGAACACTGTGCTTTTTAACCGTTATCCACTATCAGGTGAGGTCTATTGCACACGGTACTCTTGGGTTGACAAAGGGGGGGGGGGGCGTTATTGGCTTATATAAATACTTGATATGAAGACCTGTCATCGTGTTCGTTGGTATCTTGCGACAGAATTGAGTCTTGAGTATCTTAATATTAGCCAGCACTTATCAGACTTATCCCCGTCCAGACAAGTAAATTGCTTCGGGACCTGTTCTCTGTGTAGTGTGGAGTGGTGCAAAATCTCGTGCCCAAGCCTTTCGACTCTCCTCGTACGCTGGTAAATCCCACCTCCTCATCAAAGCCATGTCCAGCACCTTCCCAGCCTTTAGCTGCCCCTAAGGCTTCGTGAGGGCATCGAGTATAAAATCCCAATCAGCGCAGCCTTCTCCTTATTATTAATGAATACTAGACTGTAAGACTGTCTTAGCTGTTGAGCTGATCTTACGCCTGTATGTTACATGTATTATTAAGCAGCCTGACGGCTTACTCGGACTACTTAGACTGCTGTTCCTAATTACCCTGCTACTAGACGGTAAAGGCCCTTGTAAGTGAGCCTGCTGCGCTGTGATGTCGTCTTTCAGGGTGTGAGGCTTCCGTTAACGAGGGACCTATGAGTAGCTCAAAGATGATGCAACTAATACTCTATATTTGAAGAGACAGATAGTAGGCTCTGTCTCTTGTGTTCAAAACTTGGTAAACAAATGCTCCACTAAGAGATTGTTGAGAGAAGGCAGCTGGAGAAGGGGGTTTGCCCAGATGAGGATCTATGAGAGAGCTTTATTAGATGACCAGAGCAGGGGAGGGAGATGCCAGCCACGTGCCTCATTCACATTAAGAAAAAGAATGCTACACGCAGAGGAGTGTGTCAACTGGACCTCAATAAATGGCCTGGTATGATTTGACCCAAGAAACCCCGATCGACTTTACATACGGTCGCAGTCCATAGTGTGAGTACGCATAACCGACTCTTCAACCGTATCCTCTCAGGTGTTTCGGAAATGTACGACGGAAAGCCGATTATTTCTGTCAGTGCTGAAAACCACAAGTTCCAAAGCCATCATCAATGGTGCTGCCGTGTTCCCCATAATCGCCATGCCCAGAACTACTTCAGGTGTAAGGGAGTGCCGGACAGAGCTCAAATATGCAACAGGGCCTTGCCATCTCTTAAACTCGTCGATCTTGACGACAGAATCGGATAGAAGCCCTTGGGATACTGGCATCAAGGATGCCGCGGCCAAGGCGGTACATCATCGACCCAGAAGATGTACCAAGTCAGCGAATGGAAAACAGCTTCGAGCCTGACATGCTGGCTTCTTGAAGAGTGTAAAATATACACGTCACGCTCTGGCATGTGCCGGCACGGCAGATGACGCCATTGCGATGCCTCGGAATCAACACATTGCGTCTCCGTTACCCCGCGGCACACCGACGCAGCGACTTGCTTTCCACCTCTTGGCACCGGACACTTGCGTCAGACGGCCGATGGGCAAACCTAAGATGAGTTGCGGCCGGGGTGCGGTGCTATGTTTGACTAAGCAAGATAAACCCTGTAAACCGAAATATTACGAAATGTGCATGGTGTTTGCAAGCGGGCTTGAAGACGGACCCCGAGTTGCACCCGGGAGGTCGGTGGTTGAGGTCGGATGTAAGTCTGCCTTAGCCAACTGAATAATAGACGTCTCTTCTTCCACCCAGTGCCCTGCAGGTATGCAGTCCACACGCCAACGACACCAGCCCCATGTTGATTTCCGGATCCAATGTTGGCTCATGGGGGGCAACATCAGTTGGTATCGATGACAACTAAACCGATAAGTGGCCCCTTGTACGATGGTATCCGGCCGAAGTTTATGACCCCTGTTAGGTAACTAACGTTTACCCCCCTACTACAGGACTTCACTTTTGGTGAATATTCCCCCCCTATTATGATATCAGCTGTGGGGGGTAACATCATAGGGGTCATTAACTTCCCCCTGCCACCCTGTATTTGGCTCTAGTGTACGGAGTAGTAAGAGAGCAAACCGGGGAACCAAGGTGCGGCTAGCGGTCAGCGCGTCCAGAGGATAAGAACCACGCCAACCGTTGGTTTTCTTTTTGTGGGATGCAAGCTGGACGTAGACGGTGGGAGGTTTGGACTCCTAGGAAAATCTCACGGGTCGACGGTGTCCGTTCGGAGCACATGAACGTCCCGAAAGCCCGCCAATAGGGCCGCCAATGGGGGCCGTCAATAGGGGTCCGCCCCACACCATCGCCCCTCGGACACCTGTAGCCGCCATGGGCCCACAATGGGGACTCACACGCTGGCAGCGGGCAAGTGGAAGATGGAAGATGCTAGGACTTCGTCATTGAGACCCGGCTCAATGAATGTATTTCGATGCTCATTCCTGGCATCTTGGAGAATCCAGCCCCCCCCGGTTGACCCGGGGCCCGGGAACGAATTGAGGGTTCGGGTTCTGAGATGGACACCCTACGGTTTATGTGCCGTGGACCCCCGGGAAGCAAGAGACTCCGTAGACCTCTTGATAAACCTCGACGAGCCCATACCTGCATGGAAAACGTTTCGGCTAACCAGAGAAAAACTGACAAGGATACATTCATTGCCTTCCCTCTCCATCTAATCGACGTCTTGTTTTGACGGTTTGCTTCGAAGAACCAAGCAAAGTACTGGCAGGTGTTGATCGGTGAGCACTAGGATACATGTTATAAAGGATATATCCTGGAGTCTAACAGCTCGTCTTTGAACGCAGGATAGCAAGACATACTTGTAATCGCTCCATCAGCCAGCATTCTAAGCCGGTCGGTTGCATTTCTTCCACCGGCCGACGAAATGTCTGTGCCATACAACGCGGACGCAACCTTCCGCATCACTGGCACCCGCCATTCATCTCACGGTAGCCAAAACACTATTGTGGATCAAGAGTCGAAATTTGTCCAAAACGAAGAAACAGAGAAATCTACACAAGTCATGGGGGACAGCACCGTATACGGCAGAGATGCCGATGCTTCTGCATCGACAACCGATGAAGATGGAAACGACACGGAGCTGGACCGCCGTCAATCTATCGTGCAAGAACTTGCTCGAGAATACACCCGCAACTCAGCTGTCAACGTCGATGGGAACAACATGGCCCTGTTCGGCAGCCAAGACCCCGATTCGCCCCTCAACCCTCATGGGAAGAACTTCAGCGCTCGCAAGTGGGCAAAGACTCTCGCAAAAGTCACAAACGAGTACGGACCTGGTTACCGAACGACCGGATTCACCTTCCAGAACCTGAACGTCTTCGGGTACGGCAAGGAGACGGATTACCAGAAGGACGTTGGAAACGTGTGGCTTGAGCTGCCCGGTCTCGTTCGCAGCCTGACCTCGAACTCGGGTGGCCAGCGCCGTATTGATATCCTCCGGGACTTCAACGGTGTTGTCGAGGCAGGGGAGATGCTCGTCGTTCTCGGGCCTCCCGGCTCCGGCTGCTCTACCTTTCTCAAGACCATTGCCGGCGAGATGAATGGCATCTACACCGACGACCGTGCCTACTTCAACTACCAGGGTCTTACGGCAAAGGAGCTTCACAAGTACCATTCCGGAGACGCGATATACACCGCTGAAGTCGATGTCCACTACCCTCAGCTTTCCGTGGGAGACACCCTTACGTTTGCTTCCAGGGCGCGCTGTCCCCGAACTCTCCCGCCAGGGGTCTCGGCAGACCAGTACTGCGACCACCTCCGCGACGTTGTCATGGCCATGTACGGCATCAGCCACACAGTCAACACCCGTGTGGGCAACGAATACATTCGCGGTGTCTCGGGAGGAGAGCGGAAGCGCGTGACTATCGCAGAAGCCACCCTGTCCAACGCTCCCTTGCAGTGCTGGGACAACTCCACCAGAGGTCTTGATTCGGCCAACGCTGTCGAGTTTTGCAAGACTCTGCGTTTGCAGTCAGAGCTGTTTGGACAGACATGCGCCGTCTCCATTTACCAAGCGCCCCAAAGCGCGTACGACTTGTTCGACAAGGTTCTCCTCATCTATGAAGGGCGGCAAATATTCTTCGGACGCACAACGGACGCCAAACAGTACTTTATCGACCTCGGTTTCGAATGTCCGTCTCGTCAGACTACCCCCGACTTTCTCACGTCCATGACGGCACCTTCCGAGCGTGTCGTTCGTCCCGGGTGGGAGTCCCGCGTTCCCAGAACCCCTGACGAGTTTGCCGCTTGCTGGAACGCCAGCCGTGAGTGCCAGGCCCTGAAGGAGCAAGTCGAGCAATACAAAACCGCGCATCCTCTCGGCGGTCCGGACGTCGAGGTCTACATGAACCAGAAGCAGTCGGTCCAGGCCAAGAACCAACGTCTCAAGTCTCCCTTCATCCTCTCGTATGGCCAGCAGGTCAAGCTGTGCCTCTGGCGCAGCTATAAGCTTCTCAAGGGCGACCCTAGTCTAACTCTATTTTCGCTCATCGCCAACACGGTCCAAGGGCTCATCATATCCTCCTTGTTTTACAATCTTCCGGAATCCACTTCGTCCTTCTACAGTCGGTCCGCGGTCCTCTTTGTCGCCATTCTCACCAATGCTTTCTCCAGCGCTCTGGAGATTCTCACCCAATACGCCAAACGGCCCATCGTCGAGAAACAGAGACGTTATGCTTTCTATCACGCGTCGGCCGAAGCCTTCTCTTCGGTTTTGGTGGACATGCCGTACAAGGTCTTGAACACCATATGTTTCGACCTGATCATCTACTTCATGTCCAATCTGAACAGGCAGCCTGGCAATTTCTTCTACTTCCTTCTCACCACTTTCCTCATGGTTGTCGCCATGTCCGGTCTGTTCAGAGCAATGTAAGTTTCCCCATCCTATACCTAAAAGTGATATCCACTGACGCCAAGCAGCGCCTCCTTGTCACGCACTTTGTCTCAGGCCATGGTGCCGGCCTCGATCCTCATTCTGGCTCTGGTCATTTTCACTGGTTTTGCTATTCCTGTTGACTACATGCTTGGATGGTGTCGGTGGATCAACTACCTCGATCCTGTTGCCTATGGCTTTGAATCGGTGAGTTGGCACATCCCAAAGTCATTTGAGCAAAAGCTAACCGCCATCTCTCCAGCTTATGATCAACGAGTTCCACAATCGCGAATATACATGCAGCACCTTCGTCCCTAGCCCTACAGTGACCGGATACGAGAACGTCGCTTTGGCCAACCGAGCCTGCTCTGTCGTTGGCGCTGTTCCCGGAAGACCTACTGTTAACGGTGACGCATACATCAACTTGCAATATAGGTACTTTCACTCTCACAAGTGGCGCAACATTGGCATTCTCATTGCGTTTATTATTGGTCTCCATATGGTGTACCTTTTCGCCACCGAGTACATTTCGGCCAAGAAGTCCAAGGGAGAGGTCCTCGTCTTTCGCAGGGGCGTCTCTGCCCCTACCAAATCCAAGGACGATCCCGAAGCTTCCGTGTCAGGCCCCTCTGCGATTGTCGAGAAGGGCGGCAAGGGTGCTTCTGCCAACGAAGGTGCGATCCAGGGCTCCACGAGTGTTTTCCACTGGAGCAACGTGTGCTACGACGTCAAGATCAAGACCGAGACCAGGCGCATTCTGGACCATGTGGATGGCTGGGTGAAGCCCGGCACGCTGACGGCGCTGATGGGTGTCTCTGGCGCCGGAAAGACAACCTTGCTCGATTGCCTCGCAGACCGGGTCTCGATGGGCGTGATCACGGGAGAGATGCTCGTCGATGGGAAGATCCGCGACGAATCCTTCCAGCGCAGAACCGGCTATGTTCAGCAGCAGGACCTCCATCTCGAGACGAGCACTGTCCGCGAGGCGTTGGAGTTCAGTGCTTTGCTGCGACAGCCTGCCACGACGCCCAAGGCGGAGAAGCTCGCATATGTGGACGAAGTCATCAAGCTTTTGGACATGCAAGACTACGCCGACGCCGTGGTGGGTGTGCTTGGCGAGGGCCTCAACGTCGAGCAGCGGAAGCGCCTCACCATTGGCGTTGAGCTGGCCGCGAAACCACCCTTGCTGCTGTTCGTCGACGAGCCCACCTCCGGCTTGGACTCTCAAACGTCTTGGGCTATCCTCGATCTCCTCGAAAAGCTCTCCAAGGCCGGCCAGTCCATCTTGTGCACCATTCACCAACCGTCCGCCATGCTGTTCCAACGTTTCGACCGCCTGCTGTTCCTGGCCAAGGGCGGTAGGACCGTGTACTTTGGAGATATTGGCGAAAACTCCCACGTCATCACGTCCTACTTCGAGCGGAACGGTGCACCCAAATGCCCTCCTGGCGAGAATCCGGCCGAGTGGATGCTCTCTGCGATTGGCGCGGCCCCTGGTTCGACTACCGAGGTCGATTGGCATCAGGCATGGAAGTCGAGTCCCGAGTACCAGGCCGTTCAGGACGAGCTCGCACGACTCAAGTCTCAGGGCGCCAACGGCGAGAAGCGCTCGGACGAAGACGAGACGCTGTCCCATCGCGAGTTTGCCGCTCCTCTGTGGGACCAGTTCCTCATCGTCACCCGCCGAGTCTTCCAGCAGTACTGGCGCACGCCCTCGTACCTCTACTCAAAGTTCATCCTCTGCTGTTCCGTTTCCCTCTTCATCGGCCTCGTCTTCCTCAATGCCCCCCTCAGCATCCAAGGCTTGCAGAACCAGATGTTCGCCATATTCAACATTCTTAGCATCTTTGGCCAGCTCGTGCAACAGCAGCTGCCGCACTTCGTCACACAACGCTCCCTCTACGAGGTCCGCGAGCGCCCCTCCAAGACGTACAGTTGGAAGGTGTTCATGCTTTCGCAAATCGTCACCGAGATCCCCTGGAACTCCCTCATGTCGGTTTTCATGTTCATCTGCGTCTACTACCCCGTCGGCCTGTATGGGAACGGCGACCCGAGCCAGAAGAGCGAGCGCGCTGGGCTGATGTGGCTTCTGTTCTGGCAGTTCCTCATCTTCACCTGCACCTTTGCCCACGCCTGCATCGCCGTCACCGAGACAGCAGAGATGGGCGGCAACCTCGCCAACATCATGTTCATGATGTGTTTGCTGTTCTGCGGTGTCTTGGCCAGCCCCGAGTCTATGCCCGGCTTCTGGATCTTCATGTACAGGGTGTCACCATTCACGTACCTGCTGTCGTCAATCTTGTCCACAGGTCTGGCAAACTCGAAGGTGACATGCGCCGTGAACGAGTACGTCCACTTCAACCCGCCGGACAACGAGACGTGCGCTAGTTACATGAGCGGCTACATCAAGACCGCGGGAGGATACCTCGAGAACCCCACCGCACGGGCTGATTGCAGCTTCTGCTCCATCGACAACACCAACACTTTCCTCACTGCCATCAGCTCCCACTTTGACCACCGATGGCGCGACTTCGGCATCGGTATGGTTTATATTGTGTTCAACATCTTCGCCGCCTTGGCTCTCTATTGGTTGGTCCGCATGCCCAAGGGCAAGAAGAAGGCTTGAAGGCTTCGCAGGGGGGAGCTCAACTCCAACCCGGGTTTCGGCAGTGTAAGGAAGGGCTGCTTCGAAACCGCTTCTCTTCACTACTCACGACGGTTTAGAAGTATTTTTTTATTTTTTTTATTTTTGCATATGTTTAACGGTACCATAGAAGAACCTGATCAGGGTTGGATACATATAATTAGAGGTTGTCGCAGGGCCAACTATTCGCATAAGTCAATACAAGCATATGAGTAATAGCCCCGCCCTAGCCTCATAACACCGAGAGGTGTGAAAAACGCAGAACGACGGTGCCATACGTCAAGAATCCGTCACGCAACGCGACTGACAAAAGGCTTTGAATGATGATGAATAACTACGCAGTCGATGGTCTGCGGTGTGGGCCCTCGACCCTGAGAAGGTCTGGTCGCCATCAGTGACCTCATCGTGACTTTTCGATTTCAGAGACCCAGAAATTTGAGCATTCGCCTGGCTATATATAAAACAGACGACAATCTTGGCGATTTCTTTTCATTCGTGCCAATCGAAATCATCAGAATTGTCGAATATGTCAGCTGTAAGTCGTCCCCCAGTCCGTATCCTACCACCGACATTATCCCTGACACCCTCACTCAGTCAACGGAACCCCCCGTTTACACGCTCGCGGAGGGCCGGCCCGTGCAAGACCCGGCATCCTCGGTCATTCTTCGCGGTCCAAATGTTCGCGGCGGCGGGCTTGGGCTGCTGCAGGACACTCAGCTCATCGAGACCTTGGCGCATTTCCCGAGGGAGAGAATCCCGGAGCGGTACGAGCAGCCCCCCTCCACATCCGTGATGGAAGAGCCACCTTTGTTTTGTTCCCTTTTTTTGGCTGACTCCCGAGCAGAGTTGTTCACGCGAAAGCGGCTGGTGCCTGGGGTGAGTTCGAGTGCACGCACGACATCACCGAGTGGTGTTCTGCCGCCTTGTTCAAGGAGGTCGGCAAGAAGACGGAGGTCCTCGCCCGCATCTCCACGGTCGCGGGGGAGAGGGGCTCGTCGGACACCGTCCGCGACATCCGAGGCTTCGCGCTCAAGTTCAAGACTGAGGAGGGCAACTGGGACTTCGTCGGCAACGACCTCCCCGTCTTCTTCATCCGCGACCCGGTCAAGTTCCCCTCGCTCAACAGGTCCCACAAGCGCCACCCGCAGACCGGCGTCGCGGACGCGAGCATGTTCTGGGACTTCCACAACAACAACCAGGAGGGCGCCCACTCGCTGTTGCAGCTCTTCGGGGGCCGCGGCATCCCCGCGTCCCTCCGCAACGTGAACGGGTACGGCAACCACACGTACAAGTTCGGAAAGCCGGAGGACGGCACGTTCAAGTACGTCAAGATCCACTTCAAGCCCGACGATGGCATCAAGACCCTTTCGGGGGAGGACGCCGCCCGGCTGGCTGGCGAGGACCCCGACTACCACGTCAAGGATATGTACAACGCCATCGAGCGGGGCGAGTATCCCACCTGGACGATGATGCTTCAGGTCATGAACCCCAAGGACGCCGAGAACTACAGATGGAACATCTTCGACATCACCAAGGTGTGGTCTCACAAGGACTACCCCCTGATCCCCGTCGGCAGGCTCACCTTGAACAAGAACCCGGAGAACCACTTCCAGGACATCGAACAAGCCGCCTTTTCGCCTTCGACGTTGATCCCCGGCATTGCCCCGTCGGCGGACATCATGCTACATGCTCGCATGTTTAGCTACCCCGACGCCGCCAGGTACCGCGTTGGGCCGAACTACCAACAGCTGCCGTGCAACCGGGCGCTCAACGTCTATTCCCCGTACCAGAGAGACGGCCCGATGCGCGTCGACGGCAACTACGGGTCCGACCCCGATTACGGTAGGCCACCGCTCCGCCGCACTCCATCTGCAACTATAATCCAGGCTAACCCGCATGTCAGTTCGGTCCTCATTCCGAAAGATCAGGAGCGGTCCAGCAGATGTCGCCCACGAGGAGTGGGTCGGCAGAGTCCAAGATTACAACTCTGACGTTACCGACGAGGACTGGGAGCAGCCGCGGATGCTCTGGAAGCTGTTCAAGGAGCAGGGCGAGGACAAGGTGTTGATCCACAACCTTTCTATGCACATCAACAAGGCGCTGCCAGAAGTCCAGAAAGAGGCCATCAGTAAGTTAGCCCCCACCCCCATACGTGATGTTGACGTTGGAATGGCTGGGCAGTTCTAACTCGAAATACCTTGCGATAGAGTCATGGGCCAATGTGGACGAAGAGCTCAGCAAGAGGCTTGAGGAAGCTTTGAGCAAAATGGGAGAGAACACGGATCATAAGAAGGCACCACCCAGTCAGATTGCCCTATTGAGGCACAGAAAGTGAGGGCGCCAAGTATATAATCATTTACGAATCAAGCGTATATTGTAGTTGTAGCCTAACTCTCGTAGGTTTTTGTTTGATGAAATGCGGCCCTTATTTCGGCCGGAAACGCAGGCATCGGGTAGTAGTGTAAAAAGTAAAGTTACAAGTATCAGATCCAAGGATAAAGACAGCCCCCAAGCTTGACAAAATTAACGAATCAAACAGAAAGAAACGATGACTAGAAGTCGGTAGAACCAGAGATGGACTCCCGCTCATCCAACAAAGCCAACGTGTCCTTACACTTTGCGCGAACGCCGGCAAGACAGTCGGTGCCCAAGAGCAACCTTTCGGGGATCTCCCGGCCCTCAGCAGCACCGGACTTGGTCATCACATCCACCGCCACGCGGGCCCCCTTGATCGGGTCACCAGGCTGGTTGTTGTTGGCCATCTCAAGCAGCTTCTTGTACTCGCCCGCCGCGCCGACGCTGTACGCGTCGACGACATGCTCGGCAGTGGTGCGGGCCCCGGCGTTGAGGAACCCGGTGCGGAAGTAGCCCGGCTCGAGGATGCAGACGTCGACGCCGAATGGCTTCATCTCTTGGGCGAAGCCCTCGGTGATGATGCTGACGGCGGCCTTGGTGGAGCAGTAGATCGAGACGGCCGCGCCGCCGGCCCAGCTGCCGACGCTGCCCATGTTGACGACGACGCCGAAGCCCTGGGCGCGGAGGTGCGGGGCCGCGGCACGGCAGACCTTGAGGGTGCCGAAGACGTTGGTGTTGTAGTTGTCAAAGACCTCCTGCGCGCTGGCTTCCTCGATGGTGCCGTCGAGGATGTAGCCGGCCGAGTTGACGACGTGGGTGACCTTGCCGTGGAGGGCAAATGCCTTGTTCACCATGTCCGTGACCATGGCCTCGTCGGCGGTGACGTCGAGGGCCAGGATGTCGGCACCGGCAGAGGCGAGCTCGGAGAGCTTGGATGGGTTGCGAGCTGTGGCGATGACCCGATGGCCGCGGGCGAGGGCATCTTTGGCAATGGCAAGACCGAAACCAGAGGAGGCACCGGTGATGAACCAAACAGGGGAGTCCATTGTGTGTTGGGTGAAGTGGAGTTGGAGTTTTCAGTCAGTTATTTTTGATAGCAAATGGAGTTTGGAGATGGCTGGATGTCTCAATGCCAGGATGAATGGATTGCTGTGATGATAATGAAGATAAAAAAGTTCTACCCATCAATGGAGATGAAGAGCCTGCATTATATAGAGCATCTATCATAGGCTTTGAATACTCGGGTCTTGGCGCTTCAGGCAGGATTCTTTCTGCCTCTGCATGTCAGATCCATACAACATGTGTAATGGCCAAAGCACACGGTGATAGCACTCTGTTCCGCAGCTCGGAATTATAGATCTAAAGCCCATGCCGCAGGAATCAATGCTGTCCCAGACTAGGTGAGCCATAGGATGTTGCTGATCATCGCAAGACGCTTTCAGCCTTGGTGGTGAAGAGGTTGGATCCTAACGCCGATGAACCACCAGGAGTTGGACCGTACATCGGGGATAGGCGATGTGGTTCAGCCGTTGGGGATAGAATGCCAAGTTCGGAGCAAAGATATGTTGTCAGTTGATTGGACGCCACCAGTCAAGCCGTGTTCGGCACGATGGCCACTTATGTTCGACTTGGAAACACAACTCCCCAAATAAGGGATGCTGGGTGATGAGATCTAGTGTCAAATCGGGGAGGGCCAAGGTGAGTCGTCGTTCGGGGTCCAAAGCCGACAACCCCAGAAAGGCCATGGCGCTCTAGGGCGTGGAACGATGGATCTCCCTCCGTGAGTGGATCCACAATCGGCGTATTTCCCTCCATGCCTCGATCACCCTTTGCCCCGACCACCCGGCGGGGCGTCTTGGACCTGAGTCGCATCATTCTCCAGATCATCATCCTCCTGTCAACATGGCTGCCACAACCTAACGTTTTCCGCGCAGAAGAAGCCGCCGAGCGCCACAGCCAGCCCACCCATAACAACTTTGGACCTGAGCAGCATGAACCTGCTGCGTCCGATCTGGTCGCTGTAAATGGGTCTGCTGACTTGCCTGCCGAAGCTACCCCTCGTGGGGTCGGTCCTCATCGTCCTCTGCTCGCTCTTCGCCACGGCCAACGCCTACACCGAGCTTGGCGACGAGGCACTGCGCGCCATTCCCTCGGGCGGTGATGGCTTCGACATCAAAACAGGCTCGCTTCTGGCGCCCATCTTGATCCCCCGCGTCCCCGGCACCCCGGGCTCCGCCAAGGTGCAGCAGCACTTCGTCGACTTCTTCCGCGCCAACCTGCCCGAGTGGATTATCGAGTGGCACAACTCGACCTCCAAGACGCCCGCGACCGGCGACAAGGACATACCTTTCACCAACCTCATCTTCCGCCGCGACCCGCCGTGGGCCAAGGGAGGAGATGTCGAGTACCTGACGCTCGTCGCGCACTATGACAGCCTGTACCACCCGGAAGGGTTCATTGGCGCGATTGATAGTGCAGCGCCCTGCGCGATGCTGCTGCACGCGGCGCGGAGCATCGAAGAGGCGTTGGTGAAGAAGTGGAAGGCCATGGAGGCGTCCGGCGACGCTGGTGCCGGGCTCGAGGAGGACAAGGGCGTCCAGATCATCTTGCTCGATGGCGAAGAAGCGTGGGTATCGTGGACCGAGACAGACTCTCTGTACGGAGCTAGGTACGTCGGCAGCCTTTGGAAAGGAAAGGTGCATCCAGCTAACAGCGTTAGGGCTCTGGCACGCAGCTGGGAGGCTACGGTCCACCCGGACTCGCTGTACAAGTCACCACTCTCGTCCATCAGCCTCTTCCTTCTCATTGATCTCCTCGGCGCACCTAACCCACGGATTCCGTCTTACTTCCCAACGACTCACTGGGCATACAAGAAGATGGCCAAGATTGAGCATCGTATGCGCGCACTCGGCATTCTGGAAACCAAGCCACAGCATCCCTTCCTGACGGACAGGCAAAAGAAAAGTGTGGGCTTCAGCGGCGGCTATGTCCTGGACGACCACGTGCCCTTCATGGAGCGCGGCGTCGAGATTCTGCACATCATCCCGACACCGTTCCCCGATGTGTGGCACAAGATTGAGGACGACGGAGAACACCTGGATCTGCCGACGGTACGGGACTGGGCGCGCATCTTGGCCGTGTTTGCCGCCGAGTGGATGGAGCTGGACGAGTACCTACCCAAGGGAGCAGAGAGCGAGGCCGCTGCTGGGCCGAGCCATTCCCGGGACGAACTTTGATTATTCGACTTGGCGCATTTAGAGAATAAACTATAGAAATTGTTGTAGTTTTGAAGCATCGAGTTATATAAGTGAGGTGCCAAACAAAACCTCATCTTGCCATCAGACTCTTAGATTATTACAACATACCGAGAAACGACATGCCAGTTAATGCAGCTTCCGTGATGATAGTCTCGATCCGTACTGTACGAATAACCGTGCATCCCCCCAAATGCACAGTCTCAGGTCCCGCTGCACCTGGCCCGTGCCCCACCGGTACTTCGTAATGGACACGAAAGCTGTCCCTAAGTGAACACTGTAGTCGTGAAGCTCCCGCCCAGCTACCGAAAGCTGCCAAAGACAAGAACCTCAGCAACCATGCGATTCCTCCACTCCTTGACGCCCGCTCTTGCGCTTTTTGCGGCCGGTGCCGCGCAGGCCGCCTCATCATGGGGATTCGACAGTGCCACCGTTTCGATTTCTGGAAAGGGCAAGGATGCCACCAAGGAGAAGTGAGTCGGCCCGCCTACGCATCTTCCCGGGGCTTTTGTTGTCATCTGGGGATCTGGGAAATCTCGCAAGATGCACGACCAGGGGGTGCAATTGCTGACAGAATGCGATTGACAGGCTGAGCCCGACCGCTCCCCTTAAGAAAGCCCTCTCTCTGGAGACCAAGGACAGCCTCAAGCTCATCCTGACGGCCAAGGAGGGTGACAAGGCCAAGCGCCCGCACCAGGCCTTCCTGGTCCTCAAGGAGACCACAACCGGCCTCGAGGCCCCCTTCCCTCTTGAGATCAAGGAAACCGGCAAAGGTGTCGTCGATATTGTACGTTCCTGGCCCAGGTTGTTCCCGAAGTGACAATGGCAGCGTAGCTAACTCGGCCACAACAGTCCCAGAAGGACCTCCCGATCCAGCTCCTCCTGGCCACCGAGCCCCTCAAGGCCAGCATCGTCATCGGCTCTTTCGGATCGTCCAAGGCCGTCGAGACGACTCTCTTCGAAGTCGCCGTCAAGCGTGACGCCATCGCGGCCCCCCCGGTCTACGAGCCGCCCGTCCGCTACGGCAAGCAGCCCGAGATCCACCACATCTTCAAAGAGGGTGACAAGAGCCCGCCCAAGATCATCTCGTTGGCCTTTGTCATTGCCGTCCTCGCCACAATCCCCGTGCTCCTCGTTGGCGTAAGTGTCTCTGCAAATACATCTCGAGAAGGCAAGCCTCGCAGAATGAAACAACTGACTGACTTCTCTCCGCAGTGGCTCAACCTCGGCGCCAACTTCAACCACCTTCAAAAGGCACTCTCCGCGGCGCCCCTGGCTCACGTCGGCTTCTTCGGCTCCATAGTTGCCATGGAGGGCGTCTTCTTCCTGTACTACACCAGCTGGAACCTCTTCCAGACCCTGCCCGCTGTCGCCATCGTCGCGACCTCCATCTTCCTGAACGGCACCAAGGCCCTCAGCGAGGTCCAGAGCCGCCGTCTCGCCGGCCAGAGGTAAACGACATCCTCGCGATTATTCACGCGTTTTCGGGGAGACGAGTACGGTCTCGGTCGCATGTGTTGGGAGGACCTGGAGGGACGTTCATCGGGTTATGAAGACAGAATATTGGGTCTCCGATCGACATCAAAAAGTTTGAGGGGTTGGCCAGTAAGGGTGAATAAAGAGGACACCCCCTATTGTACATCAGCATTACAGCAGCATCGGGGCATCTGCGGATTAGATAAGACCAGGAAAAACACAAAGGTGAAATGAACCATGAAGAGAAAAAAGTAGCATCCAGACCCGTCTATCTAACGCCGTGCTCGCTATATAGTGACATCATGGCAAACCGTTGGGCATTAACATCGGCTTCTCAAGCCCTTCTCCTAGAGCTTCTCACTCTGTCCCGCAACCTCGACACTCCTCCGCCGCGCGCCAGCCGCGGATCCCTCCCCTTCCTCGTACGCGGGCGGCGGCACATCCGCACCCGTGGAAGCCCTTCGGCGCTCATGCCATTCCTCGACGCCCTCCTCCTGTCTCCCGCTGTAGGCCATGCCCCGCTGGTACTGGTACTGCTGCTGATACTGCTGCTGTTGTTGCGGCTGGTAGTACGGCCCGGCAGCCGCGTGGTCGACAGTCCCGAAACTCCTGCCATGGGCTCCGTAAGGCCGCTGCGCCTTGGTGGCGTGCCTGACGGCCTTGCGCTCGTGCTTCATCGCCCGCCTCTCGAACTTTGCCTGCCGCCCCTTGCCAAAGGGCAGCGCGACGGCGCAGATGCCGCACGGCTGGCCGCCGGGCACGGCGCTGCAGCCGGCATGGCCTTCGCGGTGGGCTGACGCCGCGGCCTGGTCGTGGTTTTGGTTGTGGCCGTAGGGGTTCCGGCCGGCGGCAACGTGGACCACCGTCGAGACGAGACCGGTGATGAGGCCCATTGGTTGACGGATGTGCGAAGGCGAGCGTGGGGGGTGGGGGAAGAGGGGAGGCGATTGGGTTGCGTTGAGTGCGTGGGTTCAACAGCGATATGTATAAGCTGGGGATGGCTATGATCCGACGGATTTGAATAGCGAGAAGGAATATATGTTCTTTGTCTCAAGCTTCGATAACAGTTGATCTTTCAGCGTCTTCTCTCGGCGCTCTAAGGTTCTCGATGTCGTGTGAAATCTAATAAAATTCCCACAAGCCATCAGGACACACGCCTGCTTTATATCCATCTAATCCTTCGCTCGCCCTTCCTCCCTCGTTCGCTCCCTCTCCGTCATCACACAGACTCCGCTTTCATCCTTCCAACGCCGGCGTAAGCCCTTCCCCCCCGATCGGGAAGCCCATTCGAAGATGCGCGGCGCACGCCGCAGAGCTTTGCCAAGCCACGGCAGACCAAGTGGGGCGCCCGGCACCGTCGTGCCGGATCGAGCCAAAGGTCGGCGGGTCACATCGAATCGGGTCGCTGAACTCCTGCCCGCCCCAGCGACCAGGACCGCAACAGGGGGGCTGAGCAGCTACCCATGTGCGCAGCAAGTCAGCTCTTTTCGCAAGTCTTTCGCACTCGGCTAGTGTCCCAATCAGCAGTCAGCATTTGCTTGGAACGGCGTGTTCGTCTGAGTATGTACTACGTAGCGTCGCAGGCAGGCATGGCATCTTTAGGGCAAAAGGCAGGCTAACGTGTGCTTTACCAAAGTCGGGAATCCCGACCAATTGGCAATTGGGCAGTACGCGTGATCAGATAACACACCTGAGCTAGCGCGAAGGATGTAAAACAATGCTTGGATGCGTGGATGTGCAAGGGAGAGGCCGTCGTGACCGGCCAGCGGCTATGATATGCGTGCGTAATGTATTTACGTGGGGACCTCGTCTGTACTCATAGCCATATGGAAGCAACTACACAAACGGACGTGTATCGTGTCTGCATCCCTTATCTCTCATGTCGATGCTGTTTCGTGTAGGATTCGTCCGAGGCCGCTACGAGCTCCCACCAAGCCCGTATCAAGGCCATGCCGCCGTTCTGCGTCTCCGGGGTCCTACCCCTGCCGCGGTCGTTCGGATCGCCTCTCGTCGGCGGCGTCGCTTGTCGTTCGAACCCGGCTTTACGTCCGTCGCCGTCCTCTTCGCGCGGTGCCTGTCTACTTAAGCTAACGAGGACCTGCTGTCCGGACTGCTCCTCATCACTAACCACCACGACACCCCTTGTTTGGTTCTTGCGTGCTTCGCCGTTCGGGGCCCAGACCTTGTCCGGGTCGCCGTTGGCCCATACGCCATCATGCGGAAGGCCGTAGTTGCGGTAGTCGGTCAAGTTCGGCGCGTTGTGGGCAATGCCGTCCGTTTCCATCGTCGGCAAGACACCCTGGAATACGCCCGCTCCCCACCATGCGCCAAACCGGCCTTCGCGGTCTCTGGTCAGCAAAGCTGATTTGGCATTATGCTGTACCCAGCCTAGGTAGGCCTGGCAGGCCGATGCGTGAGCCGTCTTGATCTGATCGTATGCCTGGGCATCGACAGTCATGCCTGGCTCAACAATGGCCGGGTCGATTGGCTGGCAGAATGTCACGAAGTGATGGAAGAAAATGCCCTTGAAAGTCTGTCCATCCTGCGAGCATGTCGCGCTAGCGTCGCAAGAGTCCTCTAAGATGCCCCCACGGCCCAGTCCTCGCCATGGCGGCAGGTAACCTGGGGGGAGGTCTGATAGGTTGTCAATTGGCCGATCGAGCTCCAGGTCCCAGCCCGAAGCTTTGATGACTGCCTGGATTAGTTTGTGTCCGTCTTCCAAATACGATGCGCTGCCCGTTGCGGTGAAGAGACCACGCTGGCCAGTAAGAAGCACGCCCTGGTTGTAGGTAAAGACGGCTTCACTGCGCACATCGCACTCGGTGTTGTCCTGCTTGGACTTGTCTATGTGGTAGCCGTCAACATAAAGGCCTGCATCGTTGGTGAGGTTGACTCCGGTGATCCACTTGTAACCCTCAATGGCAGCGGCAAGGTACTTGGGTTCGCGAGTTGCTTTCACGCCACTTTGGCTGTTGATCCAGGGCGTGGTGTTGTTGTCGCCTGGAAACCAAAGGTACATCGAGATGGACGCCGCGATGTATAGTTCATTGGTGATGGCGTTCTTGTATGGTTCCAATCTCGGGTTCCAATTCATGCCGCCACCACAGAGCAGCGTGTCCCACCCCTTGGATCCGAGATCCCAAAAGATTCGTGCGCGGTGAGCAAACGCGGGAACCCAGTACTGGCCATGCCAAGGGCCGTTGGCCAATGCGTCTCCGAGACCTGGGGTTGCGCTTTCGTTGACGCCCTCCCGAGGGTAGAATAGTTGAGAGTGTATGTTGATGAGCTTGATGGCATCGATCCAGCCGAGGACAACCCATAGAATATCATCGAATGCCTGCTCGCCCGTTAGAATGGGCCGCGTGCTGTTTGCGATGCGAAACAGAGGCCGCTTACCTCGTGACGGATTGCGACGTCGTCTTGACCAAAGTAAGAGGCCACAAGTTGGGTGAAGAACGTGTCGATCAGATTGCGCTTCGCCACCTTGTCACTGTTACCCCCGATATCAAGCACAGCCAGGGCTTGCGAAAGGGAGGTCAAGGTGCCAGAGAGCATTGTCTCCATAACGGCGGCCGTCCAGTCAATGGCTTCTGGCCACGTTCCTTGGTCCGATGCAAAGAAGTCATGCTGCATGACCGTCAAGGCCTCAAAAGCAGCTTCGAGAGGTTCATCTTTCGCCTCGGGTGTATTGGTGGAAGGTTTCCTCGCAGCTTTCGGGGCTGAAAGAAAGGTCGTGGGCTGCTTCGGTTCGCAATCGGTCGGCGGCTGGGCTTCGGGATAGAAGATGGGGCAGAAGCTCTTGGGCGCAGGCGGGGGAGTCGTCGCAACAAGAGCTGTAGCACAAGTAGCCAGAGCAAGAACCAAGAGGCATGCCTCTGGTAAAAGTAAACATGTCCGGGCCATAATGGCAGCGCGAGTGTCACACCGGGATCTCAAGTTGAGTGAATACAAGCCACGAGCTTTCGAGAAGGCCGCTCAGGTGCAGCAGCGCTCTGCCATGATCATTTGAGAAGGATCTCGCAGTGAGCTAGGCGAGGATCGGCAAACGCGGGGAATATAACGGGCAAGCAGGATGGAAGAAATGTGGGTTGGCAAAGGACGATGGGCTGCGACGGTGCGAAGGTGGATGAAGAAAGTCGGGGGGGTGGGAGGCGTTGGAAGACAATCAAGAAGCGGCAGAGTGCGCGGACTGTGCCGCCGGGCGCTGTTGGCGCTGTTGGCGATGGACGGCCGATGGACGGGCGGATGGCAGAGCCCAGGCTAAGCCCACCGTCCCAGGGCGAGATCCACCTGCACGAGGCATATGGACCCCTCCTATGGTCACAGAATGGTGCGCCGAGAGGTCATAGACTCACAATGGTGGGCAGTGTCGCTTCCCTGGGAAGGTGGCGGCCACTAGAGATCCAGTCATGTTCATGTTCATGCGGGGCATATTTAGAGTCAGGTCCCTGCGCTATGTGAGTCTGTCACTGAAGGGCGAATCGCTGTTGCAGTCCAACGATTGACGACGCAAGATGAGCATAAATCATCATGTAGGTACATGAAGAAGCCTCTGACCACCAAATGCAAAAATGCACGCGAGCATCCTTTTCCGAGGCGATACAACACCGCCAGGTCCATTGTCCACGAACTGGTCCATCGACAACTTGGCGGTAAAGCACGCTGACGATGCCACTGGCTGCAGATGGCGTGGTCACCTGCCGATACCTGCCCAGGACTTGGCGGGCCTGGTGACTCGCATTTATGCGCCCGCGGACTTGCCCAAGGGCAACGCTGCTCCGAATATTGCTACACGTCGACGCCGCCGGCAAACTAATTATCAAATGCACAGGCGGGCATGTCTCGGGTCTTGGGACGGTACTGTGAGGTCGGAACGGTAGCCGAGGCCGTTGAAGAGTGCCGGTACATAGGTACCCGTAGGTTCGTTGGCGAGTCGTGGAATGCATTCGTTCCTAGGGTGAAACGTGCCGAGTCGACCTCGTGAGCTTGCGTCTAGCGGTGCTCGACCACGTTGACTGGCATGTCTTATTACTACTTACTAGTGTACGTGAATTTGGTGTGGGAGGCGAGAAGGGGTGATCCCGTCTCCGAGCTTTGTCTGTCTTGATCAGCGCGATCCAGTGAGCGGGAACTAATACAATAGGTACGGCTTTGGATCTCGGAGGTGAATCCGGTCGGTGAGTCTTTCCCCGGCTGAATTTGAGGGTGCTCTTTCACCGAGGCTGGCCGAGCCCAGCTGACGTAAAGGTCCTGAACCAAGGTCGGATGGGCCAGAGACAAGATAATCTCCCCAAAATGATCTAGAGATTAGCCGGAAGACAACCAAGCCCGAGGCTGAGGAACTCGAAGAAAACACGCCCCACGCCTTATCCTGATTCCCAAGTCTCGTCTTGTTCGGTCCAAAGAACGCGTTTTTCTTTGTCTTGCGCAGAGCCAACCAGCACGCGTTTCCTGTCTGCAAAGGCCTAATCATTAGTGATGATTCGCCGGGGGGCAGAGCAAGGGCGCTGAGACTGACCTCGGGGAGCAGGGCTTCCCCACTACGACGCACGGGCGTCTACAGCCAATAGCCAGTTGTTTACGCCTGCACCTCTGAAAGTAAACAAACCAACCCCTGCTCATTCACATTGCACGCACGCATTCTTCCCTCTCCATATCTTCTTGCCCGCGACTGCTCAATATCGCATCACAGCCCTTGACCTCCGTCAAGCCATTGTGTGCGCTTCCATGCCTTGAGCAGCTTTCTCTTTGCTCGGTATTGCTTCTCTTCAGAATTACAGTTTAATTGTCCCCAGACTCTACTCATCCGACGCGTCGCCGCCAACTGTTGCGGCACCATTGTGAATTTGCATTTTCTTGTCGACTCCTGCCTTGGAAACCGCGCCCGACGCGTCCTACGGCAGTCATGGAGGCCGAATCAGCACACAATCGCTATCGCTCTCGCATTCTTCGAGAAATGAACGCAAATCGCGACAACCCTTTCAACTCCCCACCATCCTCCACCGGCTCCCACGGCACCGTAAGCCCGACAATGTCTTCCGTCTTCTCGGAGCCAGACGGCGAGTCCACGCGCAGACTGAACGAGGACATTGCTCGTATTGTCGGTCCCACGGGCGGAAAGGTCCAAGTCGACTTGGAGGCTGCCCACCGCAAGTGGCCCGAATTCTATGGCAAGCCGAAGGCTGCCGCCGAAGCGAAGCAGAACAAGCCCGCCCCTAGGCAATCGGGCTCTTTGCGTCACAAGGACGCCGTCTCCCACAAGGCCATCGTCCAGAAGTACCTGTCCAATAGGGTGGACGACTCGACGGAAATGACTTGGCAGGGTTCTAAGCGGACACGTGCTGAAATGCAGCCTCGCGTGGAGGACAACGAGTCTGACATGTCGGCCAACACGTCCAAGTCACCCTTCCGGTTCGATATCAATGCCGACAGCTTCAAGTTCAATCCTCAACAACAGGTCGGCCGAAGCCCCCTGTCTAGAGGACATGCACGCTCAACCTCTGGCAATTACAAGTCGGCACGACGATCTTCTCAAGCCGCAAAGAACGACCGTCGGAAGTCGGATTTCCTGGCCCCCCCAACCCACGCAACTCCAAAGTCAACACCAGCCGAGACCGCGCCATCGAACAACCCTACCCCGGTCACCTTTAATACGATTAGGAGCACGTTCCCGTCGCCAGCAACAACCGACAGTCCGGCTCAGAATGGCGTCACGTCCCGCTCTTTCTTCATGCCCGACATCTCTCACCTCAACGACTTCATTTCTGGCAACCTGCGCTTCCAAGGTGCGGTCAAGAACGGTGTCCCCGTGTTCGTGAAGAACGGACAGGTGCGTGATCGCATCGATACAATGCCTCCGAACGACCACGCCGAGGTCGACGGCCTAGCAATCCCCGAGGATGAAGAGAAGATATTTGTGTCTATGGATATGATCCGGGACGAAATACTCAACCTTCAGGAGCATGACGACTTGGTGCAGCAGCACGCTGTCGAACTCGAGGGTCAAGTGGAACACCTCCAAAAGGAACTCAAACGGCTCAAGGGCCGTAAGTCGATCGACAGTGCTATTGGTTCTCGAACCGCCTCGGAGCCCGAAACAGCCCACGAGGAGCGCTTCCAGACAGAGAAGCTGAGTGAGTCATCCTTTCTCCCTAGTTCAGGACCAAGCTAACAGGTGACAGAATTGGAGTCGCACATTGCATCACTGCAGTCCCGGCTGGACCATGCTACCACCCGGATCGATTCTACCGAATACGAGAACAACACGGTTTCTCTCGAGCGAGACCGGGCCCTGAAGAAGCTGCAAGATGCCTGTGTCGAGATTGGCGATCTCATGGATAAACTTGACGCCCAGGGGAAGGAGCTTCACGAGACCCAGGAGAAACTGAACGCCACCTTGGAGATCACCAACCAGCGGGAGGTGGTCCGTCACGAAAAGCAAACCAACTCTGTTCGGCACACCGAAAATAAGTCGGTCCAGGCAGACAACCACGCCCTTCGCCGGGAACAAGAAACTCTGCAGCAGGAACTGGACTCTCTGCGAGCCGACAACAACTCTTTGCGTCGCGAGCAGGAGTCGCTCATCAGCGAGAACAGGTCTTTGCGTGCCAACGCGCGTTCGCTCATGTCCGAGAACGAAGAGCTCCGTCAGACTGCCGCCAACGCCAAGGAGGACATTGAGGCTGCCCGCGATGAAGTTGAGGCACTGCAGGTTGAACTGCACACCATGGAGCAAGAAAAGTCCACGCTCAGGGAGGACAACGATAGCCTTGTTCGGCACAACGAAAAGTACTTCAACGAGAACAAGATCCTCCGTCGCGAGAACTCTGGGTTTGAGCGGAGCATCCATGACCTTCACGACGAGAACATGCACCTCAAGGAGGAAATCGAATTCCTCAAACAGCAGCTCGATCACTGCCGCCCCCTCGGAAAGACCGAAGACTTTTCGGTGCGCCTTGACAAGGAGGTGGGCGATGAAGACGAAACAGAAGAGAATATGACCTCGGCATTCTTCGTTCCGGACATTACCATTGATAGCACTCAGAACTCGGCTGTCGTCGACGGCACCGTTGAGGGAAAGAAAATCCGGAAGCCCGCAACGCCAGGCAGGAAGGCAATCGACATGCAGGACACAACGGAGCAGACGGACCGCAGTATCAACGAGGTTGACCACACCTTCCAGAGCCAGCTGAGCTCTGTAGCACCCGAGCCTCCTTCTAAGAGACGAGCCTCCACCTCGCGTCCTCAAGAGTCCACCGGCCAGCAAAAAGTGTCATTCTCTCTGCCTGAGCGCTCGGCAGCGTCTACCAAGTCGAAGAGCACTAAAACCTCCAACGTCGCCAACAAGGGCAGCAAGAGAAGCGTCTCTGCTCACACAGCCACCAAGACTTCACTCAAGGGCGACGTTGTCCCTGATCTCGACCCATTCCAGACTGAGGACGACGCCTCCATGCAGTCGCTGGAGAACACCCAGACGCATTCCATAGTAATCGACATGACGAGAAGCAAAAAGGAGTCTCGTACTACCCGACAAGAGTCGACCAACACCACTCGGAACTTGACCAGCCAAAGTCAGAGAACGCCATCAAGGTCCGCTATCAAGCCTTCCCAGAATAAGTCGGTCACGATCGACTTGATCACTCAAGGCGGACTGGAGAACACGACTACGGAAATGAAGGGCAACTGCCCTGCGCTGTCGTCGGATGCGCGTCGTGTGCTTGACAGTCTGGCTGGACACAGCTGTAAGAACTGCATCGTGTGCACCCGGATCAAAGGCCACCGAGGAACGGTCACTGCTGCCGATATAGCAGAGGGCAAGAAGCGAGTGAAGATCTCCAGGCCTGTTGCTCCTTCAGACCAGTACAAGCAGCTGGGCATCTCATCCGAAGATGCCACCATGCGGCCTTCTCAGCCTCCGGGCAACGCCCTGGCTAAGGTCATCAAGGGACTCGAGGATGAGTTGGAACACATGAAGATGGAGCACGCGAAGATGCAGGCCAGATACGACAGACACAACCCGGCACTTGCCGAGTCGAAGCGCAAGCAGCTGAAGATCAACATTGACGCCAACATGAACGCGCGCGAGGTCAAGAATGCCCAAATATACGCGCTCTATGATGTTTTGGAGGGCCAGAAACAGGTCGGACAAGAGATGTCGGAAGAAGAGCTCGACATGACTGTTTTCAGCATTACGGGATTAAGTGTTAGGGACATCACAGATCAGATTACTTGGGAGGGCATTCAAGGATAGGGTGAGGGTGGTTTGGAGCTCGTAAGGTGGGTGCGTGTCACTGGTCTTGCGCATGGCGTTTTGGTGGTTTCCCAGATATCAGGTTGTTGGATGGGAGCGAGGCTCCGGTTTGAGCACGCTCGGAAGATTGTCACAAGGTTATTATTGTTTGTTCAGTTTCATCGTTGTTGGACCTCGTTGTATTATACCCGGCCTTTCAGGACAGGTCGTTGGCGGACAGCAATTATCATGAATACCCCATGCCACAACATACGAGCCGGGTCAGCTGTGCTGGTGATGTAGGCGACTTGGCTGCTCTCATCTGATCCGGAACCGAGGCAGAGAACCCAAGGCACGATGTCCAGCTGGAGCCCTAAGTCGCCGGCAGCACCTAGCTGTGCTCAGCTTTTACGACAACATGTCCAGCCAGATTTGGTAAGATTAGATTAAGGGATTTGAAAGCGGCATCGACGCTGATCAGAGCCGCATCATTTCCCACCCGAGGTTGCATGCGCCCCGGCGTGGACAGCCAAGACGAATCCTATTCAGAGACAGACCATAGAACAGGTCAAACGCAGCAGCCGTTTCATGGACGGTATTTCCGCGCGTACTCGCGAGGCCAAGCACGACCCATTCTGCGGATCTTGACGTGACCACCCCCCCTCAGCAGCCCTGCAAGTGGCCGAGTTCAACTCCATTCAAGTCGGCAAGCGACACGTCCGCTGAGTATTGGCCAACGGCACAGGGTGGGAGAGAAGAAGGAACTGTTATATGCGCCTTCACCGAGAAAATGCAGCGGGGAGGGGCAGTCCGCTCATGGTATGGAGCTCGTGGTGACGCGAGGCACAACACCTGCCGTCACGAGAACTCTGCGAACCTGGAATGCAGGCAGCCGGGCATCGTGGCCGCCGCCTCACACTGCAAAAGCCCAAGGCACGTCAGCAGGCTCGGGTGATGGGCTGGCTTGTTTTCTTAGGCACCGACCCGTGCCTGCCAAATTGTATAGCCACTACTGTTGTTGCCTGCTCCTCCCACGCCTCACTTTCCTCCCTCAAGGCCCCTCTCCCTCTCATACCTGTAGAAGCACACTGTCATTTCTTCAAGCTGCTAAAGCTTTGGCACGGATCGACAGGCCCCCCCTTTCTTCGTTCCTCCTCCAACTAGATAGGTGCTTGTTGCAGGGGGGGGGGGGGTCCAAATACGGCAGGGACGACTGGCACAAGCTGCCGACGATCTCGTCTCCTGTCCAGACGCCTCGGCGGATAACCTCGACGATGGGGTTCACTGAGCCAGAGGCGAAGAGCTCGAGGTCTTCTGCTTGATGGAGGCGTTTGCCAACCTGTCGGCAGTGCTATAATGCTCAAGCCGTACGTTGTTGACATCGAGGACGGTCCGAATCATCAATGGGAGTTGTGCGGCGGATACTGGATGCAGCAGGATGGGGACGCGGCTAAATTGAGACCCAAAGAATCGTAACGACCAGGTTTGTTTGTTTGCCATCTCACGTCGTTGCAGATAAGCGGCCATATCGCAAATCTCCACGCATCTTTTCCAATAGCTTATAATGGGACTTCATGTGCACACAAAACTACATCTGTCATCCAGCCTGACCGGGGCCATGACACTCAACTGCGACCACCAAAACTCTTCTTCGTACCACCGCGCAAGGCGGAGAGCACAATGAAAAGTGAGTAAAAATCAAAAATTGCCACAGCGATGGTCCCGAAGGACAATCGAGAGCGGTCGACACCGCGATGTGCAATGCAGGCCTCCCACTCTGGATGCCGGATTTCTTGATCCCCAGCACCCCCATGAAGGTAAGTATGAAGAAGAAAAGAAGGAAAAGGTTCAAAAAGGGAGGAGGCTAGAGGGCATTATATAGGTTTTCTGGAAGGCCACCCAATCACTCGGGTGGGGCACAGACTTGAGCCAATGGCAAATCCGAGCGGAAAGCGGGTTCTCGAATTTTCTGATTGGCTCAGAACAGCTACGAGCACGTGCTCTCCCGATTATGCTCTCTCCTGCCTGTGGTTAGGTAGCCATGCGAGGGCAACATCTTCTCTCAACGATGAGGACTTTCCACAGCAGCCGAGTCATCGATGCTTGCGAAAGACCTTGGAGAAAGAGTGTAGGATCGTGCAGAACGTTGAGACAGTCGGCGCAGAGGCTGGTATTCCCGTGGGCCTGTCCTGGTCCTCATATTGTTTCTTCATAGCAGGACATGATTTTATGCTTCAGCCAAATTAGACAGTGTATCCGTACTCTCTGTCCGTTTTTGTTGTTGTTTTTTTGCGTATACCGTGGCATATGACAGTTTCAAAAGAAAGACCTTGAACATGCCCACATGCATCTACCTTTCTCATCAGGTGGGTATTTACCGGTTCTTCGCAACGACAAGTTAGCCGCCTGTTTTAATGCAACAATTGCACATGGCTGGATCTTTCCCCATTCAAATCCTCGTTCCGTCTACCATTCCTCATGAAAACGTCACTCTTGCACCTGCCGTTTCCAGCATCTCCCTGGTGTTACCTCATTGACCGTGATGAGTGGACGTGAAAAAGGGTGACGGCTAAGTTTCTCGCCAAATCTACTCGCAGCCTAGGTTGTGAAGCCGTCTGTTCGTGCATCTGCAACAACTGTGCTACGATTAGCATTAGGCGGGCATGCCTAAAGGGCCATGCCTGTCCAAAGGGGGGGGGGGGGGGGGGGCATCCTTCCACGATCCTACACATGCTGTAGGTACGGTGCTGAAATACCGCATTATCTGGACGACGACTTATGCTTCGTTGACGCGGCTCATCGTGCAGAAGAGCTACAGCATCGATCAACCGAGATATGTGGAGCGAGCGTAGGGATTTATAGATGATATGAGCAGCCCGTCCGGCAAGGACTGAGCCATGATGGTGAAGACCGGGTGTTGTCCCCCTGAAACAGCAACAAGGTGGTTTATAGAAGACATGACAAAGATGCAGGCGCGTTTACGTTTCTGTTTCTGTTCTTAGCAACCACTTGTATCGTATTGTCGTCCTGAAGCAGCAGGTATATATATGTGTGTTCTGCTAATATGGAGAGCAGCGGGTAAACCGGAAACCACAGGGACATTTCTCCATGCAGAAGGGCGAAGGGTCTCTCAGCCAATCATTATCTTGTCATGCATGGTTAGATAAGCACGGTCCCAAGGTCGGGCTGGCATCACGTCTCTTGCTTCGCCAATGCCTCCCCTCCAAGGCGATCTAGTAGCCTTGGCTTCGAACAGTGGACTGGGGCAATGCATCGTGCACTGGCAAGATTTGCTCTCGCATTGCCTTGGTAGACGTCCAGGCCTCTGGTCCATAGTCATCCCATGCATGCGATGGACAACAGTTCGATGAGCCCAACAGGTTCAGCCCCTCATCTTCTCCGCCATCGATCTGTCCATCGTCTGCGTCGCGTTGATTAACAACCCCCCACAAAGCGGGAGAAGTACGACATGGGCAAGTGCCGCCAACCCGCTGCCCACGCCGCCGGCTCAGGGGTACGCACAAGCAAGCAAAGAACAAGAGGGCTGCGTGGTGACAAATACGGGAAGAAGGTCACGACGTAAACCACACCGGCCGGTGGCACCACTCTGCCAACCTCGACGCGCTAAGCCGGGATGATGGTTGTTTCAAGAACGCGGCGTTTTCGTTCACAGGGCCGCAGCACTTATTGTCTCTCTTGCCGCCGCAGGAACGACAAATAACGTCGATTACCATGCGGGCGGGGAATCCAGTTTATTCGACCAGACTCGGCCTTCTGGTTTGCTATCCCAGCAGAGTCCATGCAACCCATCTTATTGCTGATCCTTGGCATCACCACCTCCATTCCAAGCCAAGGCGAAACCAAGACCGCCCCCCCTTTTTTTTTCCTCTTGTCTCTTTCGTCTCGTCTTCCTGTCATTCGGAGCGAATGCGCAGCTGTCCTGTCTCTGTGGAAGGCCGTGTATCCTTGGCCGACGGTTTAAGATTGTGTGGATGGGGGACAAATCCTTGGCGCGGATGGCTTGCACAGCCCTCTCGCTCTGGGCACCATGGGACGGTGAGATGGGGTCGAGGTCACTTGGGTTATAATTGAGATACCATCCCCCATTTTTATCCAGAAACCACATTTTCCACAGCATTTCCTCGCGCTTGCTGCATTCGTTCTCTGCCAGTTTCTTCCCAGTCGCTCCTTTCAACCCCAGGGAGCTTTTAAGCATCACGTATTCTAGCCGAGCCATCTGCAGATCTCTCTCTCTCTCTCTCTCTCTCTCTCTTTCTCACACTCGCCAAAAACACGATTACAGAAACGAGCAGCAGCAATGACTACGGATCAACCACAAAAGCAATTCATGGAGGCCAAGACGGAGTCTCCCAAGGACGAGAACACAGAAACGCAGTGTTGGTCATGTGTACGACAAACCCCAACGGCAATGTGCCGGGAACCCTACAAGTGCACCCGCTGACAAAAATTTCCCCGTACACAGGCCCAATGCTGCTCAAGCTGCATGGACTGCCTCATGATGTGCTTGCGTTTCTAAGGTGACGGGGACTCATCACACATACACACGACAAGAAACGATGGAGTTTGATATTCGAGACCACCAAGGTGCTAGGTCCGGCTCGAAATGTGTCACGTACTGGAACGTCAAGTTTTGCCGGAGAGGGCCCCCGGGAGGGGCGTGTGCCAGGTTCGGCAAATTGTCTCTCTTCCACGAGGGCCTCTGGTCGGGAGTTGGAGGAGTTTCGGTCCGTGGAGACCCGGCATCGGCTATCGGGTAGACCAGGGATATGATTCTGGGCATCACTATTCAGATGTCGACTTTGTTTGAATTGAATATAAAAGTTCACTGTGCATTTTTACAATGCCATGTTCGTCCGTCCTTTGCGAGTGACATCGTCCGATTGGCGACCAGCAGAGAGTCCGTGCACAGGCTTCCAATATCCCCCCCACATAGCATCCCTCCACTTTTTCTGCTCCGCGCTGCCGCCCTCTCGATGAATGTACCTACTCTCAGCCTCGCCATAGTAAACGTCTCCCCGCCTAACCACCACCACAATCCATCGTCAACTTTGACCACCTAACGCGCCGTCACACCGACTGGTTCCCACCCCGCGCTCCTTCGTACCCCAAACACCCCCTCTCTCTCCTCAGCGGCATCAACTTGACGGAATCCCCTCACCAAAGAAAAAAAGCACCACACACAGTTCGCCAAGATGGCCGACGTGGAAATGGAAGTCGACAACCCCCCCTCCCCCTCCGCCGCGGCCGGCGAGGCGGCCCCGGCCCGCAACGAGTCCGAGATGCAGACCCACGGCCGCGCGACCGCCGTCCGCTCCATCGAGGGCTGGATCATCATGGTGACCAACGTCCACGAGGAGGCCGACGAGGAGGCCATCCACGACATGTTTGGCGAGTTCGGCGAGATCAAGAACCTGCACCTCAATCTCGACCGGAGGAGCGGTTACGTCAAGGTACGCGCCCCCCCGCGCGCGCTTCTACATGCGAAGAAACCTCGGGATAAGAAGTCTCAACTCGGTGGAGCACAACACTGACACCTCTCAACCCTAGGGCTACGCTCTCATCGAGTACGCCACCCTCGCCGAGGCCCGCGCCGCCATCGACTCGGCCCACGAGACCAAGCTCCTCGACCAGACCGTCTACGTCGACTTCGCCTTCGTGCGCCCCCCGCCGGGGAGCAAGGGCGGCAACAACCGCGGCGCCCGACCCCAGAACCGCGGCCGCGGCCGGAGCCGCAGCCGCAGCGCCGACAGGGAGGCCGTCGCCGCCGCCAAGGACGGAGGAAACATCGAATGAGCTTGTGCTTTTCTCATAGAAGGGGGGCAGGGGGGGGGGGCACTCTGCCGTCCTAACCAATTCGTGAGTGGCGCCTCTCTCAAACTTACAGAAGCAGCTCTAATTCCGCCGAGCCCCGCAATTTTTCACGCAAGCCTTTCGAGATGTACCCATTCGCGTCCGGTGCCGAGGCATATAGGACCGAGGTTCAGCAACAAGGGGGGCAGGGGGGGGGGGGGGGGTGGAGAAGAAAAGGGCATTGCGAACATGGCCTTCGCCGATGTGTCCGCGACCAAGCAGAGCCGAAGGGAGCTTGGGTCGCGAGGAGGAGACACGTCGGCATGCGCGATTTGGTCCGGAAAGGTTGGTCACTCGATCGTCCCTTTTTTTTAACAATTTACTTTCAGTCTATATCCCCCTCCCCTTCTTTTTTTGGCCAAAAGCGACCAAAAAGCTAACTCGCAGTTGCAGGGACCACAAAGAAAAGAAGAAGAAAAAGTTTGACAATCACCAAAATACTACACATATATTTTCTCCCCGCAACGCAAGAAGAGGGAGGGGGTAGAGGAGTGTTTACGTCCCTTTCCCGGCTCCGTTTCTTCCGCCTCAAGTGGGAGAAAGGGGGGGCGGGGCTCAAGACCACGCACAACACGCGCGCATCAGACTTTTGACGGGCCACGGTCCATCAGCGACTCTGCCGACTGATTAGCCGTGACACTCTCCCGCCTTTTCCGGGAAATGCGCCCATCACTTCATACGTTACTTCAAAAAACACATTAGGATGCGTCCCCAGTCGGAGTCATAACTGTCATTACTAACGTAAGAGGCCATCCGACCTAGAGGTATCGAAAGAGACGGGTCACCCCTGGGAAAAGGGGAGTCCGCTAATCCAAGAAAAGAAAAAAGTCTTCTGTCCTCATTTGGAAATCCTACTCCTTTATGACGCCCATATGTTACGCCTCGAACCAGGGATAAAAACGCCATGTGTGGAATGCCAAAGCCAACCCCCTTGTCGTTGTTGAGAATACTCATGCCTCTTGTCCTCAACCTGTCGTCGAGTGTATCGCGCCCCCTCATCTGCCGTGCCTCACACTCTGCGACTCGTATCTCGCTGGCGAGTTGTATCGTCCTGCCGAGTCGTGCGTGCGGGCTGAATCATAACCTCCAGGTGTCTCGTAGCTAACGTTCTTGGACGGCGCGTCGTAGACAGGCTCCCGTCCCGCGGGAGGTACCGCTGACTGCTGACTGATGGACCCCTCGAACTGTTCCTCGGACGGCTGGCCCTGAGAAGGCACAGCGGTGCCAGCGTCCTTCTTCTTCATGCTGAACAGCCGCTTAAATCCCGTCGGAGCAGGTGGCTGCTGCAAATTGGCAGCCTCCTTGGCGTCATCCCAAACGAGGCGGGGCACAAGCAGTCGGTACGGGACTGTGATGCCGGCGGGATCCTTCTGATTCACCTCGACGTTGAGGCAGATGTCCAGACCGCCCTCGAGGTCCACCTCCAATACGTCCGCCTTCTTCTTTTGCTTGACCGACAACCCTGTTGGGGTGCGGTGGAAAGGCTTCGGCCGCGCCAGCGAATCTTGCGACCTTGGAACCTGACGGTCATCGCCTGTGGTGTAAGAACGAGCCGGCGCACGAGCGGAGAATTGGGTTTCGTCGCCGGGCTGGAACTCGTCATGGCTCCGGGGGACTGCCATGTTGGGAGCCCCGCTCATTCGCGCCGCCGGGCGAGCTGTGAAATAGGAGTCATCGCCGGATTGGTACTCATCGTGGCCACCGCCCCGGAGGCCCATGCCCCTCGACCTAGACCCCGGCACACGGTCGCGTTCGTCTTCATATCCGTAATAGCCATCGTCCACGCTATCGTCGTCTCGGCCGTTGTCCTCGTCCCCCCACTGACCGTTGATACCACCGTCATCAGGTTGCGATTTCTTGCTGCCCCGGCGACTGAAGAAGTTGCGAGTCAGCGACAGTGAGCGCTTTGGCTTGGGCGGCTCAGCAGGCCGACCTCCGTCGGTCGAGTTGCGGCGTGAAAGACTGCGGAACAGGCCAGTCTTGCCCCTGTTGGAAATCGGAGGCCGAGACCGGGACTCGTCTCGAGCATCCTGCTGCACATCCGGGCGGTACGCGGGGCCACGGTTCGAAGAGAACCGCCTCAAGAGACCTTTACGACTCGCCGGCGGGCTTGGGCTCCTATCATAAGCAGACAGCGGCGGCGTGGGAGGCGGCGTAGTTCCCGGGGTCCACGCCCTGATGGAGCACCAGTTGCGGTGCGGCAGCAAGTGTTTGTTGTTTCTCACCTTCCCATCCACGCCATGCTGGAACAACGGGATCATGTCTTCCTCGGTCGACTCGTCAAAGTGGTGAATCTTGTTGCGCTTGTTTAGAATATCCGCCATCAGGTCGGGAGGTGGCGTGTTAACAATGGCCGAAGAGATGATGTTGGGCATGTATCTGAAGTCCTTGTGCTTGGGGAGACCAAGCTTGGGGTTGGCGTAGAACTGACCGACGGCGGCAAGGTGAACATCACCGCTGAGGAAGGTGACTCTCACCGACTTGTCTGCTGCCAGGTCCTGCATGTCCTGCAAGACAACGGTCCGCTCCTTTTTGTGGTTCTTGGCAGTCCAGTGATCGTTCAGGTCGTCGAGTACCTCGACACCACCGTCGATGTGGTTTAGGGTGTTGCCGAGCATACCCAACTTGCCAAGAGCCTTGACGGGATCCATGGCTCTCGAGGTGAGACTAAGAACGTTAGCATGGTATCCCTAGATCGTACAGGGAAGAGGAAACTCACATGTTCTCCAACCAGACCAGCCTGGGGTAGGCGATCGGAACACCCAGCAGAACCAGCAGATGCTCAGTTCGCCCATTCCTCAACTCTTCGTAGCAGCGGTCCATGATTCTCTGCCACGAGGGCTCGCTGACCACGTCGAGCTCCGTCCGCTCTGTTCTGCCGTCGACCGCCAACAGGGAAACCTTGGAGCCCAGCTCAACAAACAGACTGCGGCTCAGCTCGCTGATGTACGGTCCGGGTTTGGTGCCAAGAATCCAACTGGGCTCAGAAGCCTCTGTTTCCGTAGGGACACTCTGATGCTGGAATAGCATGTAGTACTTGTAGGCAACGTTGCCAAGGCCAGAGAATACCGGCGAGTTCATGTCGTGGTGTGCGTACGAGCCGAAGCCGTCCGAGATGTCGTGATCATCCCACATGTTGACCATGGGAATCTGCGAGTTGGCCAGGCCGAAGAGGCCCTGCGAAAACCACATGCAGTACCGCTCGAGGTAGGCCCGCTCGAGCTCGTCTTGCATCGTTGGCGTGAAAGGCGCGTTGTGCTTGTGGAGGGGGTTCCTGATCGCCAGCCACTCGCGGAACTGCTTGCTCTGGTCCATCAAGCAATCATTGTAAATCTGGTCACCGCCGCCAATCATGACATGGAAGGGCTGTGACTGGTGAGTGTTGAGAACGTCGCGCCACATGGGATCGGGGCCGCTGAAGTCGTCGGGGTTGACGCTGGCACTGAAACCGTTGCAGCTGTGGAACATGATGTTCATGGATTGCCCAAGGGCAGGAACCCAGAAGCCCATCGAGGGGCCCCTGTTGATCCGGTATGCGATCCGCTGCTGGTTCTCGTGGAGCTCAATCTCAATGTTGAAGCGCCAGAACGTGCATCCGCGCTCTGCGTGCAGTCGGAAACCGCGCACGTCCTTGTACTTGGAGACCTTTTCACCGTCAATCTCGACGCGCTTTCGACGGCTAGCAAAGGAGCCAGGCAAGTCCGACGAGCCGTCCGGCTGAGTACAATCGGGCGGGCTCCTAGTCTTTTCGAAAAGGCCGTTGTCTGTCTCATCTCTAGACAGGTCCTTGGCCTCGTCGAGGTGCTCCACTGGACGAACGTAAAGTGTCTCCCCTCGTCTGCCCAGCTTCGGAATTCCGGCAATCGGGTCCACGTATTCCGGCGGCAGTCCCTGCTCTCCCGTGATCTCCAGAGGCGGAGGAGGGAGCAGTTCGATGGGTTGCACGAACAGTCTCAAGGTCGGCGCGATCTCGTACGAGGAGTCGCTGTCCAGCGTCACGATCATGACCGACCCACGCCAGACGGTTCTCTCATTGACGGCGATGTTCCGATTACGCGCGGGAACCTTCTCATGTTTGAGTCCACAGTATCTCAACAGCGGACCGCACTTGAGGAACAGTGGCGGCTTGAACCGTGTAGGAGCTGGGGGTTTCTGTCAGCCTCGGCCAAACATGCGTTGCACATCAGAACTTACCATGTGTGTCATCATACTCGCCATCAAAGGCTTCTGCCTTGCGCGGCCGTGAGGTGCTCCCTCTGCGCTTGCCGCCTTCCCACCAGGGAGTATCCTTCTCGTCCGAAGCAAGCCGTCCATCGCTAAGGTCCAACATGGCCCCGGACAGACTACCGACAGTCGCCTTTTTCCACTCGTCAAGATAGACGGGTGGCTGGTAAATGCCTTCGCCGGGGCGGAACGCCTTCTTGGCAGGATACAAGTCCCGGGAGTCATCACTGAACCCGTCATCCTCGGAGTAGTATTCCCTGTCGGAGGGTCTGCCACGCGCGACAGCCTGGGGTATGTGATGATAGTTGTCACCACGTCCGCCCGAGGCTACAGGTGCCTGGCGAGCATCGACGTATCGAGGGTCGTCGTCTTCAGACTCGTAGTCAAGTTGTTGGGCCGCCGGGGCCGTCGACCGACGTTGAACTCCTCCCAAGTCAAGACCAATCAACTTCGCAGCCTTACTGGGAATCCCGGCCCGTCTCACCTCCTCCTGCATTGCGTCCGGGGGCAATGCCTGTTCGCGCTGGGACACGGATCTCTGCACTGGAGGCCCACCCTTTTCTGCAGCAGATTGGTCCAAAGCGGCGTTCCGGAACTCAATGTTGTCGTATTTCCTCTCCGCATCTTGCCGGATGCTGAACCACGGATCACCCTTCGGCTGCTTCTTCAGCTTGTTGCTCCCACTCCTAGTGAGAGAGAAGCTGGGTCGCCGAGACCCGGCGACCGGTGGTGTGGGTTGCGGGCTTGTCTCTGCGCTCCCAGTTGGCTCGGCGCCTAGCGGCAACACCATGTCATTCTTTGCAGCGCGCTCGCGGAAGCTCAAGTTGCGCTTAGGGATTCCTGAGCTCGATGCGGGCGGCTCGCGAGGCCCTTCACGGAGACTGACGCTTCTCTGCGGGACCCCAGAAGAAGCGGGAGGGTGTCTCTGTTTCGCAGCAGCCATTGAAGGTCCTTTCGGCGGGTATGGCCCGGATGCATGGCGCCTGTGGTTTTCGGGCACGTACTGCGGCTGTTGCCGTCTCTCGTCGAGCGACTGGCGGGGCGCGTATCTCTTGTCGTCTTCGGGATAGTACTGCTGCTCTCTTCGGTCATCGTCCAGCCCGTCGTCTCGGAACCGCACCTGCTGTGGTGGTGGTGGCGCCTGGTGCACCTGTACATTCTGCACCGGCACATGTTGCACATATCGTACCTCTGGTGGAGGCTGTCGAGGCGGCTCTGGAAGGGGTCGCGGAGGCTCTTGCTTGAACAAGGGTTCTTGCGGCTGCGGCGGCGGCGCGCGGGGGGCGCGCTGCGTGGGCTCGGGAGGTTGCAAGAGATCCGGGTTCTGTGCAGCCTTCGCAGCAGCCTTTTCTCGGGCGCGTTTCTCCGCGGCTTCGACGCGAGCTCGCTTTTCCTCCTTGGTGATGCTGTCGAGCGTCAGCTCAAGCCTCTGGAGCGGAGAACGGTCGTCGGCGAACTTTTTGCTGGACCCCGACTTTCTCCCCTGCCCACTCCTTCCTGCCCCGCCCGTGGATCTCCTCCTTGATGAGCTCTGAGGATCGCGGGGTGGTCGTGTCTCGGCGTCGAGCGTACGCTGCGAGCGATCGAGAGTGGGTAACTCATCCTGCTTCTGCTGCCTTTCTTCAGCATCAGGCGCAGGATTCTTGTAGTACTCTTCGGGGTTCATCTCGTCGTCCGGGACGACCAGCGGACTGGGCTGTCGCGAAACACGAGGCGGACCTGGTGATGGGTGTGTGTATGGCAGGCCACCATTCCCGTACGGATGTCTGAAGCTCACTGGCGGGGCGCGGGGTACATCCGGGGCAGCCGGAGGTGTTGGACCGGACCGGTAACCGAAATCGACGTCGTCCTCGGTCTCGTTGTTGCGCTCTCTGCGTCTCCGCTCGCGTCTCTCGGCCGGCTCGTCTGAATACTGGGATTCGCCGTAGGGGAAGGTCGGTGGTCGTGGGGCCAGGCCTTGATCGGCGAAGCTGGAGGCGGTTGGCGAGGTGTAGGGGCTGAGAGTTGACTCGGTAACGGCCTCGGTATTGGTCGTCTGCATCGAGGTGCGGTTTGACTTTGGGGGGTGAGGAGGAAGAGGTTTGTCCGTCATGAGCGCTGCGGTTGGAGGAGCCTCCAGATCCGGGGAGTTTCGATTGGGAAGACTAAAGTCTTCTGACTGGCGACGCTGGCGTCTGGCCGCCTTGGGGCCTGACAGATCGCCCCAATACGGTGCAGTAGGCATAGCGACGAAGTTATTACCACCCGTTGTCGCTGGGCGTTGAGGGCTGCGCTACCCAGTTGGGGCTGCAGCCGAAAACAGACTTGGTCGCAAAGACGGGTGTGTGATGGTACCGTCGTCCGTGAGAGAGCGAGAGAGTGAGAGCAAACCTGCCGCTAGGAATACCCTCTAAGCTACTTTGGTATAAGAAATACGGAAAAAGACCTAGATCTGAATCTACAAAACGGTAGGGTGAAAATGGCCGGGCGTCAGAGACATATGCAGCTTGCCATAGCAGCCAATGCAATGCAGACACGCGCGCGCGCAACGGAAGTTGGTCGTATGCGAGGACAGGGAAGGAAGCAGTAAGTCGGTCACCGAGGTGAGGTTGCTGAGATTTACTTCGGGCTGGGCCCAGAAAGAGGAGGAGGGGGATGCGAGAAACGGTTGCAGCGAGGAGATGCAGACAAGAGATGAGTCAAGAAGGGGGGAGTAAAAGGGTGGAAAGACCCGGAGAGAAGTTGTCCTTTTTTTTTTTGTCCCTTGTGCTCCTTCTTGCGACTCAATCACCAAGGCGAAGGAAAGCCTAGAGGTAACGACCCAAAGAGCTGCGAGCTTGGAAAATGGCGAGGTTGAGGGTTGTGTGCCACGAGCCGACGGCGTCATTCGCTCGCCCGGTTGGGTTTAGCACAACGGATGTTAGACCAGGATTGGGGGTGGCTTTGGGCGCAGAGAAGGACCCCCCCCCCCGGCCCGTCGACTGGGATCTTGAGTAGTCCCCATCCAGTGGAGGACTCCAGTCTTGTTGCTTCCTTCCGCCGCTAGACCAGGTGTGTCATCGACTGGGCCGGCAGGGTAAATGGGCAAGACACCTCGAGCTGCGGAGCAAGCTACTGTACCTGACCGGGTACGACCAGCCTCGACGGGGGGCGGTTGCGGTGTGTTTTATGTGTGCTGTTCAGGTCCGTAAGGTGGCCAAAGAGGAGAGAGAATGCATATGCGTAGGAAAAAAGTAGGATAAAAATAAATGAGGGAAAAAAAACCTACCTAAAAAAACTCCCGAAAGAGGCGGTCGGAACAGAGCCCACTCGATGGGCATCGCTTTGCCATTGACCAGTGACCACGACTCAAAGATGCTGCAGCTTACCTCCTTTTGCGCGCATTGCTGCCACCCCATCGTGTCATCCTCCACAGCGGAGGGGAGATAAGGATGAGGATGAGGAGGAGGCCGTGCCCTCTGTCTGTCTCCCCTCCATCCAGCAAGCTTCCTCTACGCCAACGGAACGACCTTACTTGGCTCCTCTCAGAATGTGCAAACGACGTATTACCTGACCCTTGCCTACACCTCCCGTGTCATGGACGACGGGTGAGATTGGACAGAGGCATACTGCAAGGTACTTTTTTCCAGACTTGGGTACCTGATCAAGTCTGGAATGAAAAAAGGTGGCTGGCCAGGCGTCTCAATCAATGTCCCGCTTCTGGCATCGAGTACGCCAAGGATCAGCTCGAGGGCAAGACAAGGTACGGACGGGACAGATACCTAGTGGCGTCCCGGTCGGGGTGAAATCCTGGTTTAAAGAAAGTCAATTCGATTCGATGTGGTAGCACAATCGTACCCGTCCGAATATCGGGGTGGCTGGCAGACTGATGCAAACAAAGACCTCGGGCCAGCTTGGGCCCAAAAATGGACCATAAAAATAAAATAAAAAGAGAAAAGAAAAACGGAAACACCCAATCTACTCGACGGTTGTCCGATACGGATCAGAATCCAAGAAACGAGCCCAGGGCGCAATACAAATAGAAAATACTCGTTTGTACTACCTCGGAAAGAGAGCCGATCTGGTCGACCAAACACTGGCCAAAGGTCTCTCTGAGCTTTAAGTCTTCCACCGTCCCAAAGAGCCGTGCAGCCGCCGCTCGCTCGCTGCCCGCCGGGACCGCCCGCCGTCACCCCATCAGTCAAGAGGTTCCAGACCAGGCAGGGCTGGCTCCCTTCTGCTGTCGCCGAGCTTTGACCTGCGTGGACCAAACACACCCACACCATCTGTACTTACAGTCATATGCAAGGAAGCATATCGCAGATACACGCACACACACACACTCACATACACAGCCCGACGTTTGCAAATCATTGATTGAGCCCAAAACACCAACCCGCCCGCCATCTAATCCTCGTAGGACAAACCAACCCCCACACAATGCCCGGATGCTCATGAACGAGAAAAACGAGGGCAGAAGAGAACAAAGGTAATTCTATGCAAAATGCTCCCGTGTCCACCCGCCTGTTGTACGCCTTATTTTTCCGTCAACCTGTCCGTCTCTCTGTGGCGGCTCCCCTCTCTTGAACGCTCCCGACTGTCATGATATTCGCCCGTACCATCCTCGTCATCCTCATCGTCCCCGGCAAAGGCATCGTAGAGCTCACGGCCCCGCGTGCGCTTCTCGCCGTTCAGGCCTTCGGCTTCGTCCTCGTTGAGCAACTCGAACTCGTAGTTGTCCCGAGGTGTGCTGTTGCGGCGCTTCCTGATGAAGAACCAGATCCCAAGAGCAGAGCAAAACACGGCAATCAGACCAATAGCCCCGTACACCCACACTCCGGCCTTGCCAAACGATGGCAGCCAAGACACCCAGTTGGACGGGCTGGTGGTGGCGGCGCTAGCGGTTGATTGAGCACCCGTCGGCTTGTCCGTCTCCGCAGGCGTCGCCCCTTCGCTGGGCTTGAGCTTGGTGGGACGCTGAGGGTGGTCCGTAGGAATGGCAACCGACGCCGTGTTTTCGGCAGGGTGCGTCATCGTCGTGACGGCAGCCGGCAGCGTGGTCGTGGCAACAAGTGCGTGGTCGTTATCGTCTTCTTCGGTCGGCATGGGGAGGAGCGTCGCCTTGCTCGCGTCAATCGACTCACCCCACAGCTTCAAGTGCCAGTCGACAAACGTGCCCTTGTGTTCGTTTTCCTTGGAGTCCTTGACAACCACAGTCCACTTGCCGATGCCAGACTCTCCCCTAATACAAGGTCAGTAATCGCATTTCAGTCACGTGCACTTCCCAAGATCGACTTACCAGTGGGCAACGCTCATGAAAGTCCAGTCAACGTAGCCAGAGTTGGCCGAATCCATCTTACGTGTGACGGACAGATGGCTGGTAACTCCTTCAGGGCTGATCAAATCAACGCTCAAGTCACCTCTGCGCGTGTGGTTCACGTTCATAGTGACCGTTACATGCTCGACTCTCTCCAAATTGGCCTCCTTCAGGGCATCACCGGTGACTTCGAAGCTGACCGCGACGCCATCCTTGCCTTGGGGGATGTCTTTGTTGACGTGGATCCAGGGCGAGTAGTACCACGACTGCGGCTTGACGTTCTTCCACGTCTTGGCCGCCTCAACCATTTTGAAAGCGTCAATCTTGCCGTATCCATATGTGTGGCTAAACTTCTTTCCGATTTTGGTCGGCATCCACTCTCCATTGGCCTCATCCATGGGAACAGCAGTGTCCATAGCGAGCCATTGCATGTCTCTCCATGTCAAGTCAGGGCGAACTTCGAGAACCAAAGCGTAGACACCAGCGCCCAACGGGGCGGCGGCGGAAGTGCCTCCATGGCCGTTGTAGCAGGCGTTCTGGCCGACGTCGGTGGTGTGCTGCGAAACTGTTAGCTCCTCGTCTCGCCATTTCGCGATGCGGTTTCCTTACGATGGCGTCTCCGCTGCCACTACTGTAGGTGACAACTAGCTGCGCAGAGCATTTTTCCGAGTAATAAGGATGCTGGCCCTTCCTGTCGATGGCGCCAACGGTGATGCTGTAGATGGAGTTGGTGTAGCCGTCAAAGTTGCAGTTGTCGTCGTTGGCGGCGCCGTTACCACTAGCGAAGACGTAGATGGATCCCTTACCGCCGCGGCCCTTCTGGATACCCTTGAGCATAGCGCGCTTGATTAGGAGACCTGGCGCGTCCATTGAGCGACCGTCATCAGGCGGGCCCCAGGAGCAAGAGTAGATGTCGTTGTGCTGGTAGTCGTAGGTCATGGCGACGGCTTCGTCCGCATCCGTGATCAGCTTGCTAAGGATACGGATGCCGGCAATTTTGGATTCATAAGCCACACCAACGCCGCACACGTCGTTCTTGGCGGCGGAAACTTCACCGGCACAGCGAGTGCCGTGCTTGTCGTCATCGAGACTAGGCTTGGGCTCTTCCCGGTGGTCATTGAAGTCATAGGAGCCGGCGGCGTAGTAGTTGGGCTTCAAGTCGTCGCTGTACATGTCGAGACCGTCGTCAACAATGGCAACGGTTGCGTTCTTACCCGTGATGCCCTGCTTCCAAACACCGGCGACGTTGATGTCGTGGCCCGGTTGAACAGTGTTGAGCAAATGCCATTGCTCGTTGAAGATGGGGTCGCCGATTCCGAGGGTTTTCATCAGGTCGCTCATCTCGGTAACCTTCTTGGGATCAGGCTGCTCTTGGCGAGCAAAGTTGGAAGGGCCATATGTGCGCGGAGGAAGCCTCTTCTCCATGGGCTTTCGCAGCTGTTGCTTTTGCGCCAGACGAACGCCGTCGAGAATGTCGAAACCTCCCATGGAGCGTTTCCTCAGCCTGCGCTCTTGCAAGGCAGGTTTGACGATGTCGTGCGCAGCCTTCCTGGCCGAGAAGATGTGGTGGCCATCCATATTACCGAGTGTACCTTCGTGCCTCAGACCCAGGCGCTCGGCGACCTGATCGGGGGATGAACGCGAATCCAGTTCGAGAACATAATAATCGTTTCTTTCGTAGTTCCGGTGCGAGGACGAACCGCTGGCGAAGGCGGCAAGGCCGAGGAGAACCGCGGAAGGCTTCATGACGGGCTGCCGTGGACCCCTCGAAGGGACGGGATGGGAGAGTGCACAGAAAATGAAGGAGGTGACTGCAGGAGACAGAGTTGAATGTTAGCCTTCGGCGCCCTTGTTGAGATCAAACCAATGTGGGAGGAAAGAAGAAGGTAATGGTGGACAGGTAGAATAACACAAGACGTACCTCCCTCGTTCGCTCTCTGGTTGATTAGGGGAAACAAAGGTAACCGGACTGGGCCCGTCCAGGGAGGTAAGAGTGGAAAGACGAGACGTGGTCAAGTCGCAAGTGGCAAGGGGCCGCCCTGGGGTTGGCCAAAGCTTCACTATGGGTTTCTGAGACACCTCTCTCTTCTGTCCCCTTGGGAATAACGATTGTCGTCCTCGGCGCGACGAGCTAGGAAGAGCGCTTATCACCCCAGCAAAACCGCGAATCAACCCTTGGCGATGCAGATTAGGCGGGGACTTTACAGTTGCTGTTTGTCGTCGTTGATCGGTTCTTGGTTAAAAGGCCAAAGTTCACGGGTAAGAAACAGCGGGGAAATGCCGTTTTATCGTCCTGAGGCACTCTCTATAGATGGGACGGACGTCGGGGCCACAAGCGAAGCTGGTCCACTCGATAATGCGACAAGTAGGTAATATAGGAATGTGAGGATGAGGAAGTAGAAGAAGCAGACGATGCAAGTGGCAAGGGCGTCTCGCGTGAATAATGCCGATGTCCGATGTTGATGAAGTAAAGGAAATACACTGGTCATGCGCTGACCAGATGTTGTTTCGTGGCCTTCTCGAAAACGGCAGGAACCAAAAACAAAGACAGGCATCCTATGCGGATACCTACCTACCTGCTTTCCACGGGGTAGACCAGAACTCGCCTCCGCCCCGGTACAACCTGGGCACTTACTACGCAGTTGGTAGGTGTAGTGTACTTGGATAGTAGCCTAGTAAGGGTCCTGGTGCTCAAAGGGATGCGTGTAGCAACCATGGGGGCCAATGGGGCGGCCCCTTGACGGTTGAAACCGCAGTGTATGGGCGGTTCCTTAGCGCTGATGCGCCTGAATAGCACCGCCTTCCCTTTCTGTGCAGACGCCGAGTCCTCAGCTGAAGGCCCGGCTATTCTGTTTCGTCAAAGGATAGGGATGGGGATTTCCCGAAAGACGCCTTGTTGGGTTTCGTGTCCATTCTCCAAGACAAACAAGTATGCCTTTTTTGCCCCCTTTCGCCTTAAGGTGTCTCCGGTCTTGCAATGCGCTGCCTACGTCTCGTTCAAGAGTCTTCCTCGCCCACCCCAAGCAATGAGTACGTATCGGCTTGCGTACCTCTCTCTTTCCACATACCAATCGCGAGCAATCTTACTCGTGTTCCAGTCATCTTTTAAACAACAACTTTTTCCTTGCGGGGGGGGGGGGGGGGGGGACAGTAGATTAGCCGTAGTGCGACGGATACCAGTCGCGATTGTATTTCACCATGAGCGCAGCGAGGCCGGTTGAACGGTTCTTAACAAATCCTAGATGGTTGGCCCCGAAACGCTTCATGAAGGATCTTTCCAAGGAGTACGTTTCGGCTTGGGTCCCTCTCTTTTTCCACATACCAATCGGGAGAAATTTTTCTCGTGTTCCAGTCTTTTTTAAAAAAAATTTTTCCTTTGGGGGGGGGGGGGGGGGGGGGGGACAGTAGATTAGCCGTAGCATAACTCTCTAGACCCCTTTCTCTCGGGGCCTCTCTCTGACAATAATGTGACGCAAAGCGAAGAGGAGGTCTTCTGCCTTTTTGCGTCAGGGAGGTCCGAGCGTCCAGCCTCGACCGGGCACTTCCGGCATGCTCTTTGCAGGCCTTGGCGCTTGACACAGTTGATCGTTTCGGAATCCGTCTGTTGTAGTGCGGACATACCTAGGTAGGTGGCCATGCAACGCGCCCCCCCCCCCCCCCCGGTATGATATGGGGAAACGCTGGCCTCTGTCATGTAACTTTGTCCTCGGCCATGTAACAATGTCTATGCTTTTGCACCCGCGGGACCGCCTCGAGTTGCTCTGTCAATGGCAGGTAAGTAATGGGGACACTATGTTTGACACGAATCAATGAAGCCGCCAATGACATGCCAAAACGTATTAGTTCGTTAATCACGTTCCTTAAAACCTATCTTTAGCTCATCTCCAGTTCTACTTGACTGGCGTCCAATCCTCCACTTGCATGGTCCGCTCCTCCGTACACTGAGTTTCCTCGAGGCTCAAGCTCGGTGCCATCCGAAAGTGATATTGTGCTAACAATCAGCCCCCCCTTTGATCGGGGTCCAACTTCACTCAGTGTTCCATTGTCGAATAAATCACATAAAACCATGGCTTTCGCTTACCCTCTCCTAGTTCAGAAGAACACGGCCCTCTAGTCCTCCAAGGGCCGACCGTGGGGCTCAACTCCAGTGCTGCGCGTTCTCGACACGCCCGCCTTCTCCATCGCATTGACGTACCCCTCCCAGATCTCAATGACCTCGTCGTAGAACTCAATATGAGAGTCGGCAAGACCGCCGAGCTGCTTCTTGAACTCGACCCGCTTGATCCGCTCAAAGTCGGCCACCTCTTTAACGACCTCGTCATCAAACATCTCGCTTGTCTTCTTGGCCCGCTCCGCTTCCGTGGTAAGCTTGTCAATATTCATCTCCAGTTTTCTTTGGCGATCGCGGCGAGCCTGCTCGTGATCGACTCCACGCACATCCTCGAGCTTGCGCATCAGTCTGCCACTGGCACCCGACAGCCCACCCGAGCCTTGGCCGGACTGGAGTAGATCTCTGTCGACGGTGTTCTTGTTGAGGTACTCTGTGAGCTGCTCATAGTCCACTTGCTTCTGCTCGCGGGCCTTCAGGAGGCTCTTCAAGGCTGTGCTGTAGGCCTGCATGTCCCGGAGACTGCCAAGATAGTCCCCATCGGTGACGTCCTTGAGCTTGCGCAGGCCCAGAGCGGTGTCCTCGATCGAGTTCGCGAAATGCCTGACTTCGTTCTCGACGCCAGGCTCAAGCGTGATGAGCTTCTGAAACTGCTCCGCCAGGTCCTTGAAGTCCAGTTCAAGGTCATTCTCCCGCCGGGCCACCCGTGCTACCACCTTCTCGATGTGGGCCAAGTCTTCGTCAAGCCTGTCGCTTCGTTCCCTAACCTCGAGGAACCGCTTGTCGTGCTTGTGGGCCTTGGTGAAGGCGTTGAGGAAGCTGTCGGTGAGGTTGTCGAACACGCCGCTGCTTCCAGCATCACTGCTTGTAGATCCTCTGGTACTGCGACTGCGCATGGTGGCGTTCCAGTCCGGGCTCTCGAGGAAGATGTGGAGAATATCGGCTCGCCGAAGGACGGGATGAAGGGAGAGGCGGGTGAGGAAGCGCTGTAGCGAATGCGCTCGACGGTTGGTGAAGTCCGGGCCGAAGCGATTGCCACTGACATACTCCATCCGCTGCTTATCGGGAAGGGGGGGGACTGCGGCGGTCGGGTAATCTCTGCTCAGCGTCTTATACAAGAAAACAAAGTCTGTGAATCGCCGGCGAACTGTCGTTTGCGATCTTTGGAAGGAAGGGAATGTGGTCTGAAGAAGTCATGTCAGCGCGCAGATCTCCAAACAGAGCAGGTTTGTAGCTGGAATCCACAAGGAACCCCGAGCTTCCTCACATTAGTGGTGATCAAATAAGAGACAAAGGTGTCCTTGGAGCCTTCGTTCTCCTTGAGAGGTTCCGAGACGACACAATCCAACACCTCCCGGCCGTTGGTGCCGGGTGCATCGCTTTCGTAGGCATTGTGTCCGTTCCTTTCGGTGTCGTCATATTCGGTCGCAGTTACTGAGCTAGAGCTCTCGGCGGCGGTGTGCTCATCCGTGTTCCAGGACACATTGGAGAAGTCATCTTGGTGCGGGTCGATAACCGCCATGGCGTCCAGCTGGGTGGACGTGGGGTTATGTCGTCGTTGTGATCGGAGATGTCGCTGGCTGTGTCGGGGGAACTGAGATTGTAGATCGCGCGGTGGACCTCGGCAGAATGGCAATAGATAAATTCAAAAATCGGGTTTACTTGCTGACAAACATCCAAGTCTTGGAGCCTTGAGATGGTCTTGTCGCAATGGATGGGAGATGGGCGGAAAGAGCGACTTGTTTGCCGGACAATGGGCTGGAAGTGTCGGCGGCAGTGGTGGGGGAACGGGCAGGAGCTGCTGTCGCTGGACCATGAAAGGTGACGCTGCGAGCTTAGTGTGATGCAGTTGGGCAGCGCGATAGCGGGGAGATGGCTGGTACCCACACCTGTGCGTAATTAAAGCAGGCGAGGAGGTAACTTGCTAGCAGCAGGGCAACGCCGTCAGACCTCTGGTCCCGGAGGGCTATGACGAAGCCTGGATGCAAGCTAGGTACCAAACAGGTAGGGAGAAACGCGCGGCAGAAACAAGGCCAGGGGCTGCCTCGGGTCGTTTCGAGGGCACCAGAAGCTCTGACCAAGCTATCTTGATACAGAGAACAGCATGCTGAAATATATGGATTTATCCTAATAATTCATGTTCCACATGTTGTTGGCATTCGTACACAATGGCTGCCATTATACAGTAGTGGAATCTATTTGCTTCCTAAGATGGACAATTCTAGTAACCTATGAGTGATGTTCCCTTTGGGTGTCATGAACCCTCTTCTTTTAGTACACGCTACCCAGCCGTATGCCATACACGTCTAACAAAGAAAAGTCAGTGCTTGTCTACAGCGCTGAGCAATTTATTTTTCGCTCTTCTCCGCCTTGGACTGTCCGTCTCTCGCGAGCAGCATCTCCTTCTCGGCCTCCTTGGCTTCCTGGGCTTGGCTCGAGCCAACGGCCTGAGCCTCCGCAGCCTGTTGAGTCTCCTCCTTCTCATCAATGTTGTCGATATCACGAGGGGTAGCGAATCCAGTGCTAGCGTTCTCCTCGTTCTGGCTGTTCTCCTCATCAATGAGCTCTTGTTGCTCCTTGAGAACTTCAAGACGCTGCTTGTTGGTAGCGGCGCCCTCGGCGCTGTGCACCTCAAGAGACATCTCGTGGAAGAGCTCGTCAGGAATGGATGAGAGAACACCAACGAGAGCCTCGACCTGGCTGTGCGCGGGGACCTGGCCATACATGTAGGCATTGCTCAAGACCAAAAGGGTAGAAGGGACGCCGTCCTTCAACCTCAGGTCAAGCCACTGCTGGAGATACTCGCGCATTCTCGCGGGGGACACGCTGTGGGTACGGATGCCACGGCTGGCACACGCCATCTGAAGTTCCGCAACGGTGAGGCTGTCAACGCCCTCATAGGCGATCTGTCTGTCATCTCTCTTGATCTGGCGCATGCGGTGACGAATCTGGTATCGCAGCATGTTGTCGGTGCCAAAGGTGTTCAAGTTCATATACTTGCACATCGAGACCAGCTGAGGTCTTGAAAGGTTGTCCAGAGTCAAGTCATCCTTGAAGATCTTGCAGACCTTGATGACGTCCTCGTGTGTCGGCGACTCGCCGGACGATCTGAGTTTCCGGAAGAACGTGGTAAATGCCTCACTCTGGGTGGTCGCAGGAGTCAACGGCAAGCCAGTCTCTTTGAGACTAGACCGCAGGAACTGACTGACTTCCTTGCGCGTCGTTCTGAGAATGTTCGCCTTGGCATCCTTGGATTTTTGGCCCTCATATGTGCTAGGCAGCATGTTGGGGAACAGGCGCAGGGCGACAGGGAGCAGCAGCTCGGCGAAAGGGACGATGACGAAGACGGAAAACGGTACCAGGCGACCAAGATCCTGGACGGTGCGTTGCAATTGGCGGTTTTCTCTCCGGCTGAGTTCGTACCCAGCAGCCATCTTGAGTGCAAGCTTGGTGCTGATCTTGACTTCGGTCGCCAGCAGCTTCGTTCCATCCCAGTAGTGATGGGCCTCTTTCTTGACCTTCTGCCAAACGGTCAATTTATCCTTTGCGTTCTTCTCTGCTTCGGCAGAGGTTCCCTTTGCAGCAGCGAGTTCCGACAATGAAGCGTTGGACTCGGCCTTGTCTGCTGCCGAAGCGTCCTTGGATGATGACTTCTCGTTCTGTGCCGCATCGCTGGAACCGTTTGTTGCCTTGGAGTCACTCTTGACCGCCGAGCTGCTTTCCTTAGGCAGGGGCTTCTTAGCCTCTGCGACGTTGAAGCCCGGCGGCGGGCCAGATGGCTGGCCGTGGTTGTGATGGTCGGTACCCAGATGGCGTACAGGCACAAGGAGCGCGAGGGCAGTTACACGACGAGGAAGATGTCTTGCGTTCCGGCCGAGCACAGCTGACGAAACGCCGAGACTAGAGAGCGCACGCGCTGCAAGAGGTCAGAAAAGAGATCCAAAGTAGCACCAGCGCAGAGCAGCAGGGAGAGCGGAGAAAGGGAGATCAGGGCAGGAAGCAGCAGACGCAGGAGATGGGCTTACCATTGCCTAGAAACGGGTTGGTAATCGCCGCCCGACGAGCGACACTGGCGGAAGCGCTCATTCTGTAGCGGTTGGGATGGCAGGCAGAGAGGGTGGATGAGTGGGTTGTTGTAAACAATGAACGAACTACCGAGAAGCAGTGAACATAGGCGATTATTTCGTTGTGAGTTGTCCAGTATATTACAAGTAAAGACAGATGATGAAGGAGAGGGAGATGTACTGTGATGCGAAACGGCTCAAGAGTTCCGGAATGGAGGGCAACTGATCGCATCAAATGGAATGCTATTACGACCTGTCCTGGCTTTCCGAAACCACCGGGGGCGGCCCAGGGACCTGAGGATACAGCACGTGCAAGATCACGGGACTTTTCTTGCCTCTTCGCTTTCAGAGAGAGGGGCCAGAAACGGCATCAGCGTCAGCAATCGTTTGTGCCCGGGAACGTATCCAGCCTGAGCCCGGACCACTTTGGCAGTTGAGACCCTCCGCTTTTTTGCCCTTGCTGCATCCGTTCATTCGTCCGTCTGTCACCTATCGCCACATGGATAGCGAAGCAGACGGCCATCTCCTGTCGATCGGTGGGTCGTCCTGGCCTTAGCTACTGGCAGCTCGATCTTCTGGAGCGTCTGGACTGTGGGCTACCTGTCAGAGGCGCTGCCAGCTCAGAGTGACCATCAGTCAATTTGGCACAGGAGCGGTCTCCCACACCACAGCAGGCAACAGAGGTTCTTGGCCGTAATTCATCCATGGTATCCGTGTCATTGACAGTGCGCCAGAAGGAGAGAACAGGCGTTTTGATTTGGACCGGTCATCATGACTTGTATTCCTTGTCGCAGGTGTTCAAGACACAGACCAGGTTTATGCTGCAAAATGATGCGGGATTGGAATAGGCACTCTCTTTATTCTCCCCGCCAAGCCACATCAACCATCCATTCTTTTCTGATTTAGGGGCTAGGAGGAAGAAACGCCGGTGAAATTATTATGTCGCAAAGTGATGAGTTGCGAGTTCGGAATGTGCTTTGGTGGATTTGGTAGTGGGCGGCGGCAGCGCCTCTAGGTACGGATACCTACTGGCAAAGGACTTACTTGGGGACCGCCTCAACAATTGCTCCCTGAATATTTTTTTTGTGAACTCCGCTCGACAAGTTTTGGTGGGATACCTCACAAGCTCGTCATTTGATGAGGGGTCGGATGCCTCGGCCGCTGGGTCCCTTGCCAGCTGGCAACGGACGAGCTTAATTGGAATTAACTGTAACGATCTGCTTTGAGTACGTACCTTATCCCATCATCCTCCGTGCGCGCTGTTCTCATCCTCAGAAGCAACACATAGCGCACTGTGCCTTCCCCGGACTTTACCATAACCTAAGACCGGTCGACCACTTAGGGCCCAGGGAAGGGAAAGGGTCCGGCGGACGTCCTTCACAAGGGATAAGGAGGATCCCGAGGCACACCAAGGCCCGCATAAGCACAGAACACTCACTGAAGCCACCCCGTCAACGGCTCGCCGATGGAGGATGACACCAGCAAAGGGTAGCGTACACTACCTAGGTAGGTGCCTATAGGTAGGTTTCTACCTAGCACTACCCATCTCACACCACGCACACGCGCGCAAAGTCCACCGTCGGACTGTCCACACCGAGTCGTGCGCCGCCGCCGCCTCTTCATCCCCTCCCCCTCCTCCTCAACGCCCATCTGCCCGCCGTCTATCGACCGATTTCCAATCATCCCTAGTCCGAGGTGCGCGCCAGTACCCCGGCCACTGCACCTATGTATCCCACCGCCGCGGTTCTGCGTTCTCCACCCTCCCTCCTCCGGCATTCCTTGCACGACCTCGATTTCTGGTGCCGTCTGCTTCTTTTCCTCTTCTCTTTTTCTTCTACCTCAGATTGTCGCCATATACCAAAGTCCGTCCTTCCCGTAGAGGCCATGGGTATCTCTTAAATTGCCCCCGACCACAATCCCGCTTGGGTTACGCGATTGCGACTTGTTCCTCTTCCCTGCCCGTCTTGGAACAAGCAAGCCAGTTCACCAGCCAATTTCGAAGCTACCTACTTTCGTCTCTCTTCACAGCATCCAGCCCCCCCCCCCTCCGTCACTCCGAAGCCAACCGTGACCTGCGCCAACCGCCCAGTGACCCGCGTATACTATGAGACTTCGCAAAGCCGCTCGCGTCATTCTCGTCGGTGCCCCGGGTGTTGGGAAAGGAACGCAGTCTGAACGGCTACTCCAACGGTTTCCGCAGATCCAGTCCATTAGCACTGGAGATCTGCTTCGCAACAATGTCAAGCACCGGACCCCTCTCGGTGAGTGCCACATGCCCCCGCTACCTCGGCCCCCCAGCTCCAGCTAACCCGTCATCATCATAGGTATCAAGGTCGAGAACACTATGAAGTCCGGCGGGTTGGTTGCCGATGATCTGATTATGCGCCTGATCTCCAACGAAATGTACAAGAACGGATGGTTGCTTAACAGCCGCAGAAGGCCCCAGGTCATGACGCTCTCCTCCTCCTCGGCCGCGGTGGACTCGTTCTACGAAGAGCACATGGATGACTGGGTGACGGCGTCGGGCGTGCTCGATAGCCACTCTGCCCCCGAAGCCTCCGAGGACCCTGCGGCCTCTTTCATTCTTGACGGTTTCCCGAGGACGGCAACCCAGGCTGCGGTGTGCGACAAGCTCATCCCCATAAACCTGGTCGTCTCTCTGAAAACCCCGTTCAGCGTGGTGATGGAGCGCATTTCCGGCCGCTGGGTCCATGAACCCTCGGGCCGTGTGTATAACACCACTTTCAACGCCCCAATGGTGTCCGGCAAGGACGATGTCACCGGAGAGCCTCTCACGCAGCGCCCGGACGACACCGAGGAGGTTTACAGGGAGCGTTTCCGCAAGTTTCAGGAGACCAGCGAGCCCCTTCTCGAGCACTACGACAAGAAGGGCGTTCTCTGGGAGGTCGAGGGTATGAGCAGCGACGAAATCAGTCCCTTGCTTTTCGACGAATTTGAGCGACGCTTTGTTCATTGATTTGGCTTCTTCAACTTTGTTATATATACAGGAGTTACACGTGGTCAAGATACCTCGGGCTGGCCAGAAAGACCCATGGCTGAAAACGGGCGCAGGTCGGACGGACGGGTGAAAATCCCCAGGGCGGGGGCGGTTGTAGCGCAAACGTTCTTTGACGCTTCGAATATTGGTCATTTCTATCATACGTACTTTTATCAATGTACCAAACATTTCGTTTCTCATTCTTGGCGCGCTGCACGCTGTGTCATGTGCTCCCAGCGCGATCCCGCATGGATAGAGGTGCGCCCTCTGGCCTCGGGTAGCTGTTCTGGCGCGCGCCAGTAACGAATTCGCGGGGTAACGACCACCGGATGGCAAGGGTGCCTTGCTGTCATCTCAACAAGTCAAAACGGCTACGACCCGGTCTAGCAAGTCGCTGCGCATCCGAAACTCGGGCCACTTTCTCGGGCTTCTTTCACTGATCGTCTAGGCTCCCAAGAGCCAACATATCCCTTCCGAGGAGGGGGGCCGGGCGAGCGGGCGATCCACAGCTTCGGCAGCCCAAGGTACGACCCGCCCCGTGACGTTGGTCCGGCCGGAGTTGATGCATGTCTCACAGCCTACGCGGGAGGGGAAGCCACGAGGCACCCGAAGGGTCTGTTGGCTTGCATGTGATGTTTGGACGGTGCTGAGGAAGCGTGCTTGTTCCCCCTCAAGGCTGGCTTGGCTTGTTGCAATTGGTGTGTCGGTGCCCTCAGTTTCTTGGTGAGCCACGGCTACCGATGCTCTTCTTCTATGGATAGTGGTTCTTGGCGTGGTCAACATGGATTGTATCCAAATGCGGTTGATAGAAGGTCATGATAATGATAAAAAGTTTTTTTATAACATTCATTTGATTTAGAAATAAATGTATTTGCTTTACGTTCACCATCCCATCGACGGTTATGCACATCAACACATCGATCACCATCCCCATTGCATTACCCAGCATTTCCACGATGCCTCGGTCCCCAGCCAAGAAGTCATGCCGAAGTCCGCAGCAGTGGCAATCTCAACGGATCTGGCGACTCATATCTAGCAGCTCTCCGGCCGTCACTCGACGAAGGCGTTGCAGGCAAGCTTTCTCCAAACTCAATCTAACTATACAGAACGGATCTGTCGAACCCGGCGAGCGTCAGGGATACAGCAGCGAGTTGAGGGTGACGATGAATCACGACGACATTTGACTCGGCAATGTACCTTGGGTACGCTGTCTCGTAAAGGCCCATGGCATACGAAGCGGGAGAGAAGGCTGCGTAGGGATCAAGACCGTATGGACCCGGCCTCCAAAGGCCAGCTACTGCTCGGGATGAAGAGCGGCTTTCTGAAACAGCCTAGACTTTAAACTACGGATGTCATCTAGCTTATTTAAAGCATAACTTTGGGCAAGGGGGGCTGCATATGTAGAGGACGGCGAGCTTTGGAAGGCAATACATACTGCCAAAGCAGGCATAAGCCCGCCAGGATAGCGATTCAAACCGTTAGGCACTGCTTCAACGAGTATGTGAACATGCTTTCGATTTATTTCATTATCGGGGCCTTTTAATCTCCGATTCGCATCATGCACAGTTCTTTTCATAGGCCGAAGGAGTTGACGATAGACTGGGAGAAAAGTGGTCCAAAATCCTATCTTGGTTACTGGTCACCGGTGCGAGAACGAAACACTAACGAAGCTGATCCACGGACCAATCGGTCGTTGATAAATGCGAATGGCTGCTGACGGATTCGACCGTCATAAAAGTGGCCGCGCGTCACGATAGGGTCAGTGAAAGCTTTGAACTGTCACCTGAAAAGCCAAACATCGGGAAGATAGAGTATCAAGCGGGTCTTCCCCCGACCGTAGAATCGGCTCCGACAGGCAAGCGCTGCGAGCCAAAACGGCTCGGATTAAGTTCATGAAGGACAGCCATGATGGTGCCAGTTCTTCCTGGTTATGCTTTTCGTTTTTGCCACCGTATAGCTCCGATCCGTAATTCATTTCGCGGGGTGTCGCAAAGAAAGAAGTCAAGGATGACACTCCAGAATCCACTCGGACGCCCGAGGAAGAAAAAGCCCAAGCTTGACAGTAGGTACAGTGGTCTATCGGCGGGATAAGTCCGCCCTCCCCGCGTGGAGAGACGTCGGCCCTACCACGTTGTCGTAACCCACAATGCCTCCGAGATGACAGACCATACTTTCCCCCCAGTCATGTACGCCGAGGGTCGGTCGGGGACTCCGGATTTTCACCGACAAATTTCGCCGGACCTCGTTATCCTCGATCTGCAAACTTTCTTCTATTTCTCGACTAGCATCCCACGTAAGAAATTGAACGACTTCTGCCCGACGTTCGCCCTCGCCATGGTCTGCGTTGCTCCCTTCCCACGTCTTCTGGATCATCAAGGGCGAACCGACGACTCCCGTCACTTTGAAACCTACGGTACGGCCACGACCAGCCCCCCCCCCCCCCCCCCCCAAAGAAATGCCAGCAGCTCAGCGGACCGCAGGCGTGGAGACCTCCACATTTTCCCCGAGTGGGAGCCCGGACGAACTCCCCTTTCCCAAGGCGGGAGGATGATCGATTGCACTGAGAGGGGGGGGGGGGGTCGTGGCTACACTAGTACATAGTAGTCACTCGGGGGACAAAAAAGACCGCCGGTTTCCCCCTACACAACAGCCACCCTCACCACCAGTACTACAGCTCCTGCAATAGGCAATGCAGCTTTTTACATGCTAAAAATATACATTTGTGAGGACTCATAAGACAAGAAAGTCTATAAAGTGTATGAAAGTATACATCTTACCTATTTTCTGGTATCTAAAAGCAATAGGGCCATAAGATAAGGTTCTTCAAAACCAGCGGTCTTTTTTGTCCCCCGAGTGAGTAGTGTAGGTATTGCAGCCGCCCCCCTGCATGGCATGATCATCGGTTGCGAATGCCGACTGAGGAACCAAAGGCCAAGACTCGTCAAACCTGACTCCAAGACCGCACTAAATCTTGATTCTTGTCAATCGCCCGAGAAGCAGCCGGGCCGCTGCACATTGTGCGAGCCTGCATTGGACATACCGTACCTACGCGCACACACACTGTTTCGTTTTTCGTGGGGGGTTCAAGTGTGCATGATTTCGTCATGGCAGATTCACGCCGCCTTTTTTCCCATTTTTCCCATCCATGGCACCCATGTCATCTGGTTCCACTGAACGGAGTACTATATCGGCTACAGCCACATCTCTAAAAATCGCTTTTTGCTGAGTGAGAAGGAAGTAAGAGATGGGAACAGAGGAGACTGCACCCGCTGCTCATCTGCCCCTGTCCGGGGTACGCCCGAGGCCTATATCCTAGGTGCCCAGCTTTTGACCCTTTCCTCGTCCCCCCGCCGCCCCAGACCGAAGAATCACTTGCCTGCCCATTGGAATCGCCTGGGATACCTACGTAAAAGGAACGAGTTCCGAGTGGAGCGTTTAAAAGAGAGGCGAGAAAGTCGAGAAGCGGTGGGTGTCTAATTGTAGTAGTGTAGGTACTTGAGCAGACTGACAACCGCGCGCCATCTCCACGTCGCATTTCCTTTCCTGGATACATTGCACCTCCAGGGAATTGGCTGCTATCTCTAAGCGACTGCCGGTGTATCTTACCTCCCCCACCATCTCTTGTTTTGCCGTCAATCTGTTTGGCACTTTTTCCCCATTTCTCGTCTGTTTTCCCTATCGCAGGCTTATCCTCTCTTCCCGTACGACTGAAGCGTCGATCGAAACGAACGGCCCTGACGCGCCTGTAATTGCACGTCTGTTTCCGCCCCCCTCGGCAAGAGAGACAGCGAGGCAACACAAGCTTCTGCAGCCACGGCCCGTGGTCTTGTCGAATCCTATTCGCGGGATCCTGCATGCATCAGTGAGTTGCTGGGCATCCTTGGGGAAACAACACTATACGGAGAGAGCGAGAGGCTTGGAAGAAAGCGAGGGAAGGAGACTCAGAGGCCAAACCCGGCATTGGCTTCGAGGCGAACCGAGACTCTCCCCTCCCCCTAGGTCTTCCACACCCCGCCACGGGCGTGGCTTGCGATGCCAGCATGGAAGAAGAGAAGCACAAGTTCATGATTCCGGCCCATGAGCGGCGGCCCCTGCCCGGAACCATCACAAACGACCCGACGTCGCTGCCGAGCCATGACGTCCAATCGCCATCAGACTCGCCTGAGATTCGGCAGATCGAGTCGTTTTCACAGCACTCGTATCCCCAGAACGCCCACCTCCAAGGGCTCCCATATGCGTCACCACCGTACCCGGAATCGAGGATCAGCTCCGAGGCGCCTGTCGCTCCGACCGCCGGACGGCGCAACCCGGCGCCGGCAGTGGCGCCATTGGATCCCGAACGGCATCAGCAGGGAATGGTGGCGGGCTGGAGGCAGAGGTTCGAGAGGGACAGAGCGGACGACGGGAAGCCGAGAAGAACCATCTTGGGCCTGACCGTGTTTCGGTTCTGGGCCGCAATGGCACTGGGTATCATCATCGTCGGCGTCGCCATCGCCGTCGGTTTGGCGCTGGGTTTAGCCAACCGGTACGTCTGACGAACGAGGTTTTCTCTTGTAACCCTCTTGTTTCTCTCCTCGGCCATCCTTCCGCCCGTTCCTCTTCAGCCTCGGGCTGACGGATAGCCCCGCGCCTTCACCAGACGCTTCGGCGGCAACTCGAACGGGCCCCAACCTGTTACCCAGATCCTTGGCGTCCCCTCACCGGCCCCGATCAACCCGTACTGCCCCCAGCCGACGCCGGGTGTAAATATGAGCGTGACGCCCTATGACGCTTCAGGTTCGCCCATCCGCTTCAACAATGACCAGGTTATGTCCTTCGACATCCTGTGCAACACCTTCTACCCGCAGCGCCAGGGCATCAACCCGCAGCTGCGCGACATCCTCGTCATGACCGTCCCGGACATGCTTACCTGCATGACGCTATGCGCGCAGTACAACCAGGGGTATAGCGATGCCGTCGGCGACGACGTCTTCCTTGACGGCGGCGGCATCTGCGTCGGCGTCGCGCTCGTCAAGGGCACCGCGCAGTTCTGCCACCTCAAGAACGCGACGGGGGTCAACGCGACGGCGGCGGCCGGGGGCTTCGACGTCGACAGCGTGGTGCTCACCGGCGATTGGACGCGCATAACGACCGTCGAGCAGATTCTAGCGCTTGGGGGGGACATCGAGGTCGCCCCCAACGTGACTGTTACAACTGGGTGATGAAAAAAAGAGAACAGAAAACCCGGGGAACGAAAAAGAAAGAAAGAAAGAAACCATGGACTTGCGGGAGGGAAACCCCTGAAGCAGAAAGTCTTTTCTTTGAACGTATCGAGGAGATTCCTTTGACGAGGTCTTTGTTTCTGAGGGGAGGGCAAAGGGTAGGCTCCTGATAGGCTTTAGGGCCACGGGCGTTATTTTGGATACATGCAGCTTTGGTGCTAAACAGCGCATCGACAACAGCAACGGCGGCGGCGGCAGCAGCATAAACGAATCGTTGCAGCGGACAGTGTTTTCTTTTTTCTTTTTCGAGGAGGTGTGTTTGGAGACCACCCTCCATTCTAAAACGACGGGAGGACTTGCGGAAGCGGTTTCAGGCCCGCGTCCAGATTTGACTACGAGCCACGGCGGAAGGATCGAGGCATATCACCTCCAACCTCTCTGGGCTGCCAGCGGCTCAGGAAAGGCGAGGGGGGGTGAGGGGGTAAACGGGATATGCCCTTTACAAAGGGCAATTTCGGATTGGTTAGCTCGAGGTTCCATACCTTCCCAGGCTTGGATCAACCAACCAGCCTTGCGTGACCTGCTGCCATCATGTGCGCAGCAAAAGAGGGGGTGACAGTATATACGTGGCGAGAAGTTGAGGAGACAATAATGCATAGCATCTTATATGACACACATATATATTTACACATACCCTGGAAACACACTTCTTCTGTATTGGAATCCAACAGAAAACGTACAACGACCCCTCGAGCTTTTGTGAGAACCATGCCTAGATTCCGTTGGATAGTCAATTCGACATCAAGACACTGTTTGCCGGGCATTTAAGCCCAACAGGAAACCTCATGGCACGAATGCGTGCATTCGTGCGTTCTCTCAGTCCATTCATCGCTAAATCGTTTGTCGCTATCCGAGCACGTCGTCCCGGCGTCTATCTCAGAGCCACTGTTCAACCGACTTCAGCAGCGCAACATGCCTGCTCATAGAGAAGCCGTTTCCTGATCCACAGTCTAGGTGCGCCACTCCGAACCGTTATTGATTCCGTTGGGCGCGCCGCTGCTACCGGCAGCGTGGCGTGGGTCATCGTCGTCCTCATCGTCCAGTACACGGGCAAGTTCATCGGGGTCCTGCATCTTGGCGTCGGGGTCAACAACGCCGTCGAGCTCCTCAGCCCGGCGCTGGTTGTCCCTTTCGGTGTCCAGGACGCCATCGTCGGCACTGACGGAGATGCCGCGGGCACCCCACTTGGGCCGGCCACCCCGGCGAGCCTGGCCCTCGTTGTCGCCAAGCGCCGGTGCACTCTCCTCGTCGTCAGACTGCACATCGATGCGCTTGCCGAAGATCCTGTTGAGCAACCAGCCGCGGCGCATGTCATCGGCGTCGACGACGCCGCCGTTGCGGAGCTTGACGCGCTGGCGGGTGTAGTATACCCAGGCGAAGTCGACGTAGAGGGCCGTCTGGATGATACCGAAGATGACGGAGACGGTGTTCGGGGCCTTGTCGTTGATGTCGAGCTCGCGGGAGATCCAGCCGATGAGGTAGAAGGCACGGTAGGAGCCAAGGGTTAGGAGGTAGAAGGAGTCGATGACGGTCGGGACGGTCGTCTGCCGGAGCAGGAGGAGCTGGGGCAAGACGCAGACGGACTCAAGTATCTGGGAGAAGTCCCAAAGCCACTGACGGGTGTAAGTTGACGAAAACTTGGCTCTAGACCACAGCACAACCTGGCGACTTACGACTTGGAAGCTCCACCAGTTCTCGAAGATGAGCATGACGAAGGGAGACAAGAGCAACGAGCCGGCAAAGACACCGGCTCCGACCTTCCAGGAAATCTCACGCTCTCTGGTGCGAGGGAAGATCCACTGCATCGCTGCGATGATGTAGAAAGATGACGATATGTAGAAGAGCTTGAAGAGGAAGTTCCATAGCGGTTGGGCAGTGAATATATCGAGGTAGCGTGTGCAGAAGACAATGGCGTACAGGCCCTGGGTAATGAGAGAGACGCCTGCGCGCGCACACATACTCGGTCAGTATCGATTCGGTTCACTCGTACGGTCTCGTTAACGTACCCTCAGCACTTCTATTGCGGTGTATCGCGTACATCAGGATGCATTTTGACAGGAGGTGGGAGATATCTCCTATGTATCGGAACACCTGGACGAGCGAGTCAGCTAGCGGCTTCGGAGGACGACTGTCGGCCTCGAGGCACTTACGTTCCACGCAGTCATGGTGTTGGATTGGAAGTCGAGCGTGCAGTATATTCCGGTCTATCGGAAAGTGTGTAGGTAATGAGGAGGGGGGAGGACTCGGGAGGTGCGGTTGCGACACGCAAACAAACAGCAACGAACGGGGGGTGACGGCCGCTCCGTTTCACATCAAACGAGGCGGCGAGCTGGCCCACGGAAGGGGAGTTATGTTCGGATGATGGCTCTGGGTGGTGTCGGTTTCCTTCAATGATGCTTGGAAAGGAAAGGAGCAGGATGGCAACACGACGTAAGAAACAGTCGAGACTGAGGATGTTCAATGTGGAATGCGGAGGTGAAGCTTGTCAGTTCAGGTTCCCGATCCAGCCATATGCCGCGCGGGTTGCCACACTCCTTCAGCTGGAGCTGCCCAGCTGGCCTTATCAGCTTGAGCCTGAGACTTATCTGTGCTGAAGGAAGGTGACGACAGCCCGGACCCCCAGTCACGTAGCGCCGCGACTAAGGCCATTGATTGGCCCAAGGGATTGTTGGGTCGCTTATGTAACCCCTCTTTTGAGGGGGGTAGCGCCATTGAGGACGTGGATTTCCCCGGTCGTTGCCTGTCAACCTGCTGCACGCATTGCGAAGCCTATGCCGAATCGAGAAATGCAGTGTCAGGCGGGGCAGGAGACGAGAGTCCCTTGAGCAGCTTCGAAACAGGTACGGATAGGTTGCTGCGACTAGAAGGTCGTCTTTTTGATCAGGTCAATGGCCCTCCTGAGGACCTCGCGGTCAGACTCGAAAGTCAACTTCTCAACGGCTGCGTCGCAGCTAAAGAACCTAGCCTCGAACTGTGTTTCCCCTCCCTCAGTGCCCTCCCTCGTCACGCTGTCACCTTCCAAGGCGGCGACGTACCACCAGATGAGTTTCACCCCGGCTCCTCCGTCCAGGCTCCTCGTCGTCAACATGAACGGGTCCGTGATCGCTCGACGCGCGGTGGCCGCGTCCGGTGCTTCGGCATCGTCATCTGGCCCCGGCGCCCGCGTGGCCATGTCGACAGGCAGAAGCCTGCAGCGGAAGCCCGTCTCTTCGAGGACCTCCCGCAACGCCGCCTTGTGCCTCGACTCGTCGCAGTTGCGCCTGCCCTTGGCGAGGAGCCATTCGTCCGTAGCTAAGTAGCGCAGCAGGCAGACCTCTGCGGGTTCCTTGGTCAGGTCGAAGGCGATTGCGCCGCAGCTCTCGACAAAGGCCTCGGATGGATATTGGCTTTGGGCAAAGTTGGAGGCTGCCATTTTTGTTTTATTTTCTTTTTTGTTTTTTAATCTTAATGCGGAGCTGTGCCGCCAGCTCGGGACGCCTATTTTTAAAGGCGCAAGGGGAATCTTGTTCCGGCAGAGTAGATCTGGCAGGTTGATGTTGTGTTGCAGAGTGGTCATGGAGGGGCCTTGGCCGTAAATAGATAGGCCGTCCCTTTGTCTGGCTTGCTTCCGAGTCCCGTCCCGTTGGTGGCCGGCCGAGCGTTGTGACTGCTTTGCCTTTGGTTTCCCCATGGGCTGTCCGGGCTGTGTGCCTGCCAAGACGCCAGCCATCCAACAGGAGGCCAGGTCAGCTCGCCTTGAAGGTTATTTGATGGTGCTGTCGGTTCTGATGGCTCGTCTAGCTCAACACGCGAACTGCTGGCAACGCTGCAACTTCGGCAGCAGCCGACTCCAAGGTCGGGCCTAGTCATGAGCTTCTAATTGGGTTTTGGTGACAGTCCATCTTCTTCTCTTCTTCTGCGTTCAAGTGAGGGTATGACAGTCTGGCTCTAGAACTTACGAGCTGTTGTGCAGGACTAAAAAGGAAGATAATCGTGTTAAAAGTAAGAAAGGGTTACTTTACTCTATTGCCACCGAGGGTTGAAATCGAGGCTGGATAGCAAGGTTTCGCTCCTGGCCCCTCACACAAGTTGGTATTAGGACGACAGTTCGATTTCATAGAAGCATGCAATGTCTCCCATGCTGTCAACCCTGGTAAGCAGGTTGGACATTCTGTAACTTCTCTCCGTTTGCGAGCAAAGGTGCCGAAGTGACATAAACACGCGAGTACCCTGGTCCAAACGAACTAGGTATGTTTTTTCGGGAATATTCTTTCATATTGGGAGATACCCGCAGCGGGGGGATTACCGGTTCAGGTGCCTTTGAGCCTCCGTCTCGTCCAGCAGACGTCGTCAGCGGACACGCAACAACCATTTCAAAAAGGCCCCGGAATGTAGGCAGATCGAACTAAGAAGCCTTCCTGGCAAGGGCCAGTCTCGATCGCTCTAGTGCGGAGCAACGGGTCGGCACCTACGGCAGCGCCAGCGGAAGAATCAATGACGCGGCCCAGCTATTTCGTAGACGCGTTCCCTCATCGGCCGGGTATCCCGGCCCCCACTCCCTACAGTACAGAACGATCTATGTGGGTATCGTATCCACTCGTGAGATTGAGAAAACGCTAATCGGTAAGGGGTCTGACAGCCGCTGAGAAGGGCTTAGTGTGCTGGCAGAAACAGGGCTAGTTAGTTGGTTGATGGGTTGGGGGAGTGAGCTATGACAGAGTTTAGGCAGGCTAGTTGGCTGGCTGGCTGGTGATGGTGGGCGGGTAGGTTAACCGCCTTCTCAAGAAAGCTGAGCGTAGGAAGACTGCGCTAAATATATACAGCTAGCCCATCACTTCTAACAGCTAGCTCGCAGTATAGCGTTTTCTCAATCATACGAGTGGATACGGTATGCCCCTGCGTTGGCGACGGCTCAGACACCGGGCGATGCGTTGGTGGTAGCTGCTTGCCTGTCCCAATGCCGCATTGCCGATGGTGGGGGTTTTACTCTAATCGCTGGGGTGTCCCCTGGGGGCTTGCAGCTCGCTGCTGGAATCCGGAAGCCAATTTTTGTTCATCACTCACGCGTGCTTCCCGTTCGATAGCGGGGCGAGAAGGCGTACCTACATCGCCGGTCTTGTTGCGTCGGACAACCGCCCACCACCCCCTGCACCCTAGCAGGGCGCCTTTGGTCCCTCCCTCATCACCCGGGAAGTACGGAGTACGCATCAGGTCTTTCGGTGGTCGAAGGCGGTACAAGGGCTGTTGCGTAAGAGATGTGTAGAAAAAGCAAATGGGTCCCCCTTTGGGCCGTTGGCTGGCTGGCTGTTTGTTGGTTCGATTGATACATTTATTTGACTCTGCTTTGGTATACATACCAGAGTGCACTATTCTCAAGAGACCTCCTTCAGTACCTAACTTGATTCATTGCGCGAGAAACTTTGGCATCACTGTCAGCTCAACTCATTACGCCTTTCTGGATTTGTTGCCGCAGGAACTGGGGTGGAAGGATCAAACGTGCTCTCGCCCTGCACTGCGCCTTCTATGACGTTTTGCCCAGCCAAACGGGAAGACAGATGACCAGGTCCAACATACGAAACAACCGTGCCGCCCTCATCGTTATTTGAACCCGAGGCGGTCACTCTGGGAATCCAACAACAAGTGCCAATTCCTCGCGAGCCCAAAACCAACAAGTCAAAGATGCATATCGGACGCCTCCTCCCGGGAATCGTCGCCGGCATCACATTAGCTCAGGCTACCCCGGTCCAAGACAGGTCTCTGGCTTCATCCACTTCCGTAAATACGGCGGCGGCCGTAGACAAAGAGACGCGGAACGAGCCGGCAAGCTATTTCCGCGAAGCGAGGTATGTTGTCGAATTCTTCACTCGCATCGCCCTGCCTGGTTTTAAGACGAGAAACGCCGACGGGATGAACCTCTATCCCGAAACTCTATATCCTGCAACATGGAAGATTACTGGACATTATCGTACTGACCGATCCTCAACAGCTTCTCTTCACGCTATGACGAGCGCTTCGCCTCCAAGCCGCTCAATGAGACGGCTGAGCGCGACGCCCTAAAGGTCTTGGTCCAGACCTACCTGACGATGCTCGACGACCTGGGTGTCCAGACCTGGCTTGTTCATGGCTCCCTCCTGGGATGGTGGTGGAACAAACAAGTTCGTTTCTCATCCCTTGCCCCTAGACCAATGCTTCAAAAGCTTCCCACCCTCGTCCGGGTCAAAATACTAATAACACAGATTCTCCCCTGGGATTCGACCGCAGACGTCCAAGTCACAGTAAATGGCATCAGATTCCTCGCCGCCTACTACAACATGACGACCTACTACTACAAGTACTCTTCTATCCCAGACGGCCGCTTCTTCCAGCTCGAGGTGAACCCCAACTACGTCCACCGGGCCAAGGACGCCGTTGGCGAGGCCGACGAGGCCGACGCCCGCTGGATCGACATGGACAGTGGCCTTTTCATCGACGTCACCGCCGAGGACCGCAACACGTACCTTGACCCACTGTTGGAGACCGTCTTTGAGGGTGTCAAGGCCAAGATCCCGTACAAGTACAAGGAGATGCTTATTTCTGAGTACGGAGAGAAGGCTTTGACGGACAAGGAGTTCAACAAGTAAGTTTCCCAAAGACAGCAACTCCACGCTGCACGTATCTAACGGCTATCCCAGCCACAAATTCATCGACAACAAGATGGAGTGGGTTCCCAACGACGAGCTCTGAGGGAGCATGGGGAAATGTACGGGCTTCATAGTTGATGCAGAAACTTATCGGACGCTCAGGGTGTGTAATGGGGGCATACAGTTCGCGATAAACCCAAAGTGTGTCTGTTCGTATTTGGCGTTAGGGGATACCCAAGGCTCTGGTTTCAGCAAAGCAGGCAAATAAAAGCCGGCAGTAAGGTTGCAGTTTTGACGTCGTGCTCTATTCCTCAGTGCCTCTGGTGATTTATCTCATTCAGTAGCTTCTCTGTCGCCATAATATTCATCACAACCCTCTAGCATCACGCATCGCACACCGTCTCAGTTAGCAACATTGTTGTTGCTGCTTCCGGCGGCATCACCACCATTGTCTCCACCGCAATCCCCTTGAACTTTGCCTTTCCCTCCTTGCTCTACGCCTGGGACGGCCCCGTCCACGGCGTGCTTGACTTTGGGCAATAGGCTGTTGATGTGGACAAGCAGGGGACATTTCGTTCCGCCTCCGCAAGCATGCGAGATATTGAGTGACATGCTAGTGACCCGCTGCACAATCTGCGAAATCGATGTGTCATCCTTGAAAAGGACGTTAAGGGGCCACAGCCTTTTGTCAGTAAGAATCCTGAGATAATCGCCAATACGATGCTGCTTGGTGCAGAGTTCCGACCAAAGGATAATCTCGTGGCATGGGTGACACTTTTTGGCAGTGCTGGGATGCCGTCGGCCGCAACTTGGACACAGCTTGCGGCCGGTGGTGTACACTTGGCTTCGGCTACTCAAGACGCCATCAATGGAGTGGATAAGCTCGAAGGTGCAAGCGAACAACTTCGCCACATTCAAGTGCAATCCATCTGTAGTCACAACTCATCAGCCTATGCAAGCTTCTATGTTTCGATGCCACGTATCTGGTATCTGAGAAGAAGGTATGGGGAAAGAAAAATCAAAGGTTTTGGGGGTAAGGTTGGCATCTTACTAAGAGATTTGTTCATGTGTAAATCCTTGAGATCTTGGCTTCTCGCCCACATTTCGAGGAAATTCATGGGAAGGTGATGGGAAGCAAATGCCACCAACTTGGCAACCTCCTCTTCCGCCTTGAAGGTGATTGCCGAACTCAACAGCATGCCCAGCTCCTCCGTCTTCGGTTGGTCGTGGCCGGCTATTTCCTGGCGTATCGAGTCACACCACAGACATATCCACGGTGCGAGTGCCTTGCCACAGTCCAAGATTGCACTGACTTTGGCAACTTGCAAGAGGTCCTTGGCTGGAAGATGCCGATAGGTGTTAGTGTTCGTGTAGTGCAAGACGGAGAAGATGCATCGAAAGGCATCCACCTCAAGGTTTACACAGTCGTAGAGTCTGGCCACCTTGCGTCCGTCCTGGGTGCCGCAGGTGGTATCGATCAATGTGGCAATAGTCTTCGAGGCCACACTGCAGACTTTTGAAGACAGCTGAAAGCCAGCTATGGCTGAATTTTCATGACTGAGTAAATTGACGAAGAGGTCGCCAGCGGGGTATATGGGCTCGGCATGTGTGGTGTGCGTATCCGTGGCCATACTGATCTCCTCACTGGCGGTGCTCTTGTCGGGTGGTGGATTGATGTCGTCACTGCTTCCTTGGTCGAAGCTGCAATCGATCGCGTCATGATGGGAAGCCATGGTGTGGACGGGGGCAAAGAAGCCAACTTGAGAAGTTGGAAACGGCGTGGTAAAGATTGAAGGAATAGACTACATACTGTCGCGAACATGAAGGCAGCAGTAGGAAGCATGCGGGGGGAAGGCAGGCAGGGAACCTCAGAAGGCAGGTGTGTACAATCTTAGATGACTTCTTTCCCTCAGAGATTATCAAAAGGCGCCGCTCTTACCTTTTTGTGATGGAAATGCAACCTGCCTTCCCGAGGGGAAAAAAAAGAAATATGTCTTGGTGCCATTGGGCTATGCTTTAAGCAGTCAGGCAGATGGTTTTTCTCGAATAGGCACCCTTTTACAACGAGAGTACGATTGTATAAGTTTTCGGTGTCAAACAATGTTCCATTCATAATCGAGCAAGTATAATGCATGCGGAGGCTGTCTCTTCTCTCCTTGTTGCCTGCTGGGTTTCGGGAGAAATGTTAGGAAGGACCAAGAAGAGAACGGAATCGCAAAAATCGTGAGCTTTGCGACATTGCCGTCTACAGTTCATTCAAATAAGTTTCAACGAGAATTATTCGAATTCCCTTCGCTTTGCTGCTGAACTGCCGTATTAATATCAAAGTCAATGCTCAAGGCCCAAACGATGAAATCCGGCTAATAGAGATAGTTAAGTGTAGCAGCCGCCACAAGCCTTCCAGTCTTAACTGGCGTCAAACTCGCCCTTGCCATCATCATCGAAGTCAGTGTTGAGCTTGTCCGTGACGAGAGAACTTAATTCCTGACCCTGAATGCTTCCAATAACATCGACTACCGCCTCATCCAGCTCTCTCAATCGCTGCCTCAGAGGACATTGCTGATCAAACACGCATTTTTGAGTGCGTGTCTCCCGGACCATGTTGAATCGGCGGACTATCTCGCCAATTGTACACTTTCGCCAGGTCTTCTCATTCGGGTAGAGCTGGTGCTTCGTCAAGATAACCGTGCACTCTGCGACGCGTGTTTTCCAACAGCAAAACACTTGGTAGTCTCTGGCGCCGGGCTGCTCACCTTCGACTGATGAGCAGTCTGGGCACTTTGATGACCGGCTCTTTTCGTAAACGAGAAAGCACTTGCGGCAGCGGGAAGTGTGCATCCAGCCGATGTCGGATTGGTTTGCCGCCAAGTCGGACACTGTGTTCTGTGAGAGAGAATAGAGGCGCTGAGAAACTTCCTTCATCCTCGAAGTTATGTAGTCTGAGAAATATTAGAGATTAAATCAAATATGTTCGCTATCATATTACGGTGTACTTACTGCTGACCTCTTCCGAAAGATTGGCCGACGTCTGGTCTCCAAGCCAAGAGCTGAAGTCAAAGTCGAGAGGCAGTTGTAACACAGCTAACCGTGAAATCTTCTCAAAAGCCTGTGATTTTCCAATGATGGAAGTGGCCACCAAGAGGTGTCCGATATCTCGAAGCTCGATAGTGCGGTTGAAGTTGGCAAGCCATCTCTCCATCCACGGCGCGAGCGACATAGTGCAGCAATACTTATCGCAATGGGCAGCAATGTCCGCAAAACGCTCAGCGCTCATTGTATACCACTCACTATTATAAGCGTAGTGAAGGATGGAAAGAACAACCTCCATTGCATCCGGGCTATCTTCATGCAGACGAATGTCTGGCTTCGATCCATTTTTGGTCCTGATGCCTTCCTGGAAATCACGAGTGAAAAGGGCGTTGAAATATTCAGAAGCAATCCTCAGAACTTGAAAAGAAACGAGAAACTTCTTGCGCAACTTCTCGTTAACGACCACCAGAGCAGCGTCCCAAGCTGGGTGAAGCTCTCTGATGATCTCGTTTGCTACCTCAACCTCCGCCATAGTGGTTGGTTGTGTTTTGTGTCGGGATGAGTTGCGACGGCTCAATGGTGCCGAGAGCCAAATGAGTTGATACCAAAATCCGGTCAAGTGACCGATGTGGTTGAGGATGTGATGCTGCAGACGATGCGGTCTTACCCTAGGCCCGATATTGAGTTTGCTATGAGAGTAGGTGCTATGGAAGGAACTGCAAAGGCTCACAGCAAGGAAGGAACGAGAGGATGAGTGAAGGCAAAATGCATTTAGAAGATTAAACCAAGATGATGTTGATGAGGGCCTGCGAAAGTTTGATGTAGGTGTATTGAGCTCTGATAAATTATAATCAACCAACCGCTTTGCCTCCTCGGGTTGAGAACACGTAGAATACCAGTGAGATATTCGCAGGGGTGAGCGGTCTGAGTAATAATGTATCTTTCCAAGACGCTCTTACAACAGACGTTTTGTCCTGAAAAACGACTGATCAATATGCAAGAGACCAAATCGAAAGAAAAGGACAGGGCAAATGAGCATGTTTCGGCAGCCATATGGAGTCTTGGCTAAAGAACCTGGAATACGATTTTTGACTGCAACGATACCTTGGTCGCACTTTATACATGGACATAGCAGATGATCCTGAGAGAAAAGGGGGGTGAAATAGAAGGGGCGATTGGAAGCCACCAAACCAATAATATTGTTATGCCATAGCTTGTTTCCGTCAATCTACAATAACTTTTGTTATGTCAACATACAGGTTGGGAAGCGGACTTGTAAACATGGGAGTCCGGAGCTGGTCGTTAATGACGCACGGACCACACCAGGGATGCTACAGGGATGGATGGCGTAAAGGGGAGGCGCGTGTTACGCCGGGTATCAAGACGCGCCCCTCTACTGTAGTAATCATTTGTCTCCATCGGCTCAAGCTGGCAGCTCTGCGTGTGAACCACAACAGCCCGGCCTCGACGACAAACTAGCTTCGATGATCTCCCAGCCATATTTGGATCACTTTTCGGGCACTTTCGCGCTAATCACGTCTCTATAATCCGCGATCATGACCAGTGAGTCTCGGCGCGTGCAGCACCCCGCTAAGGGAAATACTGACATTTGACAGCCCGGGCGGAACGCATGCAACAGCGCATGCGAGGCGCTGGGTAGGACAACCCAACCATTGCTGACTGAATATTACAACTGACAATTCAAAGACATGGCCAGGTTGAGGATGTTTCTTTCCAATTGGACTTTGGCGACGACCTCACAGCAACCGGGATCGAGCCCCAGAACAGCCCGGAGAGACCGATACCCAGAACGACGCCGAACACGTCTGCTAAGAGACGGAGACTCGACACTGATGCGACGCGGTCGGCGATACCAGCGACGAACGATACGAGTCTGACCTCGCGGCAGCCTTCAGGGAAGGACGACCCCTACGAGCTCCAAGAAGGGTCCTCTACCGAGTCCGCGCAGTTCGCAGCCGCGCAAACCGCCAGAAGCCCTACTGTCGCCGTCGTCAAACAAAATGACACTGGGACAGTCGAGTCCCTGCTGCCGCCGAGGCCTGCTGCGTCTGCGCCGCCCGTCTCGCCGGTGTCGAGGAAGGGTACGGGGGAACATACCGAAGTGGAAGAAAGCCCCTTGGATGCGCCGGGGAGCGGCCGACGGCGCACAATCGTGACTAGCAGTGCTCTCGTATCGAGTGCCAGATTACAGCAAGCACTCTCACCCGGCGATAACGAAACCGAGACCGTTCCGATATCCTCCCCTTTAGAGCGCAAAGTACGGAGAAATACAGCTGGCACGCGCAGCTCCCGCGGGAGTCGGAACTCTGCCGCATCTGCAGAGGATGTTCCGGATGGCATTTCGCCGGATCACACGGTCAGGTCTCTATTGACGGCAGGATCTCCTGAGCTCTCGTACCGTCAAGATGGGGAAATGGAAGAGCCGACAGCGCCCGTCTCTGAGCCAGTATCCCCATCAGAGGTGGAGCCGGAACCAGAAACAATTGTAGAAGAAGTACACGAAGTAGAGCGAGATCACGACGAAAATTTGGCAGAAGAAGTGGATACGAACGAGGCAGCCCAAAGACTAGGACGGAAACGACCACGCAGAAGCCCCAAACCACCTTCCCCTGAACCTGAACCAGACTCGACTATAGCCGATGACGAGGACCACGACGAGCCATTACCCAAGAGACGGAAAAAACAGACAAAAAAGAGCCCAGCGAAACAGAAGCAAGGAAGGCCAAAGGGAACTTCCAAAGCCAAGGACACTTCGCCGAAGGCGGCCCCAAAGCGCAAGAAGAAGACAGGAGCGGATGAAGCTGGAGAGTCGGTTACTATCCCCGTCCAGCGATTTACAAAAAGAGTGCAAGTCGCGGAAGGCGACGAGGACGACGCCGATGTGCTCAACCAGGACATCCCATTTGCTGGACGTAGCGGAGTCAACACGGTCGATGTTCTGACTCAGGTGTGTGACGAGATGATTGAGACGAGTCTCGATACCCTTAAAGAGGGTGGGCGAAACGCCCAGGATAAATCCGCCAAGAGGGAGTACCAAGTGCAGTTCCGAGCCCTAGAGGCTTACCGGGAGGAGCTGAAAACCCGCCTTCTCCAGCATGTCAGTGTGAGGTATCTGAGTCCAGGTTGCCATTGCTAACCCCAGTCTAGACTATTCTCCTCGACGCACTCCACAGCTTGCGCAAGCGAGTACGTAGCGTCCAGAAGGAGAGAATCGCTCTTCGGGACGAAGTCATGCGGATCCGAGCCGAGCGGGATCAGGTGGCACTTCGGAAGGATGCCGTTAGAGCCAAGCACGAAAAGGTGACGGAGGAAGCATTGGTACGCCCCTTCGGCCGCGCTCTAACTCAGCCTTACAGCTCTAACGTGTGCCCACAGAACCAATTGAGCTTGTCTTCGCAGATGCATGATATCGACCTGGCCGTGGAGCGCGGTCGTGCAGCACCTGAGCTTGGCCCAGCCGAGAAGAAGACGGCAGAGCTGGCCAACCTTGAGATTTTGATATCCAGGATCACAGACCAAGCTTGTTCGCAGAGCGGTGCAGGGGGGACACTGAAACAGATCAGGGACTTTAATGCTTTGCTTGAACGAGCTGCTGTGGCTCTCGAAGGCAGATGAGCGGCAAAGAGGTGTGTGTGTGGGAGGGGAGAGCTTCTCAGCCAACACAATGCCAGTTTGTTTCGGCCATGTCACGACTAAGGTTCCTCGAGGCGGTTTGTTGTTCTTTGTTACTTACGACAGGCTCGGGAGGCGAGGATAGCACGGGAGGCCTCTGGCCGGGGGGGGATCCTGGAAAAGTCTGCGTTCGGCTCGGCTAATTGATGACAATGTCTTGTCCTCCCTTGCTTGCCATTGACGGGGTAATAACAGCGCACTAAGTGCAAACTTTAATCCTCAAATTGAAGTAGGTGACTAGTTTTTAAGCACTCTCGTCTCCCAAGAGGGGAAATACCTTAGGCAGCGCAGTCCGAGGACATTTCGCCGGCCCCATAGCCAGCCACTGCATAGAAAGCGAGCGCCGATCAGGCCGATGACGTTCTGGAACCAAATGGTCGCCTAATCTCCTAAGCGAGCGTCTCGAACTTTGAGATGTCCATTCCCAATTTGACGTCACTAGCAAGCCTCGTTTGAAGTCTCCCCGGAGGTCTCCGTCGTTCCTGCGTGCGTCGTTGCCATGTTGGCATGGTCGTGATCGGGGAGTGTCCCAGCTTCTCTTGTAGTGTAATGTGGCGGTGGCCGGGTAACTTTCACCTGGCGTCGCTGTCCGCCCCTCCGCACCAATTGTTCCTGTCATCAGCCGCACGCCCCGTGTCATGAACATCCCGGCACGGATGTGCGGCACCTCCTGGATCCATCGTCAAAGTTTCTACTACATTGTACGTACACGTACCTGGGGGGCGGCATACTTGCCCTACCTGGCTACAGACGTACCCTCCCTCTCCTGACCCCTAGTTCCTGGCCAGCCAACGGCAAGGAAACCAAGGCGCTGACGGTGCGCGACGGCGACTGATTGGGTGTTTGGGGTGCTATAGTTGCGGTTTTTTGCATCCGATAATCAAGGGTGGCTCTGTGTTGTTTCTGGGGGTGGTGGGGAGCATGCGACGGCGATAAGCGGGCGTGAGCGTGGGAGCCCTCGTGCATGACCTTGGTTGGGAACGGGTTAGGAAACCTCGGCCGCCGACTGCCCCAGTCTGGCACGGGGAATAGCCTAGTGGATAGAGGGTTGACAAGCAGAGGTCTGTTGGGTTTGTGCGGACCGAAAGAGTACATAAGACCGGAGAGGACAGCACATCTTCCCATCAATGTTTTTTATCCAAGATCAGTCTACGCATATATATCTACACCACTCAAAAGCCTCTCGAGATCGTATACCAGAGACCATCACCTCTCTTTTCAACCTCTCAGATTCTTCTCGCAACCGACAACATGCCCGCTCCCGAGGCTCCCCAGCAGCAGGCCCCCATGGAGGTCCCCGTCGACAACGGCATCGTCACCCAGCAGCCCGTGAGTTTCTCCCTCTTCCTGCTCCTTTCGGGCCATCCTGGTAGGGAACACGAGAACACCGACTAACATGCTGTCGTAACAGTCCGCCGAGCCCCAGCCCGAGATGAGCCTCCGCGGTGGTGAGGAAGCCGGTTGCGAGATCTGCTGCGGTCTCTGCGGCTGCGATGAGTCTTGCTGCTAGATATGTGCTTGAGGATGACTTGACGAAGTGGATTGGAAGATATGGACAAACGAATACAAGCTTTTGGGGAGAGGAGGGGGCGGGCGCTGAGTGAGACAACGCGCATCGGTGACTAACCCGTGCCCTCCCCCCCGTGGCGTTTTTGGCGAATTGGATTACCACCAGCTACCCTGCCGTTAGAGCTGGGTTGGATATATCATCGAAATAAATAAAAAATCCCATGTGAATAATGTACAATCCGATCTCGCCCTCAACACTGATAGCTCTCAGACGTGCAACTAAAACAATGAATGTAGTTGAGGATGCGAGACCCTTGAGGCTAGAGGCTTGAGGCTTGGGGGGGGCTGCCAAGTGTGTGCCAAGAGATCTACCCGCTCGCATGGAAAGCTTGGCGTGCGACGACTGCTCTCCATGGCTTTCCCCCCTCCCTCTCTCTCTCTCTTTCCTCGCTGGGCGAAGCGAGTGCGGCTGCAGAATCCACCAGACATATGAATTGTTCCGCGGCACAAGACATAAAAAGAGCTGAGCCGAGCCTTCTACCGGCGACGATCACTGCACAAAAATCCCCACTGCCCGGTAAACATCATTTCCCAGTGTGCCAGGCACGACAGCTCACACTATCACACGTATTTGCTGTAGGGGCGGGGGGCGGTTTCGATCACACCACGTCCAGGCGCTTGCTCCAGCTTCTCCACTCGCGGCAACCCATAGGTATTCGAGAACCGTCTTTGTGGCCTGTCAGGTTTCCGGGTTTCTGCGAAAGAGCCTGGTTACAGCTGACTACTGGCGGGCGACCGCGAGCCCAATTCCCCCTTCATCTCCCACCCCCCCTCCCCCTCGTCGAATTTGCAACCGCGTCAGAAATCGCTGATCGCGCCGTTCGAGCACCATCGAAAACGCGGACTCTCTGCTCTCGGGTTTCCGTGTGCCCGCACTCCTCCGATGGGCTGATGCGCTTTCGTTGGGGTACGAGATGGGATGGAGTGCGCTGAGCCACGCTGACCCTGCTGAGGGAATTACGGACTGCGTTGATTCAGCCCGCCTCATGAAAGTCTGTCAATGTACTTGTACGTCACAACTTCAGGCCGCCGTCTGATAATATGGCCACCAGTTGGAGCCAACCGCGGCCGTGAGACATCGTGATGCTGGGTCCACAAGCAACGTTCTCGTTTCCTCCCTTTGTCGATTCTCTGTACCAACAGGTGACTATACGGACGACGAATTGCCTTGAATAAATCCTTCCCCCATTGCGAGTATTGAGAGGCTTCGACTGGAGGGAGAATATGCCATTAACAGGCTCCTTTTGTTTTTGCATTCCAAAAAACGCTTTTGCTAGAAGTACAAGATAGGTAGTCTACAGTCACTTCTACAATGGCCGAAACCGTCACAATCAAGGACGTTGGCATCGACCTCGACAACCCGCTGTGTGCAGCACACGGCCCGGTGCCAATTGCCCTCAGGAACCATGACCATCTCAGAGATGGTGATACACCCCCCTGATGAACCGTAGACACTGACCAAAAGCAATCACCGCTCCTCTCACTTGCCGCCGCCAAACACCCCGGTGATGCGATCGAAAATCGTGGCATTGCCCTCCGCCTTGCGCTTCTCCTTCTCCTTCTCCTGCTCGTCCCATAGCTTCTGCACTTTTCTGGCCACGTCCGCATTGGCCTGCAGGTCCGCCCGCAGCGCCGCCTCCTCGGCCGCCCGCTCCGCCTCCGGCAGCTTCTCCAGCCGCTCCTTCCACGACTTCTCCAGGTCCGGTCTGGGCTTCACCTCGGGGGCGACGGGGCCCGCGCCCGACGGCGAAGTGGGTATCGCGAGATCAAACTTGGGCACGGGGAGGCCCTCCTTCTTGGCCGCCTCGGCCGCCTTTTCTTGCTCGATCATGCGCGCGTAGAGCTGGTCCGCGTGCATCTGTATGTCCTCCTCCACCTGCGCCGGTCGGTTTTGGACGGAATGGTAGCCCAGGGCCCTGAGGAATCTCTAGTGGCGGGGCGTTAGTGATCATGAACCCCTCCCGCCGACAGCGGTGACACGAGCAAGTCCCGGGGGGGGGGGGGGGGGGGGGGGGGGACACTTACCGTCTGCACGATATAACATCTCTCGAACCGCTGCACCTGATGCCTGCACATCTGCATCTGGTCCTCCCAGGCGCCGTTCTTCATGCAGTTCACCCACTCCTCCTGCTGGATCGCGCAGTTCTCGAGCGCCGCCCTGCCAATGTTGTTTTTCCGCTGCTTAAAGCCATCCAGCACGTCCACGAGCTTCTCGTGGTCCGTCTTGGTCTCGGCCACGATCTCTGAGTACGGGCGGTACGTCTTCCACAGGTGCGCATACCGCCCGTCCTGGAACAGGCTCTCCTTGGGCACCTTTGGCCGAGCTACTGCTTCCGCGGCGTCCTGTTGTGAATGTGCATGCGCGTGCGTCGCCGCATCGGCGGCCCTGTTCTGGGCGTCCTGGGCCTGTTGCTGCTGCTGGATCTTGACCGGAGACTCGCGCTCGAGGAACTCGCGGAGCTTCGGGTCGAGCGACTTGAGCGGGTTGTCGGACGCGGGCGCGCCGGACCCGAACCAGCCGTCGAACCAGCCCATTGAGAAGATGTGAGCTTTTCGAGTGAAGGAAGGCTGGGAGCTCTTGGGTGATCCCGGGGGGTGTTGTCTGGGGAGCTTGGTGGCTCTCTGGTTATCGCAAACTTGAAGCTATGGGAGAATTTCAAGGTGGCCGACTGTGATCCAATCAGATGCTTGGAAAGACACGAAAGGACTGTGTGATAATTGGGTTAGCACTGTACTGAACACTGTCACTTTGGGGGTTCGATCATTATGCTCCGCATCAAATACGTTGCTCTGATAATGTTATTGAACTGAATCATTGGGCTTTCCCATTGCGGGACGGGTACAGCTCAGAAACTCTATACTGGGCGTCGCATTCCATTCTGGGGAATCAGGCAAGTTGAAACACTCGAGAGTTCTCGTCAGAACGTGCTGTGCTACTAGGACACCCTTCTGGGGGCAGCAGTTGGTAAATTCGTCGTCCCAGAGCGTGATGCAATACACGAGACGTAAGGGAAGAGGGGCACTGGGAGGCAGCATATCACTCTGTATCACGAAGAAACCATTACACGCCCAACCATTCCTTATCATTTTTTTTTCGTTCATTCGACCTGAGGCGTATCGCAGTTTTCCGTTCCCGCAAAAATCACAAGCCCATCGTGTGCCCAAGACAGCCAGAGAAAAAGAACCTCTAGTTCACACCCGAGATGTTTGGCTGATCGAATTCATTTGGTCTCTGATTCTGCATCTATAACACAATCATGTGGATGCAGTTTTCCTGTTGACCTCCCATCCGGTATGTAATGAAGAACCCACACCGCAGTCACGCCGTAAATGCCAATGAGCCAATTTAGAACTTGCTGAACTTCTTGACAGCCTTGCCAGTGCGGGGAAGGACACGCAGGACGTTGAAGCGGACCTGGATTCGACGTTAGTAAACTTGCCTCCCGCGAGAGAGCCCTGGTTTGACCAGCGGCCGTTGTGGTATATATTCGTAACATACAGTCTTGCTCAGAGGTCTGCACTGGCCAACGGTGACCTGGTCACCCTCCTCGACACGGAAAGCGGGGGAGACGTGGGCGGCAAGGTTCTTGTGGCGCTTCTCGTAACGGGCGTACTTGGGGATGTAGTGGAGGTATTCTCTGCGGATGATGAGGGTGCGGTGCATCTTGGTGGAAACGACGGTGCCGGTAAGGATACGACCGCGGATGGAGACCTGGCCGGTGAAGGGGCACTTCTTGTCTGCAGACGATCCTTCGTTAGCCACTGTATCTTCTGCAGTTCACTCCGTTCCCGACGTGCAGCGCGTGGTGATTCCTTGTCGTAATCGTCGCATGGCCCCCTCCTCTTATCTTCGAGTTCGTTTCCCAACTGGTCGTGTGTTTGCTGATTGCGTACGGCCCCCGAGGGCGTTGCGAAATTTCGTCGTGCTCATGTTCCGTCCGTCCATCGCGCGCAAAACTCCAACACAAGTTCAATCGCTCTCGCTCGCAAACGTACCGATGTAGGAGCCCTCAATGGCAGTGGCAGGAGTGCGGAAACCCAGACCAACGTCCTTGTACCATCTGCGGCCGCTCTTGCCGGGGCGAGCAGACTTCGCCTTGACCTTCTGGTTAAGGAAGATACCCTTCTGCTTCTGGAAAGCCCTCTCGGACTGGACGGTCAACTCGGTAGCCATCTTGACGTCGTGATGCGGTCGGGTCGACTGGGCGGGGTGGGTGCTGTTGAGGTTAGAAGTCGTTGATGCTGAGCCGCTTTCAACCAGAGCTGCGGAAAAATCGAGTGACGAGCAAGAGATGTGGCCCAGCTTAGGGCACGAAAAAATTAGCGAAAGGTGGGTGGACCCCCCAAAAACACCCACGTTCCTTTCCGGAGTCGGTTCAGCCACACTTGAACAGTTCCGCCTCACCCAGCCTCAGGCAGAAGCTGCCCCTCCACTCTGGCTGGTCGAGGACGGCTGTGGCGCAGCTCTCCTGTGGCTAGCAATTCTCTGCATCAGAATTTCCCCCCATTTGCAGTGACAGCTTGATGCCACAGCAACAAAGCGCGTCTGTTGACATCATTACCGACAGCCCAATCAGATCCCCTGCCGCACGTAAACACAACCCATGACAGCCCACTCACCCTGCTTTTTTGGGGGGAACTAGCATAGGTATTCACGCCACCATCGATACAAGCAAGTCGCGCTCACACACCCATACTTGAACAAGTGACATGCGCACGCCTAGCTCCTCGATCTGAAGCCCTACTCATCACCAGAAACCCCGATACTCAATATGGCTTCGCTCGGTGATACGACCCTACCGTCGACGCGTCGGACACGCAGGTCTATCGGAGCGACCAGTTTGTCGAGGAAGAATGGTGACAAAGAGAACGCGACCATTGACGTGGGTAGTAGTCTTGCTGAAAGTCGCAAGAAGTCGCGAAGCAAGAGTATTGGTCCCGGAGGCCTGGATACCCTCAAGAACGGAAATGGGAACCGCAGAGCTGTGAGTATGCTCTCTCTTGCCGGTCACACGCACCCGCGCCTAACACATACACAGTCCCTGGCAGTGCCTTCACGGCCCCCGCCTCGATCGATTTTGAAGCCTACGATGCCTCTGTTGCCCGAGATACCGCCACACCGCAAACGGGGGGCAGACCTCATCGATCTCGGTCCGCCGAGGGCGAGCACTCCGACGACAACAGGCAGCACCGATCTCACTGGTTCTGGATCCAAGATTGCGCTACGCACAGAGGAGGAACAACAGGCTGCGGCAAAGGAGCGGGAGCGCAGAGACGCGCGCCGCAAATCTCTCGCCAATCGTCGCGTGTCATTTGCAGCCGAGGCCACCCTTCATACATTCCACGAGATTGAGTTCATGCAGGACTCGACATCGTCAACCGATTCGAGGCGCCGCAGTTCATCAGCCGGAGGCAGCTCCGACGAAGCACCGCCAAACCGTCCGTCAACACCACAAGACCAGGAAGAGGATGTTGTTCCGCAATCACCAGACAACCAGCGAGAGCTGCACCAGAAGAAACGTAGAAGAAGCTCCACCGCTCCTCTGATTGAGTTTACAGAAGACGAGGAAGACACCATGGCGACCGGTTTCAGTTCCGACTCGGAGCCGCCAGATGCTGTAGAGGATGTCGGCGACGAGGAAGAAGAAGAAGCATCGGACTCCAATAGTGACTCTGATGACGACGGCACGATGATGACAGTCGATGACCACGAGGTCACTGGCGCATCGGTCATGTCTTCGCGCACCACCGGAACGGACGATGACCATGACACACTGGATGATGCACTCCGAGCGGCTGCACGGCATGCTGGCACACAAAGGCTGGGCTTCGATGACAGTGACGACGAGGAGGTGATTCCTTCTTTCGGGTGGATCAAGAAAGACAAGCCCCAAGCAGAGGCAGGTCAGGATCAAGAGAACGTTAAGCCACAACCGCTTGTCCGTAACAGCCCTCCTCAGGATGACGAGGAGGACGACATGGACATGGACATGGACTTCACTTCCGCTGTTGGGGGAATCCTTGGCAACAAGACGTCTCAAGGTATCGAACCTGACGAGGAAATGTCCATGGATGTTACCCGTGTTTTGGGAGGCATTCTGTCGAAGAACAATAGCCAGTCAGCATCGGCGAAAACAGCCTCCGAGGATCAGACCATGGATTTCACTCAAGCAGTTGGAGGTATCCAGAGATCCAAAGTCAACGGCCATCTATTCGCTGCGCCGGACGATAACGAGGACATGTCGATGGAATTCACCAGCGCAATTGGTGGTTTGCTGCCGACGCACACCAAGAGTGGCACGGCACAGACGCGCCGGAGAACGATGACTTCCAGTAACAACCCAGAAGAGTCAATCATGGACATGGATATGACGGTCGGCGTCGGCCGGATCTTGCCCAACTCAGACAACACATTCCACGGCGACCAGACAATGGGCATGGACATGACTGTTCCCGTGGGCCGCATCCTTTCGGCAGAAGACGAACCTGCAGATGAAGAGGAAGCGACTGGGCTCATGGACATGACTGTCCCCTTCGGCAAGATCTTGCCTTCAGCGGATCGGTCGCCTGAGCAGGAAGAGGCGACTATGGGAATGGACATGACCATTCCCGTCGGCCGGATTCTGCCGTCTTCCCAAGCTGCGGATCACGAGGAAACCACGACGGGTATGGACATGACTTTGGCTGTCGGGGGCATCATCAGACCGCCCCAGTCGCCCGAGGCTCGGGTTGCTGCCAAGAAACTCATGGAAGCGGAAGTAGACAAGCCTGACACGCCGAGCAAAGCTATGCTGGGCAAACCTGCATCCCCTGCCAAAAAGCTTGCCGCTTCGGTCAAGAGAAACACTTCATCAGCATCGGATATTGGAAGCAGTCCCGGGTTCAATCCTTTCCAGGGCAGAGGTCTCCGCCAGAGTATGCCACGCGCAGGCGCCGCTTCAATGTCCCCGGACCGAACGAGAACGCCCAGCCCTCCAAAGTCTGCAGCTCCCACTCCTGCCGTCGCCGAGACCCCACTCGATAGTTCGCCAGTCAAGACGCCGCAGTCACTCAAGAAGCGAGGCCGCCCCAAGTCACCCGTCAGGAAGCCTGCTACTCCCTCTCCCGAAAAGGCGCCTAGTCGTCTGAGCATTTTTCAGCAAGACCCGACCACCGGCGCAAGGACCCCGACAGTCGTCCTTACTCCCCAAACCCGCAGACATTCCGGTATCGGTGCAGATAAGCCCGGACTGGGCTCGCCTCGAGTTGCCGCTCTTTTGGACCGCAGAGGATCACTTGGCGAGACCGTTAAAGAGTTTGTACCCGGCAAGGACCGAGGGGTCAAATTTGCCGACCCACAAGTCATCGAAGAAGAGATCGACAAAGACCGTCAGGAAGAAGAAGACAAAGAATCCGGTCGGAAGATACTCGAGCGTGAGGCCGACGGCGGCGAGAATGAGAAAGAGGCGACCCTGAACCTAAGGGAAATGATTGAGAGCTTGAGTCCGAAGAAGAGTCGCATGCGAAGTCGCAAGAGTCTTCATGTCGGAAGCGCAAGAGGGCTACTCGGCAAGCGGCCCGCTGAGCTCGATGATGAGGATGGCGAGGGCTACGATGGCGTCAAGAGGCTCAAGGGCCATCAAGGCAGTCCTGTCAAGAATGTCAAGCTGCAACAGCCGCCCAGTAAGGCAGAGACCACTGGTCGCAGATTGACTCGGTCAGCCCGGAAGAGCATGGATGAAGACGCCGCATCGAAAGCCACGCCCACCCATTCCGATTCCCCTCTGAAAATGGCGACCTCGGCCAAGTCACCAAAATCGCACGGTCGCTTCAAAGACGTCGAAGACGACACAATGTCTCACCCGATGAACCTTGATGGTTCTCCTGTCCAAGACGAGGACGAGCTCATGAAGGAACAGTCTGGAGAGCGTATTCATTTGCAAGACTTCCTGAACATGACTTCAATTCGTTTCATGGAGTTGACAACCACCAAACGAAGACACACGCAAGCCCCAGAGATGTTCAAGGACGGGCTGTTGGGTGGGAAAGACGACTTGTCAATGGAACGCTGCGTCGTAGCCGGTGCCTGCACGGTGCCAATGCTTGAGCTTTATCAACACTCCTGTCGCGAGCTGAAGAAATACATCTCTGAAGGCCGCAGCATCGTTCGGGAGATCGAATCGGAGACCTTCGAAGAGAACCCACCGCTGTTCCGCGAGTACATGTCGGCTACGCCCGATTTCAAGAATATCCTTGACAACCAGTTCAAGAACAGCAAGACTCACGCTCGTCTGGAAAGCAAGGCCATGTGGTACGAGTGGCGAACAAAACTCCAGGAAGGTCTGAGAGAGGGCCTTGTTAGGATCGCTGAGGGCATGGCCGCCGATGACAAGGTCCTTGATCAACAGCAAAAGCTGCTCTCTTCTGTCTTGCCTGCCATTGTGACACGCTTCACTGCCCTTCAACAAGAGCATGAGAACTTGCAAGCCGTCGCAGAAGAGCTTGCTGACTGCGACCCGGAAGAGCTCGATGCCGCCAGGTCTGACTTGGCTAACATCGAAAGTGATGTGGAAGAGAAGACGCGGCGTGTTGCTGAGCTCCGACAGGAATTGGAGGAGGCAGAACAAGACGTGGAAGAATTGAAGCAGGAGAAGCAGCAGTGCCACGAGGACATCAAGGAAGCGGAAAGGATCCGCGAGGAATGCCGGGGCTGGTCGATTAGCGAGATCAGTGCGCTCAAGGGTAAGCTCCAATCGCGATGGCATTTTTACCCCCACAAGACTAACATGGCCTGCAGCGCGAGTGGATTCTCTCGAAAAGCAACATGGCTGGGCCGTGACCGGGGTTTCCGGGAACACCATTTCGATGACGTACCGAAAAGAAATCGAACTGGTATTCGATCTGGCATCTTTTCAGCATGGCCGGAAGAATTCGCGGATCGATCTTTGGTACATCGCTGCAAACCGCGAGACCAACCCTGTGCCGTTGACAACCGAAAGGGACTTTTTCCTACAGTGCATCCGGGACCACATCCGTGGACTGCCGCAGAGCCGCACTAAAATTGCGGACCTCCTCCACCTGGTTCGTGCCGCATGGGACATGGCTGATTGCACCTCCAACCACATTCGGCAGCTCAACATCACATTTCCCACGGCTGTTGCCAGGACGTCGGACTCGTCCGTTGCTGTGAAGTCATCCCTCCTTCTACCCCAAATCGAGACCAAAGTGGAAATTGTCCTCGAGATCCGCGGTTCGAACAAGCCTGACGGCATCGAGTTTACCCTGCATCCCGAGGCCAAGGTTGTCTATGGAGAGCACTTTAACACTGGAAAGATGGGAGAATTCTTGACGACGCATCTGGGAGATCGGGCGTTGTCTCGGGAGGGGGATGCGCCGTCGTGGAGCAATGTGGTCGTCGACCTTCATGAGAGGCTTCTGGCGAGAGGAAGGAAGCAGGGCTAGGAACGGGCTATTTCTATCTTGTAATGATTGATGATGGCGGAATATTCCTTTCAAAGGCCGTGATTTCGGCCCATGGCGCTTGTGGCGGATACCCAGAGCATGATAGCAAACCACATTAGCTACGCGTCGTTGATTACATATATATGCCACCGTCGTAGTTATGTCCCTTCGAATTCATCTGTACACCGCATGATCTCTTCTAAGTTCATTCAGTGTGTCGGCCCGATATAACGAGGACAAACCTGAGGGGGACAATAGCCGCTCGCGACACCGATTCGTCATCCGTGCCTTCAAGATCAACCACGAGGTCGAGGCAGCCCTTCATCTATTGGCAAAGCCAGACGAGACCGTCATGGCGTTCCTTTCTCGAGGTTGGGGAAGGCAGACTAAATGGCAGCCCCATCTCTCCTTGGCTGTCTGGATGCTGGTATTGCCGCGCTCTCAAGCCAATTATTTATGGACCCTCTATTCCGACGACAGCGAATAGCTACACAGCAAGCAGAGTACTCTGGACACTCAAAACCACATGAGTCTGCTTCGGGATATACTCGGCATACCAGCAGCTGCTTTGTACTCCATTGACTAGTACTCATACTGAGCGAGTTGAATGACGGGGGATCAGCTTCTTTGAATCGATGAACCGCCTAATGGTCTGATCTTTACTACATTCTATCCAGGTTTGTCACCTTGTCATCCGCCCTTGTCGTCCGTCTCCGCTGTCCGTCTCCGTCGTCCGGCCCCGCCCGTCCTTGACCGCCTTCCTTCCGCCGGTCTCAACTCCGGAAGACCATCTCACCGGCCACTTCACCTCGCCTTCACTCTTCCATCCCAACCAACCAGACCGAAGCGAACAACCGGAAACCCTCGCTTGCCTGCCGTCACGTGCCCAACGACCAGACCGCCTACTTGATGCCTATATCAATTTCTTCCACACTTCTAGGATTTTAGAAAAACCCTCTTTCTCTCTTTTTTCCGTCTTATATCCAACCATTCGACTATTGCAGCTGAAGTTTCGCGCATAGTCATCTTGACATTTGTCCCATTAATTCAACCCTCTTTCTCGCTTTTATCTATCTCGCAACGACCGACTTGATCTCAATTATCGGCATCAGCATCAGACCAGTCAACATGGACGGCTTCCTCGACTGGGTCTGCCCCCAGGCGGAAAAGATGTTGGATTTTCTCATCGACATGTTCGGCATCATTTTTGGTCCGATCATGTATGGATTACTTTGGATGACCAGTTTTTCTTCGATTGGTTTCGCCATTTGGATCATAGTTGGCTCCCTCATTCTCGGTGCCCGCAAGCTGTTCCAGGATGCGACACGAAGCCTCAAGGATCAGTGGCGTGCCTTATCAGACAACGACCCCAATAAGCCCAGGATTCCTGGTACCTGGCCTGGAACTGCGATTCTGAACTTTTCCTAGGTTGAGAAGTTTGGTATCGCCGTCCCAGTTATGTGAGCTTCAACGTCCAGTATCCCATTCATCCTGACCATGAGCTGACCATACTCTCAGGCCCCCTTCGCCACCGGATCAGGCGGTGTGCGACCCCATTACCGACTCATCGAACCCGTCCAAGGATGGTAAGAAGAAGAAATCGGACAAGAAGAAGTTGAGCCTTAGAATCTCTCAGACGAAGGCCAAGAAGATTGCGACACGGTTAAGAAGGAAGACATCCAGACTTGAATACAGGCACCGACAGGAACATAAGACAAATCCCTGGCCCACACGCAAGCATCAGAAGACTGTAGAGCTGAACAGCAAAATCGAGAAGCTCAAGAGTTGCAACCTTGAACTCAGTGCCTATTTACGGACTGTGGAGGCGAGCCGCGCTGAACTGTTGCAACGTCAGACAACCTGGATTTACCCATACGACAAGGACTTGGAGATCCCCGGCCGAATTCCAACCATATGTGCGAGACTGCCAGTACCCGAATTCCGCATCTCAGACGTTGTTGGCCGCCGAAAGGCCAAGCCAGCTGCCCCTTTCAATATCACGTTTTACAGCATGCCTGAGACTATCGTTCGATCCAAGGCCTCTGCTCCTGCCGCCCGGTCTCTGTCTAGAGTCAACAATAAGACTATCGAACAGACCGCCAACCAGCCCGTCACGACCCCCGCTGTCATCCCGTCGCCAGTCCTTTCTTCAGTTCCATCTTCAGTCCAGTCTCGTATCAAATTTCGGGCTCGGAAGCTGATCCGACTTCAGGCTCGTGCGAACAATAACACCCCAGTCTCGTCATCCTGTTATGCGCCGACTTCTATACAGTCTCCGGGCTTACCCCCAAACCAGCCCATCACGATTCCCACCGTCAATACCCTTGGCCAAATTCCTAAGCACACCGAGAGCCCTGTTACGAGAGTTCTCGGGCTCCCTCAACCCCTAGCCAACTCGGTGCCATTGCCCAAGTCTCCCCCGCAGCCGCTCGCGCAGTCTCCTTCAACCCCGCCCTCGCTTATACACCCAAGCTCACAGATTGTTACCCCAGCTTTCCCCGCGGTATCCAAGAACAACAACGGGGAAGTGAGCCAAGAGGACAGGCCTGCCAAGGAATCTAAAAAGGAAGCTTCAGACTACAATACCAGCTCTAAAAGTAACAATGACGAGAACAACAACACTGCGCTTCCATCGATATCAGAACCAGATGAAGACGCCGGCAAGAGTAAAGATGAAAACCTTACACTGCTTCCGGATTCAGATGAAAACGATGTCGAGGGAAGAGACGATAACTTCCCGCCTCTTCCAGATTCGGACACTGGGTCGGATGGAGAGGACGATGATGAGGACCGCAACGACAGACCAGACAACGCAGGCAGTGTAATTCCCTCTGTGATTCAGCAGCTTGTGGAGACGTTTTCCGATCCTGCACCTGCTCAAGAATCCCCCTTTACGTCTTCCTCCGCCCCTGCTATCATCAAACCCAATGTCCAGGAACCATCTATCACTCCCCTGGGTACCCAGATGGAAGTTGATATCCACAATGAGAATGTGACCGAAGAGGAACACACTAAGCTAGATGCGATGGATGTTGACGTCCAGGACGAAAAAAGTGGCAAGGAATGTGGCGCTGCTAAAGACGAGATGGAAGTTGACATCGAGCACGAGAAGACTAAGGATGACACTGGAAAAGACAAGATGGAAGTCGATATCGAGAACGAGACTGGCGCTACGACAGACGAGATGCAGCTGGATGATATGGATTTAATCCGGGGTCTAAAGGACGTCGACATGGTAAACGCGTCGCAGAAGATCCAAAAACCGACGGGCGATATCGAGATGAGAGACGGGCCAACAACCCCTTCCATTGCGCCTAATCCCAATGTCTTTGCCGAACAGAACGCTCGGCATACAATCGCTGAGCAACCTTCGACTCCGCTGCCAAACAAACACTGCTCACACCAAGGAATGCAGCGTCCACAGGTATCCAACGTCCGTGGCGAAACCATGTCTGACAAGGCACCTCCCCCGGCCCCTGAATCTAAGAACCAGAGGCCAGTCATTGTCATTCGGCGTAGGCCAGCCGACCCAATGGTGCAACGGAAACCTCAGAAACCCCGTCAACAACAACGGCCGCAACAGCCAACAACGTCGACGTCACAGGCCGGAAACTCGCCAACTGTGCGCATACCTGGACCGCCCAGCCTTGTGAGCGGCGTTGCGTCCGAAGGAAAGGTGACACTTTTCGCCATGTCCCAACCCCGAAGCAGCCCGAAACCCGCTACGCCCTCGTTCAGATCATTAGTGAGGTTGTTCCCAGACCGACCAGCCCGGAAACACAAGTATGACGAGGTGGCCGCGATCGATCAGGATTATGACGGAGATACTGATCTTTCGATGCCCTTTGATGTCAACGGACCGACTCGCAATATTTTACCCTTACCGAAGAGAGCACTTCAAACTCTCTCAGCTGCAGATAACGAGTCGCGCCGCCAGAGAGCTCTCGAGGCGAAGCGACGTTGGCTATTGGCACAAGAGCAGGAAGCCGCCGACGCCCCTGAGCCCGCCATGGAGCAGTTTAGGAACAGACCGCCGCCCATGGTATCATCGCAGGGTGTCTCCGCCAGAGATAACCGTCTACTGTTGTCCGGAACGCCCGAGTTGAGGCGAGAATTACTTCACAGGCTCCAGGCCCTGTGGCCCCTCCTGCCGAAGGCCGAGGTCGATCGGGTACGTTTGAACAACTTGAGGTCAAAGTCACTCGCAGAATGGCGCAAGCTCCTGAACCCGGCAGGCAAACATGCGCTTCCGGACAATACTTACATCCCCAGGGACGCGTTCGAGCGGGAAGCGGCCGAGTGGATGAAGAAGGTTCTCGAATTGATGACCAAATTGAAAGTCGTTCCAGAAGTGGGATCCCTTCTGGAGACTTGGAGGGAATGCATGGCCCGTCAAGAGCCACTTCCCGAACCTGAAGATAACTAGAAGCAGCAATTGACGATGCCAACTTTTGAGTGAAGATAAAAAAAGAGTTGTTGCCACACATAAAAGACAAAATACGAAAGAGAAAGCTTGCAAAATCACAAAACCCGAAAAAAAAAAGAACACGAACACCCGCCCACATCACCATTAGAGGAGGCGAGAACTGAGGCTGGCAGAGAGCAATGAAATGGCCATTTCAAGTACAGTCATGGCTTCACGTTTAATTTACCTAGTTTTCACTTTTGTCCAGCCGTTTGTACCACCACCACCAGCCCGAGCCACCTGACCTTCGCCATCGTCAATAGCCCACGCATCATCCTCGAGAACCTCCCATTCCGGAACGGCAACCTCACTGACAAGCTTCTTCTTGAGCTTATCGGCAAGTTTCAGGGGGCTGGGAAGCTTGAAGCTGCGAACGAATTCGGATCCCTCCGCACTGCCAAGGAACTCATAAGCTGTGCCATGTGAGTACCGTCCCACCCAAGACGAAGGCCTGCCAAGCTCTTCCTGGTCGGATGTATCGTGCTTCGCCGCGGGCGACGAATTTGCCGGGGGGTAAATTCGACCAGTATGGTTACTGTGGAGTTGTTGGCCGATGAGCAAATTATACAGATTGCGTCCCATGTGGCAAACGTCCTCGAACGAGTTGCGATCCCCCACGAAGACCCCCTGAGTGCTGCATGCCCAGGCGATGTCATATGCCAACAACGTCACGCCCTCCAAAAAAAGGGAATAGGTAGCTGGATCTTCTTTGGCTAGAATGGGCAAAGCCTTGTCGACAAACAGTGGCCGCGGACGAGGGACGTAGTGCGGCTGGCTATCACGCTCATCCGAAGCAAAGCTGGGGATGGTTGAAGTGCCGGGAAACGGAACATCGCCGTGTTGGTATGACGAAGCGAGGTTGAAAATGGTGGGCCGCGGGTAATCACGATGGGGCAACGTGATTTCTGCAGGAAGCCGGATGGTTAGATAATGAGATGTTAGCGCCAGAATATGGGCAATGTTGGCCAGGGAGGTCGACAAGACTTCAGGCGATGTCGCTGCCAAACAAGGATCAATATCATTTTCAAGAGCAACCGGACATGAAACTCACCGTTCATAGATGAAAGATCAATCACGTCAACGCCACCGATCTTGAACTCGTATCGAGACGACGAGCCCTTCTTGAAGCGGCGAAGACCGTAGAGTTTCGCAGCTTCCTTGCAGAGAAAAGATCGGGTGGTCGACATTTGGTCGGCATTGCGACCCCATTTGTACTTGGCGACCGAAATGGATCGCTCGGCCTCCTCGAGCTGTCTGGTTCTCCGAGCAGAGATGCCACTCGATGCAGATGCAAGGTCCGACTTTCGGCGAGAAATGGCAGCCTTGCGATCGGCAATCTCCTTTCTGGCAGCGGCGACCTCATCCCTTAGCTTATCGGCCTGGGCGATGATTTGGTCCGTTCGATCCTCGGCCATCTTCTGTTGGGAGACAGAGTCTTCAAGAGCGACAATCAGGTTGGGCGCACCCGTTGTTGTGTCTTGGGCAAGCAGGTCATTGATCTGTTTCTGAAGACTCTCATTCTCCATCAACGCCTGCAGGTTCTTGAGGCGACCTTCATAGCAGTGATTGCGAGCGTCAACAGCACACAGAAATGGCAGCCGCTGTGGGCTGTGAGGTCTTTGACAGATGTTGCAGTTCATTTTGGCGAAACCGGTCGAGTCCAGGTAAGCGGCGACTCGGAGCTCGACACAACACTGGCGCGCATGAACAAAGCGTCGCTAGGGATGACGTTGGGAAGATTGTATTTCTGGCAAGCGGATCGCGCACAATGAAGGAACTCCAGCATGGGGAAGAGGAAGCAACGACTTGATATACGACAGCTTCCGGTACGGGGGTGAGTCGCTCAGACGACCTGTGAGTGCAGGTTGTTTCTAAAGTTCGCCGAGTCACGGGGACGAGGTCGGGCGAGAGGCGATGAATGGCCCAGAACGGGAAACACTCAACTGCTGTCGGCGCAGCGCAGCGGACTTCGGCAGGCAGCAGGGGTGCCCCCAGCCACTCTCATCATCCCTGCGCCACATTTCCTTTCTTGCCTACTTTCAGCCAGCGACGCCACACTGTTCTCAGCCAACCTAGGTACCTACAGGTACCTACGGTACCTACACCAGCAGGCAAGGGGAGTCGACCGGCGATAACCAGCGGCTTTCTCCACCAAAGGCCCAAAAAGGCAGCATCGCGAACCATCACCCCAAAAGGTTACAGAGTCCCAAAAACATAACCAAAAAGTCACCCGGCACCAGCACAACCACATATCTTCCTCTTGATAAATCCAAGATCGCACTTTGGCAGGGCCAAGGACTCTTCTCGCTTTTATTGCGAATATGAACGACGCGGAAACCAACGAGTCTCGGAGACCCAAGTCTCTCCAGACCACCAAGACGCCTGAACCGCGGCTAGATCAACAACCAGCCAACGGCCAGAACAATAGCAACACCCCCAGCACACCGGGGCCTTTCCCTTCCTTCGACTGGGAAGATTTCGAAGCTCGGTACGAAAAGGCCCTTGCGGAGGCCGATGAAAGGGAGAGAGAGCTCTTGCTCGAGTTCGACAGTCTCGTGAAGGTGAGCAAAACAACTCAACGCCCACTACCACCAGTCGAACTTGCAAGCATGCTGACATGGAAACCGTCAGTACTTCAATGTCTGGGCCTCCACTTCGAGTGATCATGACAATGAACGCGCAACCAAGCGCCTTCACACAAGGCGGAGGTATGTCAACTTGGCAGAAAAGGATATGGCTCAAAAGGAGGAGCATAGTAAGTCGTTCCTCATCACAGCTTTCCTTTTTGACCGACTGACACATGTCCACAGTGAAGGAAGTGCTCCGCGCATTCCAAAGCGCTCTCGCCCTGCTAAGCCGGACTTAAATTCTCAATCGGGGGCTGGGGGCGGGGGCGTGAGGTGATGTTCGAAATAATTTGTTGCTCTGATTATGCAAAATTGCAGCAATTTGCATAACTGCACTCGCGCTTCTGGCAGCAGTTGCGCATGTGCTCTCTCGGCTTCAAACGCGATGGATAGTGGTGAAAGGGGGTCTCCACACGTGATCCAAGCTCCAAGTTCCAAACGCGTCAGGTCCCTTTTCTGCGCGATTCTCCAGCTCCAGAAGTTCCAACCATCCACATCCTACACATATCACTATCCCCCTCGGAGAAAAAAGAAAAAAAAAGAGAGAAAGAAAGAAAGAAAGAAAGAAAGAAAAGAGTACCAAATCATTAGCAGAAATTACCCAAACCACCTAAGCCACAGCGCATGGCTGCGGCAAGAACGGGTCCAATGTCGACACAGTTTGCTGCACCAAATGTCAGCAAAGTAAGTTCAACCGCGCCGAACATTCATTGTACCTAATTGACCATTTCACAGGATGACTTGATGACTTTTTCCGAGACGCACTTCTCAGATGCGGCACTAGGGAGGTTTAAATCCGATTTTTTCAATCCAAACCAGCAATCGGATGCTGTCAACTCTGGCCCCTCGTTCGAAGAAGATGGCGACATCATTGAGGAAGACGATGGCCTCGGCTACTACTCTGACGGCGTGAAGCGCACGCTCACTGATGAGCAAATCGCCATGTTTCGACACTCCGAGCTTGAAGCTCTGAGGCGAGAGCAGGAGCGAGCTGCTGAGCGCCGCTCAACGGTACCGTATCCGAACCAAGCTGGTGAGGCCGGCAATGATGGCAGCCTGAAGGTTACCGAGTCGTCTCACCAGCCGGCCAAGGCAACCAAGAACAAGAAGAAGAGAAAGGGAGGGAAGGGCAAGCCTCAAGAGCCTAAGCCCGATCTCCGTAAACGGACCTGGGACGTCGTCGAAGCAGGGCTCGACACTCTCGACTATGATTGACTTCGGACCAAAATACAACAAATCGCTATTAATTCTCGGACTGCCTTTTGGCAGGGACTATGGGCCGTAAAAACGTCTATAAGATCTCCAATGCACCCCGCCGAGGCTGCCTCTGGAAGGGACTGCAGTGAGGGCCATACAAAGCTCGCAGACCTACCAGGCATGCCAGTTGCTGCTGCCAGGAAGAATTACAGGCCAGACAAATGTCTGTGGGCATCTTGTGCACGCAATACCGTTCCAACTGTCGGCAGAAACTAAGGGCCGGACACGCGCTCTTAGATCCGTTGACAATCTGAACACCCGATGTTGAGAGCAGCTATCCCATCGGCCCACGGGCTTGATACGCGCACACAAGAAATCAACACTTGAAAAGCAGCAAAGACCAGAAATCAACAAGTCTGGTAGCGCCCCAGAAGGAAGCGCGATCATTGGTGCGTAGACACCCCCTTTTCTTCTTTCTCTCAACCCCCTCTGCCCATGCTATGATGAAATCTTTGTATCGTCATCCTTAGTCGGATCCACAGCCAGAGACAGACAGCTGCTGGCTTCGGCCAGCAGCTCGAGTCTCACAGAGCTTGGACATGTCGAGCAATAATCTTCTCTCTGAAAGCAAGCAGATTTCACTCGCTGCGAATTTACAATACACTACAGCTGGACAGTTGCTAACACTTTCACCAGATAGACTGAGAAGGCACACAGTATGTGTTGTGTGACCCTGAATGGTGTAGATTGCAGAGTCAGTCCAAGCGTTGTCATTGCGAGACGGAACCGGATGGCGAAAGCATAAAATGCTCGTCCAGCGGATCAGATTGTGAAATGGCATTCACTATTGGCTGAGGTCGGTCAGTATATAAGACTGACAGACACGCATCGATAGACAGGTGGGAGGAACCACGTTTGAATGGAAAAAATGATTGTTCCGATACCATTCGTCTGACATGACTCGTCGTGACTTCTTTCAAAGCCCAGATGAGGTAGAATGATTTGTTGCTGTCTACTCCGTACTGCTTACAGCATGGAAGCCTTGGAATGCACCCATGTTGGCCCTGGTTATGTGAGGCGACTCCCTGTAGTCTATGTCTTGACCGACCTATCTCACGAGGTCAAATTTACCTTTGTTTCAATCGATCATGTGCCAGACAGGCTATTGCCAAGGCACCTCGTTGGAGCTAGGTTTTTTCTGGGCGCTTGGATGATGACAACTGCCCAAAACCCGGTTTTGTGAAGCTCTGGAGGAGCACTGGAGCGCTGGCTGTGAATCGAACCACACCATACTGCCTAAAGGTTGAGCGGCATGGGTGTGCATGAATCACTAGGCCTTATCGGACGGTATTTTTGGGACGATAAGGGGGGAAAGAGACGGCCTCGCCTCGGTCGACAGCCAATCAGAACCCTCTGGCCTCTAAGCCTGATTTTGTGCATCCCACCTAGATTTACTCCCTGCCCCGTTCTCCTACCACTACCGCTACAACCAACACCACCACTGAGCCAAGCTACCTCAGCCACGACGAGACCCCTCCTCGCCCTGCCTCCGCCGCAAAATCCAACCTCACACCAACATCACCACCCGTCCCTTGTCGAGCCCTGCGTGCAATCGCAGGCAAACAGCAGTAGCCCATCATGGCGCGGGTCTACGCAGATGTCAATCAAAACATGCCCCGCAGCTACTGGGACTACGACAGTGTCAACATTAGTAGGTTTTCGATCGCCCTGCCACCCCTCTCATGGTCTTCGATATGTTGAGCCTCTGCGACCCGATGGCGCGCCTGTCCCCTTCGGCTTTGCTTTCTTCTTGCATCGCAGCTAATCTCTTCATTCTACAGGCTGGGGCGTTCTCGAGAACTACGAGGTGGTCAGGAAAATTGGTACGTCTTTGTGCTTCGGTTGGGGGACACCCCCGCGCCGCGCGCATGCGCATTTCCGCCCCGTATACCTTGCGCGCGGGGTTACTGCTCTTGGAAGCATATCGAGCTGACGAAGTATCGGGCATACAGGACGTGGAAAGTACTCGGAGGTTTTCGAAGGTATCAACGTCGTCAACTACCAGAAGTGCGTCATCAAGGTCTTGAAGCCTGTGAAGAAGAAGAAGATCAAGCGTGAGATCAAGATCCTGCAGAACCTGGCAGGAGGCCCCAACGTCGTCGCTCTGCTGGATGTGGTCAGAGACTCGCAAGTAAGTTCTAGACGTCTTTCTCTGTGGATCGCGATACATCTGGGCCATGGGCTAACGAAGCGTTTTCAACAGAGCAAGACGCCATCGCTCATCTTCGAGCACGTCAACAACACCGATTTCCGAAGCCTCTACCCCAAGTTCAACGACCTCGATGTCCGCTACTACATCCATGAGCTGTTGAAGGCTCTCGACTTCTGCCACAGCAAAGGCATCATGCACCGCGACGTCAAGCCTCATAACGTTATGATCGATCATGAGAACAGAAAGGCATGTCTCCGTGCTTGGAGGAGTGTGTTTACTTGGGGCTAACCGTCATGCAGTTACGGCTCATCGATTGGGGTCTGGCAGAGTTCTATCATCAAGGTACCGAGTACAACGTTCGCGTGGCCTCCAGATATTTCAAGGGCCCCGAACTGTTGGTCGACTTCCAGGAGTACGACTACAGTCTCGATATGTGGAGCTTGGGCGCCATGTTTGCCTCCATGATTTTCCGCAAGGAGCCCTTCTTTCACGGTAACTCCAACTCGGACCAACTCGTTAAGATCGCCAAGGTCCTCGGTACGGACGACCTCTTTGACTATCTTGACAAGTACGACATCGAGCTTGACGCTCAGTACGACGACATCTTGGGTCGTTTCCAGAAGAAGCCGTGGCACTCCTTCGTCACCGCCGAGAACCAGCGTTTTGTCAGCAACGAAGCGATTGACTTCTTGGACAAGTTGTTGCGATACGACCACCAGGTATGTCTGCCTGCAAATCTTGCCAAGTACATGCTGTTGACATGCGAACAGGAACGTCTCACTGCCAAGGAGGCTCAGGCCCACCCCTACTTTAACCCCGTTCGGGACCCTGAGGTTTTCAAGCAGAACCTGGCTAGCCAGACGGCATCCGGTGTCAGCAGCAACTGAATCAAAAGCGTCAACCTGCCCATTATGGGAAACCTAATGACGCCCATAAAAAACACACCAGATTCTTCCTCTCCATACAGGCTGCATGCAACAGGCACTACGCCGCTGATGGCCCGATCGGGACTTTACCCTGCATCTCCAAATGAGCCTAGGATCTAGACAACACCTACCTTTTTCCAGTGTGAATATGAACATGATCGGCGGATGAAAAAAACGGAGCATGGCCTCTTGCTTCGCGTCTCACTACATGGAACGACTGCTCGGAATGACTTGTCAAGATCGGTACCTAGTCGCGGACAACGGCACAAATGTCACAACATATCAAGGCGTAAGACGTCAATACAGGCGAAGAGTAAGGAGGGACGGCAGTGTCAGGGAAGCAATAGGGAATTTGGCTTGCACATGGATCCCGGGCTTCACCACATGGATGGAGGACAGGCGTTTGCGAGGTTGAGGCTCCCTTGTCGGTCCCAAGTGTCCTTACGGCTCATTGTCAATGACTTTGCATACGCGGGTTTTCACGGTTTTTCTTTACGGAAGCTCTCTAGTATTCATCCGATGTAGCGACTAATGAGGAAGCAATCTATGCTTCCATGACCCATTACCACCGGCTGCTGCTCTGCATATGTTGATGACGCCGTGGTCCTTTTTATCGCAATACCGCTACGTTCGATTCTCCCGTCACAGCGGTAACAAGGCTGCTTTGCCTGTCTCGTAGTAGCTACTCTTATCATCTACAGGCATGTGAAGCAGAAATCCCTGTCGCACCGGAACCCCTCCTCGCCGCAACGGCGCAAATTCCCGCCCGGCGTGCGGACGAGCGACCCCGACGGGCTGCCGAGGTGGGCCTTGGAGGGGGTAGCGAACGCCCACGCCGCCATGCGCTTCCGGTGTCTGGACGTGGTGGACGCGCCAGAACCCGCGCGGCCCCCGCTCGGTACGTGCTGCTGCGCGGGCGTGGCTGTCTTTGCCTGTGGCCCGGCGGGTAGGGCGGGCGTCGAGGGGGAACCTCCGCCGGGATCTCCCGAGAGCAACCGGTCCCCGCGGCCGGGAGTGCGGGTCTTGAAGAGGTCCGGGGTGAGTTTTTCGTCGTCTTCGTCGTCCGAGAGGAGGGAGATTACGGATATCTTGGCGGACGAGCCCTTGGCCGCGATGCGAGGTCGTCTCGAAGACGGCGTGCTGGGCTGCTTCGGCTGCCGTTTCCTCCTGGGCGGCTTGGGTGCTGGCGAAGCCTGGCCGACAGCCGGTGACTCTGGGGCGTCCGCCGCCTCGGGACTGGCAGCCTGCGAGGCGAGAGCGGGAGAGGACCGGCTGGCGGCGGCCTCTTGGGTTTCGTGGGTCGTCTCGCGCTTGGGACTGACCGAGGCGCGAGGCCAGACAGGCCCGCCGGCATCCGCCGCAGGGGAGGAGCCGGGGTCTGCGTGCCTCTCGGGGGGGCTGCTGGATTGGAGCTTGAGGCCTCGCATGGGGGAGGTGGCGGTGTTTTCGAGGCGTCCAGAGTGGAATGCCGAGGACAGACAGCCTCGACGGGGCATTGCCGAGAGGGCTCCTGTTGGAGGCGGCGCCTCTTCCAGGGGCGTGAGGATGGGAAGTTCGAAATCCATTGCTTCTGGCTCGGGGTCGGTCTCGGCTGTGCTTGTTCCGTCCATCTCGTCGAGGCCGAGGGGGACGATGAATGGTTCGATAACCTCTTTGTCTTCCTCTTGCAGGGTGTCTCCTGCTGGGCGTTGCTCTTCGGTTCCATCCCCCCCCTGGATAATATCCGTTCGAACTCCTTCCCGAGCATTGTCTACCGGTACGTCGCTTGACTGAGCATCTTCTCGAATATTTTCGAGGGGGCTTCCTCCTTCCCAGCCGCCCTCATAAGTATTTCCATGGGCCTCCGTTTCTTGATATATCTCATCTAAAAGCTCTAAAATCTGCATATCCACATCTTCAGTCGATGGAGCATTCTCTGCGCCCGCCATGTTTATCTCGTTTGTGACATGCTGCTCAGTTATTTGGTGTTTGTCAAGTATATCTCTTGAAGACTGAGAAGTGGAGGCCGGTTGAATATTGGTAGCGGCCTGTGAGGCCTCATGACGATGGAGGCCGGGATCGGCTGATTCGCCGGCAGTAGACGAAGGGTTGCCATTTTCTGCTCCTGATTCTGGCTGTGCTTCAGAATCCTGCCGATCCCCGGAGATCTCCGAGGGAAGCGTTTCTTCAGAAGGCCGCATGCCTGCCACGAAGACTTCTTTCGTAGATTCTTCTGTCACAGGAATAGCGGTAGGCTCTTTCTGGCTGCGACTTGCTCTTGCTCGCGTGGTAGGGATACCGTCGTCATCGTCGGAGAAGGCGTAAGCTGGGTCAATCTCATGCCTGAAGAATTTCTCCTTTGGCGGCGCAGGTGTTTTCCCGGATGTTGCTTCAACTGACGCATCCGCGTCAGGGACGGCTTCCACAGGCGATCCTCGAGGAACTGGACTTTTCGAAACCGGCTCAGAGACGGCTAAACCACTAAGATTCAGGGCTTCCACCGTGTCCTGTGGGGCCGAATCTAATATAACCATATCATCGGAATCTTCAACTTCAGTAATCTCGTGTGCTGGAGGGCGTTTCGAGAAAATCTCAACGACGATGTGTTGTCTTGGCCTTTTTTGCGCCTCTTCACCCGTCACAATACTGCCCAAGCCCTGCGTAGAGTCCAGTCGAGCGGTGACATCGACAAGATGTTCCTCACCTCTTTGGTTGGAAGACTCGGTCAGCTGAGCGGACTTCCTTGGTTTCCGGACCTTGGCAGGAACAAGCTGTTTCTTTGAGGTCAACTTTTCCCCCACTGAGGACTTTCTTGGTTTATGACGACTAGGTTCTTTGGCCGCAGAGTCTGGTAACGGGGGCTTCGTTTTTGTTTGATCCTTGGCCGCATCTTCCCCGCTCCTTTTCTTCTTCTTCTCCTCCTTCTTCTTCTCGCTCCTGAATTCTCGATCGGCGGTTGAAACACCTAGGATATCATCCTCCTTGTCATCATCGGTAGTAAAAACGTGCAGAACCTTCTTGGACGTCTGTCGTGCCATCCTCGAGGCTTCTTGTCTCGCACGAGCGAGTTGCGCCATATCGATACGAGCAGGCTCGGACGCCGCCTTCTCCTGCTCGCTGTCTTGTCGTGATGCCCACACAGACTGTGATCCTGAACTGACTGGGAAGCGGTATCTTGCTCCATACAGTTTTGCGATTAAGTCATCGTCTGATTGCTGGGGGTTGATCTCTGGAACCCTCCATGTCGGATCAACAGACTCCGGCTCACGCCCCCAAGGGTTTGCAGAGGAACTCGAGTTACCATTCGCTGATTGATGTGGGCCGAGATTGGACAGCCGCTGCTCAGATTCAGGCCTAGAGGCTGGCAAAGTGTGTGAAAGACTTGAGCAAGACTGCAAATCAACCTTTGCCTTTTGTGTGAGAGCTGTCGAAGAAGGTGTTGCGTCTTTTTTGCCCAACATCCGTTCGTCTTCTTGGTCATCTTCGTCCTCCTCATCATTATCTTCCTCATCGTCACCAGAGGAAAATGCTTCCTCCAACAGCATGCCTTCATCTTCTTCGTTTTCATCGGGAATCCCCGTATCTCGTTCATTCCGCATACTTGACAAATGACCATTGTCCGTAATGATCTCACCGGTCCTCAGATCAATCTCGTCACCGATGCCGGTAAAGTCTCTCTCGTATTTTTGAAAGATGTGCTCGAACGTCGACTTTAGCTTGAAGGCTGCGAAAGCACGAGACTGCTCGAGTTGGAAGCCGGGGTCCCGCATCCGAGACACCTCATCGGGCTCGTAGTTGAGCTCATCATCTTCATCTTCTTTTGACTGCTGTCTTAATGGCGACGGGCCAGTCCTTGGTCTCTTCGCCAGAGGCTCCATGTCGTTCGCGAAATGGAGCAAGCCCTTCAAAGCATGTTGTTGAGACAACAGGGGTGGGAAAACCAATAATAGCGGGCGGCGACACGGCAAGACGGACGGAAAGACGCGCCTCGACGGGAAGTTGGATGTTCGCGTATGTACGGAGTAGGTCGAGTGGAAACGCACGGACACAGTGGGGGGCTGCTGTTGTCAAAAGGCACGCAGCACCCCGAAGGGACATGGATTGTGAGCCGCAATGAGTCCATCAGGCAAGTAACCTTCCGCTGCTGTGCGACAACATAAGACGGATGCCTTCAAGTAGGTAGAGCAGATGGAGAAAAATAGGACAAAAATGGATAAAAAGAAAAAGAATTGAAAAGATCGAAACTTAATGGACAAGGCGCAACAGCAGTCAAAACGCTGCTCCATCGGCCATCATTCTGGCATACATGGTGACAATGACCCGACCCACGCCAGGTGTGGCCTTAGCGACGGCAGGACATGCGTCCCTTTCCCTACCAGGTGACATCACAAGACCTTCCACTCTACATCCATCAACACCTGCAATTACAGGCTTGCAAGCATGCGCGCAACAGCGAAATGTATTGTCAAAAGTGTCGCACGCCACTCAAGCTGGACAGCTCCCTTGAGGACCTGAATCCAGCCGCGTACGATCTCCTCATCGGTCAGTACAGCCCTCTCCCCTCCATCCGGGACAGGTACAGCGCGAGGTAGCTGACGAACGTAGCATCATCCTCACAACAGCCACCCAGGAAGACACCCTCTTCACGACCATACCATCCTCAAGACGGCCAAAGAAAGGTTCTCTACGACAGAGTATCCCAAAATGCGCCCGCTCCGACCTTTAAACGGCACGCCGGCGGTCCATCCAACTCGGCGCAACGAGATTCCACCATGTCCTTCATCTACCTCACAGAATCGCAAGTCGCCCAGCCCGTTCTCTCGCGACCCGAAACCTCTCCGGCGAATGCGAAGATTGCCAGAAACGCAAAGAGTGCATCCAAGGGTCAAGACGAACAACACGGCGGCAGCAAAGCACACGAGATGGAGCGCATCAGCAAGCTCTTTGAGATCCTTTCCGCGCGATCCGATATCGATCATCCTATATGTGTCGAATGCACCGACATGCTAGTAGAGGGCCTGCAAAAGAAGCTGGAAATCGCCTCAAGGGAGCGCGACGCCTATGTCGGGTTTCTGAAACAAGTACAGGGTGATCGGCCCAGCGAGGAGGACGTAAAAGCACAAAACGATGCTTTAAAGAAGGCAAAGGAGGCCGAGGCCGCGGCCATGGCCGAACTTCTGCGACTGGAAAAGGAGAAAGCGGCTGTGGATGCAGAAATCGTCGCTCTCGAGGAGGAATCCCAGCAACTCGACCGCGAAGAAGAGCAGTTTTGGCGCGAGCGCAATGCCTTTGCCACGAAGCTTGCCGACTTCCAAAACGAGCGTGACAGCACCAACTCCAAGTTTGACAACGACGCACAACTTCTCGAGAAGCTCCAACGCTCCAACGTCTACAATGACACCTTCTGCATCAGCCACGACGGCACTTTTGCTACCATCAACGGCTTGAGACTGGGTCGGCTGTCCAACAAGCCAGTCGACTGGCCTGAGATCAACGCCGCATGGGGACATGCGCTTCTTCTGCTAGTCACCGTAGCGGACAAGCTAGGTTACAAGTTCGATGGGTTCGAGCCGCAGCCTATGGGAAGCACCTCGAAAATCATTCGGTACGAGCTGCCGTCCCCCAGTGCTAGCCGTCTAGGGTCGCACCGAAACGCGCCGCCGCCGGCCCCGAAGAAGCACGTCCTGGAGCTTTTCTCCAACGGGGATTTGCCCCTGGGTCTGACTTTCATGCACCGCAAGTTTGACAACGCCATGGTTGCGTTCCTTGAACTAGTGCGTCAGCTTGGTGCTTTCGTACATCGGCAGACAGCAGCCAACGGTCATCCGCTCAGTCTTCCGTACAAGATCGAAGGCGACAAGATCATGGACGTGAGCATCAAGCTCGGTATTGCTCAGGATGACGGCTGGACGAAGGCGTGCAAGCTTACCCTGACGTGCTGCAAATTTTTGCTCGCGCATGCCAGTAACGTCAACACGACCGCAAGGGCTGCTAATAATCAATAATCATCTGCAAATCTCCCTTGCATTTGGGATGGAGTTAAAGGGGTTCGGGGCCAAGGCGGCGGGCATATCAAGGCCCATGGGGGATTACAGGAGTTGGGGGGATCACATTTCCAGGGCATGCATTCCGAGGGAGCAGGCAATGCTCTCCGTGCCCCTCGGGCCTGGGTTATTAGACAGTTCTCTTCGCAGGCTCGCAAATACATGGTCTGTTGTGTTTTACGGCCAATATGGCTCCCAGAGGCAAATATTTGTGCTGTCGTCGTCGGTCTACATTTCCGAGCACCGTCACCTGGCCACCATCTGTTTGGCGGCATGTACGTTAAGGCCGTTACGAATACCTTTTTCAGGGTCTAGCAATGGTGGAGGGGATTGTCAGAACGGAACTCAGGCTTGGTACACTTGACAGATGCTAGGCTGGACTCGGAAGAATCGGAGTCGGATCCAGGTTCCCCTTTTGCCTGGAGCCCAGTCAGCATGAATGCCTATTGGCAGCTCAAGACCTTTCAGGCAACAGGGCACATTTGTGCTCCAAGCGGGGTTGGCTGCCTGGTTGTCGTACACCACAATAAGCCTCATGCAAGCCCAGTGCGACTTCATTCTCGGCCGCCAATCGTTCATTGTGAGGCAGCCATCGATGCCTCGATGCGGGGTGACTGCTCGCCCCATCTTCTGCTCCAATGATGATGCAAGTCTGTATCTTAGGCATTGGCCTACAGCCTACTCTGCTGCTGCTGCTGCTTGCTGACGGAATGAAGAGCCGCAACAAGTCGTCAGGCTTCAAAAGCACAGCTTCCCCTTCGGGAGCCTGACTGAGTTGCTTCCGCGTATCCTGTTCTTCTTTTATCTCAATCTCCATTCGAAGTGCTTCCTATCCAGAAAAAGGCGCACTCACGTTGACCATTATGGGTGGCCAGACTGACAAGGTGGGCTTGCCGATAAGCATACAGCTTACACCTCGATAGAAACTAATGTAATAATGCTAACAATATGTTGCAGATCGTCGACGACGATAATGCCTCTACAGCCAGCTTCGAGGAGGTTGGTGTCAGACGCGTACCGGAAGACAATCAAGCCTTGGTTCTCAAAGAGAAATCCAACAAGCCAACGGCAGACATAGTCTACGTGTTGCAGTACCTAGGTTTCGGTGGCAAAGTTCTTGACAGTAAGCCCTGATTCAGTCACATTCCCCAAGGACTCTTTTAACATGAACAGGCCAGGAGAGCGTCACTCCCTTCGACGATATACCCAATTATGGAAAATCCAGTAATGGATCCCACAGCTCCAGTATCAAGTCAATTCTTGAGATTGTGACCAAGGTGTCGACCAATGTGAAGATGTCCCAAGATCCGCCTGGGCGTGGTCACGGCAGTTATTACGATTCGTCATCTTCGGAAAGCGAAGACGAGAGTGTCGCGAAATCTGCCAGGGTCATACGAACATACATGATCATTCACTCGGAATATCTCATCAATGCCCTCAGGGCAGTCGTGGCTTACTATCCCAATATCGACTTGCTTGAAGACAAAGTCACCATCGAAGCCCCCTACCGTGTCATTGTACACCATCGCGAGGCTCTGAAAAGGTACCGCTACCACCAGCCCGGCACCCATTCCTCAGAGTACGCTCGCTTGACAGCGGAGCATGTGGATGTCCTCCTCCAATTTATCGAGCAGACGGTGGGAGAGTCCATCCGCAAAGAGCAAGAGAGACACCAACGGAGCGTCCCAGTGGCCACTTTCGACAACTACTGGATGGCTCTGAAGCCTGGCGAGGTCGTGTACGTCAAGAAGAACGATCTTTGGGAGGCGCACGTCCTTAGTAAGGTGTTCCAGGATGTCGAAATGGACGGGCGTAGCCGTCAGCTACGAGTCGTTTCTTGGTTCCTAGAGTTCGGCCATAATCGAATCATGCGAACAATGGACCAAACGTTCATCCGTTCGTGGAACGGCGAGCAGGTCGTACAATCGCTCAGCGTCATACCTGCGAGCTTGTTCCCAGGCGACCCTGAAGCCATGCTGGAGAAGCAGGTCAGGTTGGGAAAGTTTTACTGGGAACTTCTGCAGCGACCGACGTACATGGAATACGACGGCTTGCTTGTGCAGGCACACTCAAGAGGCCACGGGGGACCTGTTTCCCGCGGACCCTCAGGCTATGTATACTCTCCCCTTTTTAGCGGCATCCTTTGTCTGGCACTTGGACTGACGAATCTCAGATGACTGGACGAGTGATCTGTGACGCTGAGGGACACGAGAGACTGAGCATGGGTGCCCCAGAGAACCGATTCGCTCCTCCGCCACCTCTAGGCAGGCCGCCAGGGATGGTGCCGCAAGCGCCCCCGCCGGGACGAGACCACCTGCCTCACTTCCTTCCACGCTGCGGCTGCGAGGGGTGTGATAGCGAGACCGACCGTATAGACGTCTCGCCATTTGCCGACTTGGACAGCATCAAACTCCAGGGTTCGCCGGCTCCGATCAATGATATCTTCTACATCACGTGCACCAAGGTCATCCCGGGCTTTCTTCTCGGCGACCGACGCTGGGGGCATCTGAATCTCGAGTACCTGAAACCCGTGGTCACCGACCGCGAGGCGTTCAAGTACCTCGTCCTCGACGAAGAGATCAAGATGACTGTCAAGGCGCTCATCGGAAAGTTCGCCGCGGCCGATTCCGGCAGGGTGACACCCTGGGCCAACGATTTCGTCAGGAACAAGGGCGAGGGTCGCATATTCCTCCTCCACGGCGCGCCGGGCGTCGGCAAGACGTGCACCGCCGAGTGCGTCGCCGAGCTGACCAACCGGCCGCTCATCTCCCTGACGTCGGGCGACCTCAGCGTCAACTCGCACAGCGTCGAGAACAACCTGTCCTACTTCCTCGAGCTGGGCCGGCGCTTCGGCGCCCTCGTCCTCCTCGACGAGGCCGACGTCTACCTCGAGCGCCGCCGCGCCAAGGACATTGCGCGCAACGGCCTCGTCTCCGTCTTCCTCCGCGCGCTCGAGTACTACCGCGGCGTGCTCTTCCTGACGACGAACCGCGTGCAGGCCTTCGACGCGGCCTTCACGTCGCGCATCCACGTCGCGCTGCACTACAAGAACCTGACGGACGTCGACCGCGAGCGCATCTGGGCCAACAACTTTGAGCGCCTGGACAGGGACTCGAACGGGCGCGTGCGCGTCGCCGTCTCCACGAGGGAGTACGCCTACGACTCGCGCGACGTCCGCGCTCTGCGCTGGAACGGGCGCGAGATCCGGAACGCGCTGCAGACCGCGCTGGCCCTCGCCGAGAGCGACACCGCCGACGAGGGGATCGAGCGGGTCTGCATCACGGAGAAGCACCTGCGGGCCGTAGTCAAGATGAGCCGTGGCTTCAGGGACTATCTGCGCAGCGGCAACGTCTACGACGGGGATAGCGACGAGGCCGGGGAGAGCGAGGGCGAGGACGATGAGATTTTCTCCGACTAAGAGCTCCAGACGTTGGAGGTTCCGTCCATGACTGGGGGCCTGGCTTTATTTGTTTCCTTTTTAGGCGTTTTCCCTGCTTCTTCTGGGTCACGAAGCGTACGTCTTATCAGATTGATATCAGGGACATTGGATACCGAGCACTGCCTGTGGCGGTCTCGACTTTACGTGGAACGCCACACGCATGACGGTTTACGACTGGGGAAACATCACTTCCATCATTTGTGTTTCAATTATAGCCACCATGATGACCATCCGTGACATGGAGTCTGACCGTGATCCTGAGAGTGACTACTGCAGACTGGCGTTGTCGATGATAGCTTGTGCTTGGGCCATTATAACAGGCGTGATTTACGGCGTACAAGGCACCGTCTAGGTCGGCTACCGCAAATACAAGCAATTGTCGGCCCCGTGGAGGGGGTAGAGACATGGTATAGGAGTCACGAGTTCCGCGAGACCTGGCCGAAGTCGTCGTGGCTGACAACGTAAGGCATAAGACGACCCTGGTGTCTCTATGCCTGGTGGAAGACTTGCTGCTGGTGATACTTTGACATCTGACCTTGTTGCGCTTCTAGTGAAAGCGCGTAGTGGTGTGGTGTGGTTGGGACTTTGGTCGAGGCGGAGCTGTGAATACAACACAGCAACACTCTGCAACACACAGCAACTCGGGTTCCGAGTATGATCATATTGAGTCTCTCGCGTCTGATCAGAGCTTTCAATGTCTGATCGGATATGATGAACCCGATCAGACGTCAGCGGAGAGGCTCCCTATCACCTGAGTTACCACGTGCGAACTGTATCGATGAGGTTGTAAGGCTCTAGTTCACGTATTTTAAGGAGAAAAACGAGGGGGAGAAAGTGCATGTCCTGCTCTCCATCTGCCGTGCCAATTAACGGGTTCTTATAGTCCGACCAGACCTGCCCTCACTGAAACTATTCTTACGGGGAGGATAAGCCTCAGCCCCGTCCTCGCTCCACTAGCTCGATTAAATTCAGATGTTCGTGCCATGTGTACCACCTCCGGCCCAAATACACCCGCACGTTCTAGTTTGGCAGTATCTAAACATTCATCAGCATCTTCCGGGATATAATCGCTCCCAAATCAGTCGAGCCGTCAGGATTTAGGTTCGCAGGATCTCTCTCAGAAGCCTCAATCTCCGCCTCCATCTTTGCCCCGATTCCACTCACTTCTAGGATTTGTGTAATCTGGTAATGAACCGAGAAGAATTCCGGGTCAGGAAGCGAAAAGCTGTCTCTTGAGGCAACTAGCGTCATGACTTCGCGATGGGGCTCAATGGGATACCTGAGAAACTGTTTAACAGTGTAGGTGTTTGGCTATCCATTGGGAGTTAGATAAAGATGAAGAAACCAAGAGGGGGGGCAAAAAACTTCAAGGATGACTTACTCGACCCTGGCGGGGGCAGAAAGCTAGCTTGTGCTTGTCGAATTTTTTATGAATCACTGTGCTCAAAGGTGATGAGATTTGCGTGCTGATTGAGGTCCTCTGGCCCAATCCTGTCTTTCAACTCGGGAAAGTACCGGTATAAGGCATTCCAGATACTGGCGACCGCCTCTTTCTCACGATCATCAGCCTCGTTGAACTGGCTAAGTCCAATGGGCATGATGTGCGCAAGTTCTGTCTCTGCAATGCGTGCGCCATCATACGGCTGAACAAGACCATCTTCAGCACTCTCGCTGTCGTAAATGTGAGAAAATGCGCATCTGAATCCGTCTCGTTTGAGAATATCTTGCTTGAGGGTGCTTTGTCGATTTCTGTTCCACGACTCGACAGTGGCCGCAAGATCATTGATGAAGTCCGTAGCTTAGGCGATGGGCGACTCTTCAATAGTATCGATGGCAGAACCGATACCCTCAAGTTTTACTATTAATGAAAGACAATCTGTATCAGCATCTCATTCACCATCCTATTTCTCATCCTATTCCTCGTCTTATTCCTCGTCCTATTCCTCATTCACCCCAGATTTAGATAGAATCATCACTTACGCGGCTTGAGAATGTTGTCGGATAGGTATCGCGCGAGCGAAGCGAGTTTTGGCTTGTCTGTGCCGATGGTCTTGATTTCAGTCATCAAAACTAATCTTCCGCGTTTCCGCAGCTCTGACTGAAATGTGCGGAGGACCTGACAGGTTGTGTCGTTGTCCTGTGAAATGTTGGAATAAAGCTCCAAGATGCGCCCCGTGACTTCCATAAGATCCATGTAATCGTCTGGATCTGGCAGCGCAGATGACAGGTCACTGTGACTGTCCTCCAACTCCTGCAGGGTGAGTGGATGCTTCTTGACGCTGTTCAGCACGGTAGACCACTGCGGGCGGCGTGAGCTAGCCATGATTGCATGCGGGTTTGGGATGATATGGATGATGTGGGATGAGAATCAGGACGTATTTTTTTCTTCCAGCGGAAAGAGATGAGATTAACAAGAAGAAGAAGGAGGGGAAGGAATGAATGCGTTGCTGCCCGGCTGAGGGTGCCTGCTCTGGATAGGAAAGGAAGGCACGCTGGGTCCGTGCACCTCGAGGCAGGTGAGGCAATCGACAAGTGCACAGGATATAGCAGCCTGAAGATTCATCTCCAGGTTGCCACAAGTGTCAATTCACGAGTTTGTCTGCAAATTTCCATGGTTTCTGTGTTTTCTAGGAACCCAATCTTGTTTTTACCTACCTTGAGTGCCTATTGTGTACCTGAGCGGCCTCGAGAAGGCCGAGAAAACATTAACTCGGCCGAGGTGTAGAACATTTTTTGATAATGATGCTGATTGCCTGCAAAAAGTATTACTTCTGATTCTATCTAAACCAATCCTAGGGAATAGCATAGCCCCCCTGGGACGCCGCCGCATTTCTCGGACAAATGTGGGAATAACTATAATTATTTGCCTTGAGGAAGGGGCGATGGAGATAATTTGTATCCTAAGCGGCGGTGAGCACGGGTGAAGCAAGGTACTGGCTAACTACTATTCCCTTGCGAGTGCTTCCGTGGTGTACGGCGTTTCCTAGAATCCAGACCTAAGCTACCTATCCATGGCAGGCCATTCTCGCCAACGAGCGCTCTTTACATCGTGGGGTTTTGAAATCTCTTTCTACGATAGGCGTGACGCTATTTCATAACGAGCGATAACCCTCAGCTTTCATCTAGTAGTTTAGGGAGGGAGGGAGGGAGTGAAGTGAAACGGCCAAACGATTGATCTCTCAAGGTTGGTGGTATTTTTTTATATATTCACTAAAAAACAGGTTTGCGGGACCATTTGCTCCGAGCAAAAGTCCGACTTTTTATACCACTCTTTGTCTAAATAAATCTCTCTGCGTCTTCGGAAAGACCCGGGAGGAAATAGCAAGGGAATCGCGCAAGGATACAATGAACCAGAAAACAGCAATAACAACAACACAGAATACAACACAGAATACAACACAGATACGTACGATATTTCTTTTGGATTTTTTTTTTCCGCGCCTCCAACCCGGGGAGGACGTCATCCCCCATCCCACCTCTCTCAACCAAAGATGATGTTCTTTAGCTTCTCCTTCTCGCCGCTCTCCTCGCACATGCCCCTGAAGACGCTGCCGTCCTTCTCCCACAGCTCCCTGGGGCTGCCGTACTCGGCGACGGTGCCGTCGCTCAGCACCAGGATGCGGTCAAAGTCGGCGATGGTGCTCAGGCGGTGGGCGATGACGATGAGGGTCGAGTCGTTGAACTCCTCGCGGATGGAGCGCTGGATCAGCGCGTCCGTCGTCATGTCGACGGCCGACGTCGCCTCGTCGAGCACCATGACCTTGGGCCGGGACACGATGGCGCGCGCGAGGCAGAGCAGCTGGCGCTGGCCCTGCGAGAGGTTGCCGCCGCCCTCGGCGATGGGGGAGTTGAGGTTGCGGAACACGTTGGTGTTCTTCTGCGACGCGTCGATGGAGGGCGCCGCGCTGGGGCCGGCGACGGCGTCGGCGTCGGAGCGCGCGTTGCGGGGCGTCGGCGGGTTCGAGTCGACCAGGTGCACGCGCTGCAGGGAGTCGCGGAGGTCGGCGTCGGTCTGGTTGTCAAAGGGGTCGAGGTTGGAGCGCACGGTGCCGGAGAAGAGGACGGGGTCCTGCGGGATGATGGCGAGGCGGGAGCGCAGCTCGTGGAGCTTGACCTTGGAGATGTCGAGGCCGTCGACGTGGATGCTGCCGGAGCGGGCCTCGAGGAAGCGGAAGAGGGCGAGGGTCAACGAGGACTTGCCGGCGCCCGTGCGGCCGATGACGCCGATGCGCTCGTTGCGGTTGACGCTGAACGTCAGGCCCTTGAGGACGGGGGCGAGGTCGTCGGCGTAGCTGACGACGAGGTCCTTGACCTCGAGGCGGCCCTCGGTGGGCCACGTCGCGGGCGGGTCGACGCCGCCCTGGTCCTCGGTCTTGAGGTCCGAGTACTCGACGACGCGCTCGGCGGCGTTCATGTCGAGCTCGATGTTGGCGTAGTGGCGGATGGACCAGACGATGGCCTGCGAGAACTCGAGCGCGAAGGAGAGGGTGAAGCCGGCGAGGGCGGCGTCCATGGAGGACGTGCCGAGCACGACGAGGCCGACGGCGGTGGAGAAGAAGGCGCCGATGACGGACATGCGCCAGCCCATCCAGCGGTTGAACAGCCACAGGTGCCATGTGGCCATGCCGTAGTCGTCGAGGCTGGCGTACATGGCGTCGATGTAGACCTGGGCCTTGTCGGCGCCGCGGATGGTCATCATGCCGACGAGCGTGGAGCCGAAGAGGTCGAAGAGGGGCGACTTGGTCGTGCTCTCGAGGCGCTTGGCCGGCCTGGCGCCGGCGAGGTAGCGCGAGGCGATCCAGACGGCGATGAGCAGCAGGACGAAGGCCAGCGGGATGATGAGCGGGGACACGTAGAAGGCGGTGATGCAGATGCCGAGGACGCTGAGGATCGCGCCGAAGACGCCCGAGAGGTCCATGCCGAGGCGGTTGTCGATGACGTTGAAGTCGGCGGTGAAGCGGTTGAGGACGCGGCCGGTGGGGACCGTGTCGAGCCAGCGGAGCGGGGTGCGGAGGACGGTGCGGGTGATGCCCTCGAACATGCTGCGGCTGGCCTTGTAGCTCATGACGAAGAAGTAGAAGAAGCGACCGGTGCCGAGCACGGCGGAGAAGGCCGAGATGCCGACGTAGACGCCCAGGTAGAAGAGCGTGTCCTTGTCCATGGTGACGCTGACGGTGCCGGACGGCGGCGGCACGTGGAGCTCGCTGTGCTGGAGCGTGAGGGCGTAGGCGAATTGGTGCTGGGGTCCGTAGTGAGAAGAAGAGGAGGAGGCGCTGACGGACTGCCCGGAGTCCCCGGTCCAGATGCGAAGCCACCATGATCGTCCTGTTGAGAGTGTGCGTCAGTATTAACAAATGGATTATTTTCTTTCCAACGGGACGACGTTATGATGAGACTTACCGATGACGACAAACTGGTAGATGACGAAGAGTCCGAAACCACACAGCCACCAGGGCCAGCCGCCGCTCTGGTTCAGGTACGCGGCGTAGACGTGCTTCTTGATGGAGCCCTTTTCGCGGGCCTCGTCCTCGACGAACTGACGCGCGGCCTTTGACGGGACCTTCTTCAGGACGCCGCCGTCTCCGTTGAGCTCGGCGATCTCGGAAGGCCCGATGGCGGACGCCTCCTCCGAGTTGACGGCGGTGCCCTCCTCGTCCTCGATCTCCTGGGCGGACTGCTGCTCGTGGCTCTTGATCAGCTGCAGCGTCCCGTCCTCGTTGAGCTCCGACAGGAAGCCCGAGTGCTGGACGGTGCCGTCGCCGAGCTCGACGAGGAACTTGGTCTTGGGCTCGCAGAGCGCGACGTGGTGGGTGACGAGGATGCGGGTCCTGCCCCGGCAGAGCTCGCCAGTGAGGCACTTTTCGTAGATGTGGCGGCCGACGTGGGCGTCGACGGCGCTGAAGATGTCGTCGAGGACGAGGATGCCGGCGCGCGAGTAGATGGCCCTGGCGAGGGTGAGACGCCACTTCTGGCCGCCGCTGAGGTTGATGCCGTTAGCCCCCAGCTCGGTCTTGTCGCCGTCCGTGAGCATTTCCAGGTCCTTCTTGAGAGCGCAGACCTCGATGGTTTTGTTGTAGCGCTCCTCGTCCAGGGGGAGACCGAAGAGGATGTTGTTCTTCAAGGTGGAGTTCTCGATCCAGGGGATCTGGCCGACGAAGAAGATGCTGCTGGGGATGATCCAGTTGCCGGGGTTAGCCTTGTCGTCGTCTCGCTCGTGCCTCGCGGGGGGCTTGGGCGCGTAGATGGCGCCGGAGAGGAGATCGGACTCTCCGAGGATGGCCGCCAGCATCAAACTCTTACCGGTGCCGGTCTTGCCGGAAATGACGGATAGCTCGCCGGCGGGGAAGGTGAGGTTGACGTCGCGCAGGATGAACCTGTCCTCGTCCTTGGTCTCCTCGTCGACGGGCCAGGCGACGGTGGCGTTCTCGAAAGCGACTTCGGGACCCTCGGTGACGGTCTGTGTCTTCTCGGGCCCATTCAGGTAGTCCTGGATTCTCTTGACGGAGATGTTGGCGTCGATGACGTCGGTGATGAGCTCGGGGATGACGGCGAGGGTAACCTCGAGGTTCTTGAAGACGCCTATGCTGACGAAGGCGACGGAAGGGATCAGGGTGCCGTTGATGAAGGCGTAGACGGCGAGGGAGACGGCGGCCAAGGCGATGGGGCTGGTGATCCACATGCCGAAGAGCACAGTGTCGCCCTTGAAGACCTGCCAGAGCGCACCGAGCTCCTTCTCGCGCACGTCGAGGATGCGCTTCTCCCATTGGGGCTCGAGCGCGGAGAACTTGATCTGGCGCATGCCCACGAGAGCCTCGTTGACGACGGCGAGCTTCTGGTCACGGATCTTCATCAGCTTGTCCTGCGCCTTGGAGTAGACCTTTGCGTAGGTGAAGTTGATGGGGAGGAGGATGGCCCAGGCGAAGAGTCCGGCACAGAGGGGACCCCAGCCGAGCAGGTAGACGAGGAACCAGACGGCAACAATCAGCTTGGCGCTGCTGGAGGGGAAAAGGAACTGGAAGCCGGAGAAGTCGGAGATGCGCTTGGCGTCGACGCCGATCAAATTGATGATGGCCTGCTTCGACTTGAGGACATTGTCTCCCTCGGGCTCTTCTTCATCGTCGTCCTTCTTCTTGGACTTGTCGGCGTCCTTACCGTTGGTCTCGTCCTCGGCAGGTTCGGCTTCCTGCTTGGAGGCCGCCTTGACGTTCTTTCTCCGCATGGACTTCTCGAAGACGAGGGCAGACAGGGTGCCGCGGAGGGGGATGCACAGGTCGGCCCAAGACAGCCAGAACATGGTGGCCTCGGCCCAGGCGTCGGCCAAGA